TGAACTATCAGGGAAACCCAACCACATACTAACCACATAATTAAAAGGCATGTTAAACATCTTAAACTCATAATGTATATTATGTAATTTGTACCTATCATTCCTGCCTTCTATAATTTTTTCAGAATTTTGCAGCTACAAATTTGCAGCTACAAATGACTAGAGATTCATTTTGTTTTGTGGATAATATTCATATGAAAAGATTTTACAGTACTAGCTTTGGCCATGCTAAAGTGTGGAATGTCTGCCCATCCACTCATCTAGGCACAATTGCATTAAAAAAAAATTCACTGAATTTTTGTTTGTCAACAGCAAAATACTTTGCAACATACACTAATAGACATGTACAGATAAATGGAATACCGTACATACATTAAGAAGAATGAGGTAGTGATATGAGCAAATTTGAGATGTTCACATATTTTGAAAAAGCCAACTGCAGAATGTATATAAATGTAATTCTACTTTTGCTAAAATAATCCCAGTTTTATACATATACTCACTATGTATAGAAACACATACATTAAAGTTTAGGAGGTAGTTGGGAAGAGACAGAGGAAATATACTTTATGTAATTCTTCAGTATTTAAAATACTTTAAATTAAAATTAATGTAGTCTCATAGTAAAACATACAAACAAACCATTTCATATGATACAAAGAATAAGTAATTTTAAAAATGTAAAAATTTTCCCCTAACCTGAACTTCTATTACCTTTAAAAAAATCCTCCTCCCCAGCAAGTCACTGTTAATGTCTGGAGTCTCATTTTCCATGTAGAAAAATTTTTTATTTTCAGTATCTCAAGGTAAGTGATTTCTACTTTTGTGCATTGAACAGGACATCTCACATATCTGAGATGTGGTGTATAAATAATATTTTCCCATATTTTCAGATTATACATTCATTGATAAGGACAGAAAACCAGAGAACTGGTTAGTCTGCTAAGTTGGATCCTGCAGAATTATAATAGTAAAACAAATATATACATCTAACAAAAATGTCTTGAAATAAGTTTGATTAAAAGATCTATTTTCTTTATTGTAAAGTAAGTTCATAAAAATTCAAAACATTACAGACTATATGTATTAAGAGCACACTTCAATAATCTACTTCCAAGAAATATCCACTATTAATAGTTTAATGTCTTTCTACACTGCTTTTCTCCACAGGTTTGCACTAACATATTTTGTATACCTACTTTTGTATCAACTGCTAAATTGAAACAAGATTTTTACATGTTCTCAAAATAACTTAAAAGCATACTAATATAACATTTTAAAACAAGATAGTATTTCTTAGAAACTAGCCAGTAACAGATGACTTTACTGATTAAAGATGCTTCTCTATATAGTAACTGCCCAGACAGATAATTTGTCCCAATACAGCCCATTACCCAATATGTAGATACCATCCGTATGCCAACGGATAATGTAAGGACATTGGGGTTCTGGGGTCAAACAAACCCTTAACTCAATCCATTTCACCACTATTTCTTGGCCAGGATATTTAACTTTGCTTAAGGCTTCTTATGAAAACAGATAGGTAGTATTATCAAACTCATAGAATTGCTGTGATACATATGCCAGTGCAAACAATGCCAAGCCCATAGAAATCATCACTAAATATCAACTTAAAATGCAGGAAGCATGTTTTAGCTGTGAGAGTTGGACCATAAAGAAAGCTGAGCAGTGAAGAATTGATGCTTTTGAACTTTGGTGTTGGAGAAGACTGTTGAGAGTCCTTTGGACAGCAAGGAGATCCAACCAGTCCATCCTAAAAGAAATCAGTCCTGAATATTCACTGGAAGGACTGATGATGAAGCTCTTTGGCCACCTGATGCTGGGAAAGATTGAAGGCAGGAGGAGAAGGGGACAACAGAGGATGAGATGGTTGGATGTCATCACCGACTCACCGGACATGAGTTTGAGGCAAGCTCCGGGAGTTGGTGATGGACAGGGAAGCCTGGTGTGCTGCAGTCCATGGCATCGCAAAGAGTCAAGACATGACTGAGTGACTAAACTGATGTTTTATCTGACCACATGCTTTAATCTGATATTGAATGAGGATTTCTGGCTCCAGTTTTCTTTTCCCATGTGTGAAACTAACCACTTTGATATAATTGAATCTGAGATGGAAACTCCAATCCCTATATCTATACTTAACTGAACAATATAAACATATACAAGGCCTTAAAAATGTGCACACTCAGTAATTCTAATTCTAGAAACTTACTCGAAGGAATTAAGGGTCAAAAATGTAGTTACAAAGATAGTTATTGCAGCACTGCTTATAAAAAGAAAATATAAACAACCTGAATACCAATAAGGGATGATTTAAGGAAATTCAGTGTTTCATTATACAAACACTGAAATTAATTGGGTGCTATGTGCTAAGCCACTTCAGCCATGTCTGACTCTTTGCAACCCCATGAACAGTAGCCCACTATAGGCCCAAACTTAAGCAATTATCTTTTTCATTAAGTTGTCCCTGGTTTATACATAGGATTCTCCTATGCATACATAATTATGTATATTAAAGAATGAAATGTGAAAAAGTATGGGTGCTGAAACCAACTAAATCAAACATTTTCTACTTTTTTCCCCACACGATCTTTTTAAATTCTATTTGCATCTTAGCAATGCCTTTGTCATATTACATTGATGTTAGCAAATGGGACATACAAAGAATTTTTTTTTAAATTTATTATCATGTTTTAATTTCCCGTCCATTCAAAAAAGTTTCTAGTTTTATGATTTAGAATTTTTTTTTGAAAAGCTAGTTTATGTGTATTATTAAATACTGTGTTGTATTAGAAAAGTGTCAGGTCCTCCAATAGTTATGCTTTTTGCAAGACAGGCATTTAATGAATAAACATCTAAGAATCAGGAAGGGCTATGTTTTCACTCAATAATGTAAGCCCCACAAAGTAAATACACACTGTAAGGGCACCAGACCACAATGAAGCACTAGTTCAGTAACAATAAAAGGTATACTCCTGAAATACATGACAGCATACAACTCCAGAGAGAAGGGCAGAGTTGCTGACACAGGCTAGGAATACAGTCCTTCCACTTTTAGAACGTTCTACTTTGGTTTAGCCTCATTAAGTCTAGATGTTAGAAGTGACTCTCTTACATACAAATCAGAAAGATAACCTCAGCCACACAGAATTTGCCAATGTGCTTAAGAATATTAACAGAGACTTTTAGAAGACTTAAATGAGCAGCCTAATTTCTAAAGAACTCTCTTTGAAAGCGTGGCCAAGCTCTTTAAAGAGTCATGGAACCACTAATAAGATTTTTGGGCCTGGAAATGCAGTATCTGTTTTACAATTCTGGTTTCTGATCTTTTAGGATAAGGCTTTAAAGGTAAGGGGAACATCCATGCGACCTCTCATTTTTTCTCTATAGGCTGTTCCTGAAGCCAAAGACTGCCCCCATTAACCTTTACTCTGATGAAAGAGGAGAGTGGAATTTCCTAGTCCTTTTCTGGCAGAAGCCCATATCTGTTGTGACTTAAAACGCTGTAGAGATGAAGTCATCAATAGTTCACAATTTACGCTTCACTGTCTCATTGTGCATAAAGCCAGAGAAAGATGTAAAAAGAAGCAAGAGTTCTAACAGTACTAATGAACATTAACTGACCTATGCTCACATTTGAGACTGTAAGTATACAGGAATTTCAGCAAAAGGAATATAATGCATATATCTAGAAAAAGGTGGTATAAACTCTCTAGAATACTCTTTAAAAGAAACCAAAGCACAAACTGCTCCAAGTAAACTATGGTCAAAACCTCCTTGACATAATTTATTCATAAAAGATTAGCAATATAATTAAAGGCTTAGCTTAACACTGATCTTGAACAAGATTAGTCTTATGTTTAAAATATATTTTGGACCATTCAGAAGGGTCAAATCAACATGTTTGGTTGCTGAATCTTAGAAAATAAGACATCGGCAGTTAGTTACCTCATAAAATTACCGGTAACAGGAATCTACAATGAGAAGCTAGTTTTTCACATCCCTGTCTTACTTAATTATATTATTTGCTAACTTCCCAGACCACAGAAACAATGAAACATGTGGATACATGTTTCCATGACATAATGCCACTCCTAATTCTTTCATCAAGTGTTCATAATAGAATCACTTCACAATCATGTTTATACAGGACAGATGCCTCTGACTCTCCAACAATTCATTCTGTAGAAATACGCTTTCGATAGGTTCTAACTCCACTACTTTCCTTTAATGGATGAACATTACCGACACGTGGCCAACGACTCCCATCCCTGATTCTCTCCCTATTAATGCACCACTAACCTACGCCCCAGGAAACCCGTCTGATTACCCCCAATTCTCAAGGACACTGAGGTAAAATCCCTTCTTTTAAAAAACAAAAGAAGGCTTTCTAGGCCAGATGAACCTGCAACTCATATTCTGACATTTGCATTCTAAGCTTTCATTTCTTACTTTTCTGAGGGAAAGCTGTTGCGTTGACAGATGGGCAAAGGAGGAAGGGGAGAAACAATAAAGAATTTTTTTACTGAGCGAGCGCGGATGCCCGCCCTCGGCCAATAACCCCAAACAAGCCAGGCGAGGTGGGGGGGGGGGGGAACTAAAGATCTTTCTCTAATGTTCGGGACGTCGTGGTGGTCCCGCACCAACCCTTTTCCTGAAAACTAAACCAGGGCCGCCAGGGGACCCAGGCGTGGTGGTGGGCGCCCGCGGGGGGTGGTGAGGGGGCGGCGGGGGGAGGGTGTGCGTGGGTACACAGATGCGCCAACTATCCGAGATAAGTCCCTTGTCCTTGAAGGAAAAGCAGCTTTGTGGAGCGAGGAAGTCCGACTCCCACCTGGGCCCGCCACCCCGCGGACTGCAACTGATGGGCTGCACCTGTCATCTCAGAGTTCGGCGCATCAGAAGAAACCAGCAGGCGGGACAAACGTGAGGGTCGGGAGGAAACGTTTCCCAGGATTACCACCAGACCGGACACTTACGGCGTACACCTGTCGCTGTACTCATTGGCGATGGTTTCGATGCCGCCGCTCCTCGCTACTGCGACGTAGCAGTTGAGAAAGCCGAGGTCAATGCCGACCACAGACATCCCGACGCCTAATGGTAGGGGTGATGGTGCAGAAGCCCTCGGTGCGGGGACCGCGTCCTCTTCTGGGCTGTTGCTCCTGGAAATACGACTCCTACGAGAAGCAAAGGAGAGATGACCCCAAGTCGCTGCGCATTAAATCTAGGGCAGCGCGTCGGGGAACCTTGGAGGAGGGGGAAGCCGCCCGCGCCGCAGCCTCCGCCGCCCAGGTCTCTCTCCACTGCGGTTCGGCAGCCTCCAACCGGCAGTTACTGGGGTCTGCGCCTGCGTGTTCCGCCGCTGGTGGGGCGCGCGAGCTGCCCCTTCGTGCCCGAGGCTGCTCCTGGCCCCGACTTCGGCCGCTTCCGTCAGCGCTCGGGCAACGGCTGCCCGAGGAGCTGCGGGTTCGAGAAAGATCTGGAAAATGGAGGCGGCTGAGCCAGCAGGAGTGGGAGGGAGGAAAGGGGGGAGCAGGGAGGATCGGGCAGGAGAGGAGGAGGGGAAGCAGAGCCGGTTGCTCGCCACCGCGCGGCTGCGGGGCGCACTGCGGTTGGACGAGGTGCGAGCCCCGGCCCGGCCGGCGGTTTGCCCACGTGTTTGGAAGAACCCCTTTGGGTTGTTTTGGCAACTGGGGACCGGCCTGCTGCAGCGGCAGGGCACTGCCCGGGCCTGCCCGGCGTCGGGCGCGCAGCCTGGCGGTTGCTGGCCCGGCGCCGCCGCCTCGGTCTTTCCCTCCGAGGGGCCTGCCCGCAACTCCAGCACCCACCCGACGGCCTCGCCGCCCCGAGGGGCCCATGTGTTGCCAGCCAGCGCGCTTGCAGTCCCGCCGCCCCCCCGCCGCGCCCAGCTCTGTGAGGTGGCGCCCATTGTGCGGCCGCCGGTGGCCTCGCCTCGCCTCTTCCCTGGGGGCGCGCGGATCCCGAGGGAAAGGGGTCCTTTTCTCTCCACGAACAACAGTATCTTGTGTGAAAGCCGACTGAACAGTTTCCCCCAGCCTAACAAGGGCTTGAAATACCAAAAGGCAAACATGTCAAGAAACAACACACATGCAATCTCTTGGTATAACTTCCCTCACTTTATCCTAAAAGGAGCAGCCTCCTCCACTAACCCTTACTTACCTCTGAAAACCAGTTTTACAGGACAGTAACATTAAGGCTGTGTGTCCTGTGACACCAGGCAAGCTTGTGCATAGCCGCCACCCTTTGGTCCCCAGAGAAGCCTCCAGTGGTTCAACTGGCTTTCTTCCTTTGATCAGGATAAGTGGTGGTGTCTGAAATTTAACCAAGTTATAGTTACACTTACAAAGTTTGGCTGCCCTGCTCCTTTTCATTCAATCCTTCCTGAGTTTCTTCTTCCTTCTTGTTCAGTTCTTTGTGGGTCTCCTGTTCCTTGTCACTTGGTTCCTTGGGGTCCTGTTGGTCGTCGTTCAGTTCTTCATCGGTTTCCCGTTCCTCGTCATTCGGTTCTTCGTAGTTCTGTTCCCTGTCATTCAATTCTTCCGGCATTTCCTTTTCTTTCTTGCCCAATTCCTTGTGTGATTCCTGTTGCTTCTTCCTTGATTCTTCATGTGTTTCCTGTTTCCCGTTTGTTGGCATCATGAGAAAGACTTTTTTACGAGGTTTTTTCATAGGCTCACTGTCCTCATTTGTCCACTTCTTAAAAGAACTGAGACTTTTTACCACAATCAGTGCTGCAATAGCAGCAGCAGCAAGGGTGGCTATCGCTCCTGCTGCGGTTGCTATGAGGAACGTGAAATCCATTTTCAAGGGCGGTACTGAGGAAACCGTGATGTACTGTAATGTTCAGTAGTGTTTTGGCTCTGGTCTGTCTTCATTAAAGAAAGACATCTCTCTCCCATCTCACAAGCGCACAGGAAACGTGGTGACTCCCGCCGCCGCCGCCATCCTCTGTCCTCGCCGCGGCAGGTGTCGCGGCCGCGTCTCCCAGCAGGCAGTGCGTGAGCAGGGCAGGGGTTGGGTGCTGCTGCTCGCAACAGAACCTGGGCCCCAGTGCTGCAGTCGGCCCCCGGCTTGTACCCATTCTCAGTTCCCCTTGGAGCTACCGTTCCGTTAGGCCTGCCACCATCTATTTATTCTAGGATATCCTGAAATTCTCCTAGGACCATTTAGTTCCCCATTGCTCTCTGTACAACTTGAGAGTTTGAGAATAATTTTCCTATTAGAAAACACTTAAAAGATCAGAGTAGAAAAGAAACAACTGGGGTCAGGAGCAAGAGATTACTATTATTACATTCTTTACAATTTCTGGGAGGAAATGAGAGCACCTCCTGTCTGAAAGTACGACAGGTTTGGTGGGTCACAAGGATTGGGTTGTGGTCCCAGCTTGGTCTAACTTACTAGTGGTAGGACCTCTGGCAAGTTACTTAACTACCAAGCCCTAGGTTTAAAACCTGTTAAAATGAAGAAGATACATGTAACTATGAGACTGTTATTGTATAATGTGAGCATAGGCACAGTGCCTGGCACCAAAAAGGCCAATATATGGTAGATATGCCCAGCTGCTGCTGCAGTGTAGGAATTTTGTGGAGTTATGTATATTGATCAGTGTATCCAGCAATCCTTCTGTATTCTTATAAATTCTAATATTCCTAGAGATTCCTGGGTTTTCTGTATATAGAACCATATGGCCTGGGAAATAACTGTTTTTTCATTTTTAATCTTCTTATTTTCTCTTACGTTGCCTATGGTCATCAGTAGCACAATGAAGATTACAAGCTGTAATGGTGAGCATCCTTGTTTTGTGCTTAACATTAAAGACATCCACGCTGACATTAGAGAACCTGGATTTATCCTCTTTTCCTTGCTAAGAGGTTTCTCCTAAGTGGATACTAAAATTTAACAAATGCCATGCATCATCTATATTTTGAAATGATTTTTCTCATCAGTTAATGTGGCAAATAATATGAACAGATTTTCTTTTTTTTTTTTTTTTGTGGGTGGTAGATTTTTTTTTTTTTATTTATTTTTTATCACAACCATAGTGTATCTTTTTTTTTTTTTACATGTATTCCCCATCCCGGTCCCCCCTCCCACCTCCCTCTCCACCCAATCCCTCTGGGTCTTCCCAGTGCACCAGGCCCGAGCACTTGTCTCATGCACCCAACCTGGGCTGGTGAACTGTTTCACCCTAGATAATATACGTGTTTCAATGCTGTTCTCTTGAAACATCCCACCCTCGCCTTCTCCCAGAGTCCACAAGTCTGTTCTATACATAGGAGTCTCTTTTTCTGTTTTGCATATAGGGTTATCGTTACCATCTTTCTAAATTCCATATATATGTGTTAGTATACTGTAATGGTCTTTATCTTTCTGGCTTACTTCACTCTGTATAATGGGCTCCAGTTTCATCCATCTCATTAGAACTGATTCAAATGAATTCTTTTTAATGGCTGAGTAATATTCCATGGTGATGAACAGATTTTCTAATTCATATTTCTGAATAAATTTCTATTTGCTGCACTCCTAAGATAAACCTGTTAGGCCATCCATGATGGTTCTGTTTTAGATACATTTGATTTAGCTTGTGATTATTTTATTTAGAATGTTTATATCTGAGAGGTTTAATTTTCCTTTATTCTTCTTGCTAATATCAAGATTATACTAGCTTAAAGAAGTTGAGAATGTTTCCTCTTTTTCTTTTCTCTGGTAAGGTTTTGCAAAGACAAGCCTGAAAACCATTTTGACCTGGAGTTTACAAGCAGATTTATGACCATGGGTTAAGTTTCTTTAGGGTATGTAGTCTATGTTTTCTATTTCTTGTATCAATATTTATATTTTTACTGAAAAGTGAGCATTTCATCTAGGTTTTCATGTTTGTTGGCATAAATTTGATTATTCGTTTAAAAAAATCCCTTCCACAGCTATGTGTCCAACTTTCTCAATATTGTTTATTTGAATCCCTTTTCTTGGTTCCTTATCAGCTTTACTGATAATACTGATACTAGAGAAATGTGTCTGTGGGTTTGTAATTACTGCACTCCAGAATTAAGCAGATGTACCTACCTAGTTATAATAATACACCTAGTTTTGTATACATTGGGGTCTGCCCCTGAAACATTTTAAGGAGGAAGAGACCAAAATGTGTGTAGGCTCCCAAGAAAACTGATTATACCCAAATTTACCAAGTTATGTTACCTCTCCCACCAAAAAGTCTTTTACAGCCAGGGTTTGTCTAAGTTTACCAAGATGTTTACCAATTTGTTTACTTGACTGCTTTGGCATCCCTCTTTCCATCTGGGTTCAGTTTTCTTTCAGTAATTGTTTCAGTAAAGGTCTCTGAATGGTGAACATTTTTGTCTAAAAATCTTTTAATGTAAAAAAATGTACATATACACCATGGAATATTACTCAGCCATTAAAAAGAATTCATTTGAATCAGTTCTAATGAGATGGATGAAACTGGAGCCCATTATACAGAGCGAAGTAAGCCAGAAAGATAAAGACCATTACAGTATACTAACACATATATATGGAATTTAGAAAGATGGTAACGATAACCCTATGTGCAAAACAGAAAAAGAGACTCCTATGTATAGAACAGACTTGTGGACTCTGGGAGAAGGCGAGGGTGGGATGTTTCAAGAGAACAGCATCGAAACACGTATATTATCTAGGGTGAAACAGTTCACCAGCCCAGGTTGGGTGCATGAGATAAGTGCTCGGGCCTGGTGCACTGGGAAGACCCAGAGGGATTGGGTGGAGAGGGAGGTGGGAGGGGGGACCGGGATGGGGAATACATGTAAAAAAAAAAAAAAAAAGATACACTATGGTTGTGAAAAAAAAAATAAATAAATAAAATGTAAAAAAAAAATAAAAATAAAAATAAAAGTCACCTTTAACAATAAAAAAAAAATTTCTTTTATTGGAGGATAATTGCTTTACAATGTTGTGGTATCTCCGATTTACCTTTTGAATAACAACTTGGTTGTTGAGAATTTTTGATTGACAGTAACTGTCCCTTATCTTTTGGCATCCATTATTATGGATGAGTCTAAATATTGTTCCTTTCCAAGATATGAGTTTTATCTCATTATTTCATTTTGTAGTTCCATTAGGATGCATCTACTATGGATTTTATTAGATAAAGTCTACTCAGAATTTTTTTATTAACCTGAGGATGGGTGAACTTTTCAGGTTCTGGAGAAGTCTCAGTCACTGTCCTTTGATTACTGCCTCTCACCCCTTTGCAGTGTCTTTGGATCTCCTATTAGAATGTGTAGGGACTCTAACTTCTATGACTCTTAGCTCTTTTCATCATGTTTTTAATTTCAAACACTCTACCATTTCTAGATGTTCTTTCAAACATGACTCTTAGCTTTTTGTCATGTTTTTCATTTCACTCTACCATTTCTAGATGTTCTTTCAGACTTGCCTGTTCTTTTTTTAACTGCACTATTTGTATTGCTTCCTTTAAAAAATTTATTAGTCATTTTAAACATTCTAACTCTAGAGCCTTTGAGAGTATTTTATCACATTTTTAGTTCTCGGGGTGCTAATTCTGACTGCATAATACCTACCAGCTCTTCCACACAGTGCTTGTTCCCGCATGAGATTCATGTTTTCACTATAAATTCACCTTCAGTAAGGTTGTTTTTTCTGTGGGATATTTTGTGTGCCCTGGGTCACAGAAGTGTCCCAGAGAGGTTTTGTTATTTGTTTCTGTCAGAGCCCTGAGGAAGTCTCACTGGCCCTAGAACAGTTTTAATTATTCAGGTTGGAGTTCCTGTATCACAGATAGTGTTTATGTATATATTCTGAACTTTTTGTTGTGGCTCAAGCCTCGGGGTTTTAATTTCTCACAGATGACTTTCCTTTTTCCAACTTGTTGCTTTGAGGTAGTTGGCAATCCTCATTATGTACTATGGTCTGGTGCCTATCTTAGTTTCTCCTTTTAAATAAAACCCCTTCCAACCTTTCAGCTTTATTGTAATCATGTGGCTGGTAGGCACAGCATGTTGTTTCAGTCCCCTAGGTAACATTTCATTTTCTTTTGTCCTAACTATATACATGTTCCAGCCTTCAAAGAATACACTTTTGGTCTAGCGATTTAGTCATTAAATTCCTGTTTGTTCTCTATGGATGCCATTCAGGATTTTAAAGACTTTTTGCTTCTAAGCATGTCCCTGAATAAGCTGAAAACTTTTCTTTTCTTAGTTTATGTTTGTATGGGACACTGTTACTAATATCTTATTATTTTAACTGTGTTGGTACATCTTAAATCTTCTTTTTTGTAGTAACAGAATTACTGATAGTATAGAAGGAAAGAAAAACATCTTATTTAACTTTTTGTGTTATGTTGACCTCTGCAAGAAATCATGTTAAGAGTTTTCAAAACAGTTAACTTTTTTTCTCAAGTGATAGCACCCAATATACTACAAAGTGTACTTTGGATTATTTTCCTTGAAATATACTTTGCCCTGTGCACCAGGAAGTTCACTCACCCTGTTTTGGTTTTACCCAGTCATTGCCTCATAAAATCTTTCTAAAGTTTATCCCCACTAGCTTAACATTCCTTTACCCACTAAAACTTTAAAATCTTGGGGATTTCAATTGTACTATCTTCTAAAACATTTCTGAAAAACCAGACTCCTGTACAAAACCCTGAAAACTCTGCTTTGTCTTTAAGCCAGTTCCCAATTCTGATAAAAATTTGGTTCAGTTCAGTTCAGTTGCTCTGTCGTGTCTGACTCTTTGCAACCCCATGAATCGCAGCATGCCAGGCCTCCCTGTCCATCACAAACTGATGTCCATCAAGTCAGTGATGCCATCCAGCCATCTCATCCTCTGTTGCCCCCTTCTCCTCCTGCTCCCAACCCTCCCAGCATCAGGGTCTTTTCCAATGAGTCAACTCTTCACATGAGGTGGCCAAAGTACTGGAGTTTCAGCTTCAGCATCAGTCCTTCCATTGAACACCCAGGACTGATCTTTTGGATGGACTGGTTGGATCTCCTTGCAGTCCAAGGGACTCTCAAGAGTCTTCTCCAACACCACAGTTCAAAAGCATCAATTTTTTGGTGCTCAGCTTTCTTCACAGTGCAACTCTTACATCCATACATGACCACTGGAAAAACCATAGCCTTGGCCAGATGGACCTTTGTTGGCAACGTAATGTCTCTGCTTTCTAATATGCTATCTAGGTTGGTCATAACTTTCCTTCCAAGGAGTAAGTGTCTTTTAATTTCATGGCTGCAGTCACCATCTGCAGTGATTTTGGAGACCCAAAAAATAAAGTCTGACACTGTTTCCACTGTCTCCCCATCTATTTCCCATGAGGTGATGGGACCAGATGCCATGATCTTAGTTTTCTGACTGTTGAGCTTTAAGCCAACCTTTTCACTCTGCTCTTTCACTTTCATCAAGAGGCCTTTTAGTTCCTCTTCACTTTCTGCCATAAGGGTGGTGTCATCTGCATATCTGAGGTTATTGCTATTTCTCCCGGCAATCTTGATTCCAGCTTGTGCTTCTTCCAGCCCAGCGTTTCTCATGATGTACTCTGCATAGAAGTTAAATAAGCAGGGTGACAATATACAGCCTTGACGTACTCCTTTTCCTATTTGGAACCAGTCTGTTGTTCCAGGTCCAGATCTGACTGTTGCTTCCTGACCTGCATACAGGTTTCTCAAGAGGTAGGTCAGGTGGTCTCATATTCCCATCTCTTTCAGAATTTTCCATTTATTGTGATCCACACAATTGAAGGCTTTGGCATAGTCAATAAAGCAGAAACAGATGTTTTTCTGGAACTCTCTTGCATCCAGCCGATATTGGCAATTTGATCTCTGGTTCCTCTGCCTTTTCTAAAACCAGCGTGAACATCTGGAAGTTCTTGGTTCACGTATTGCTGAAGCCTGGTTTGGAGAATTTTGAGCATTACTTTACTAGCGTGTGCAATAAGTGCAATTGTGCGGTAGTTTGAGCATTCTTTGGGATTGCCTTTCTTAGGGTTACTCTATGCTTATTAATAATGTTAGCATCAAGGAAAATAAGGCTCAGGCATAGCCAGTTTTAAACTTTTTTATTTTCATCAATACAAAGTACACAAACTAATTTTCAAGGGGATAATTTTTGTTCTAAGATACATTCACATTTAGCAAGATTTTATTTATCTTAAAGATAAAAGCTAGCAGATATGCCATCTTTATATCTTTCACTTTCCAACTACAGGTTTACAGTGTCATTAAAGTCATTATCATTTTTTATAATCAGATATAGAATCTGTGCTTATTAAAAGCTATATGATACCATAAACACTATACATAGTAATAACCTGAGCTTCTTTAGTAGAGATGTTGTAGAAGAAAGCTTACTTATGCCCATAGATATCATGATGACATCTCTTGATAAGCTTTTAAGAAATATTTGTCATATCATATGATTTCAAAAGATAGGGAGACAGTTAAAATAATATAATTTTAAGAGAAGATACTTTCATTTCTTATATTTTAGCATTATACATTTTACCTTTTTTATTACAAAAGTAAGAAAAAGACTTTAAACTAATAAAAAAAATATGTACCACTTAAGTAAAATGTCTCATTAAAGTGAGTTTGAATCTAAATAGGAAAGAAACTGCATTTATCTGCTTTTTTAGTATTTAAATTCTTGAAAAAGCCTTTGCTTTATTGCAGAATTAACACTTTAAGAAAATACAGTAATAACACTATCAAAATGTACACAAATGGCAGCTATGTAATTTGTATGTTTAAGAAGTTAACTATATCCATTTCTCAATTTAATCTCCTGATGAACTACCTCCAATGTCAATATTAAGGAGGTCTTTAATTTTATCATATAATACCAAGACCAAAGCACCCCCTGTACCACGAAGGATGTTGGAGAAGGCACCACGAAAAAATGCACCAATTCCTTCCTGTTGGTATATCTTCATAAAGCAGTCTAAAGTTCCTTTATATTGCCGTTCAGCCTCACCACTCTATATAAAGACAAACAGTTTGCCATTATCTTAGTATCTTTTATCATAAGACAGATTTTATATAGCACCAAGGATAGATTAAAATTAATACTGTGTTGAATAAGTATGTTGAGTTAACAGTCATATACTGAATACTGTTCCCACTGACTGGAGAATACTCATACTTTTTCAGGTACACTTTAAAAATGGCCAAATATTAGGCTTAACAAATTTTAAAATATGGCATCACATAACATGATTTTATCATTTCACCACACTGTAATTAAGTGAGAAATCAATAGCAAAAAAACCAAAAACAAACTAGAAATATATTGTATTTGGGTGTTAACAAAAATATATCTTAGAAAATTTGTAAAACTTACTTATAACCATAAAATGCCTCAAATAAACTTGTAAGATGTAGTCTGAATGGTAACTTGAACCACCAGAAAAAAAGGAAATAATGCAACAGAAAGAATAAAAAACAAAAACTTATTTGAAATTCTTTGACCAATTTCTAGAAACATTGTTTCAGGAAAAACAAGAAAAGGTTCTTAAATTATTAGGTGTGGCAAAGGTAACATCACTGCAAATGACCCAGAGATTAAGAGAGAGCAACATGATACTATGAACAACTTTTATTACATTTTGAAAACTCAGAATAAATAAATTCCTTAAAGGTATAATTTACCAACAGAGTAGGAAAAAATACTGGACTAACACTAAATTTGTTACAGAAATTCAATCAGTTGTTGAAAATCTCATAAATTAGAAAACCACATATCCAGATGGCTTTATATGTGAGTTCTAATAAATATTCAATGAACATTTAATTCCAATCTCACAGAAACTATTCCAAGGAAGAGAAAAAGTGGGGAGACTCTGCAACATATTTTATAGCGATTATATCAGCCTGATACCAAAGTTAGACTAGGATAATACAAGAAGGAAAAAAATATCAAGCTTATGTCAGAGAAAGAGCGGATACAAAAATCCTGAACAAATCCAGCAAATCAAACCTAGCAAAGGGTACAAAATATAATACACCATGACCAAGCTGGATTGATCCCAGGCATATAAGGTTGGTTTAGCTGTGGAAAATAGATTAATGTAATACATATATGAATACATGAAAAGAGAAAATAATATGATCATCTCAATATAGAAAAAAAATGACCACTATTCATGATTAAAAATTACTGTAATCCAAAACAGAAAGGACAAATCATAACATAATAAAAGATAACTGAGAAATTCACAGCTAATTATTAAACTTTGTAACTGAAGGCACTTTCTGTAAGACAAGGAACAAAACAAGGTTGCCAGTTATTACTTCTTTAAAGTAACACTGAATCAGAGGTCTCAACCAGTACAGAAAGGCAAGAAAAGGAATAAGGAATAAGAATTGATAAGAGAGGGGGGACAAATGTGGTATTATTTGCAGATTATATCACTGTGTAAAAAAAAAACTTCAAAGGGTATACATACTGATAAGTGTTTGTAATAAGGCTTAACAAAGTTGGGGGATATAAAATCAAATGCAAAATTTAAAGAATAGTGTCACATAATGTGTCCTCACAAAATTCACATATTAAAGACCTAACCCCAGAACTGCAGACTGTGACTATATTTGGATAGAGTCTTTATAAAGATAATTAAGGTTAAATGAACTCATTAGAGTGGGCCCTTACCCAAAATAATCATCTTTATAAGAAGAGAAACAAAAAGGACCATGAGAAGACAAAGGGAGAAGGCCATCTACAAGCCAAGGAGAGAGGCCCTCAGAAGGCACCAACCCTTCTGGACTGTTAGAAAATAAATCTCTGTTGTTTAAGCCACCCAGTCTTTGGTACTTTGTTATGGCAGTGGTACTATGTTTTATATATATAACAATGTACACACATACATATAAATCCACACCCACAATTTTTTATGAATTATTTTGACAGTAAGTTGCAGCTATAGTTGCCCCTTAAACATTTCAGTGTGAATTTTCTAAGAATAAGTATATCGTCCTACATGCCCAAAGTAGTTATAAAAATCAGACAATTTAACACTGATACTGAACCATCTACCTAATTCAGTCTATTTACAAATTAGTTTTCTATTTTCAAAAGTTTTTCAATTAAACCAGAGCTAGACATAGATCAAGAGGAAACCAGATATAAAAGGAACAACTTTAAGGATAGTCCATATGAAGCAACAGGTTAAATAGGTTAGATATGCTTTACGCTTTCAAGGAGATCCAACTAGTCCATCTTAAAGGAAATCATTCCTTAATATTTATTGGAAGGACTGACGCTGAAGCTGAAACTCCAATACTGTGGCCACCTGATGAGAAAAACTGACTCACTGGAAAAGACCCTGATGCTGGGAAAGATTGCGGGCAGGAGGAGAAGGGGACCACAGAGGATGAGGTGGCTGGATGGCATCACCAGCTCAATGGACATGAGTCTGAGTGAACTCCGGCAGTTGGTGATGGACAGGGAGGCCTGGCGTGCTGCGGTCCACGGGGCCGCCAAGAGTCGGACGCGGCTGAGCGACTGAACTGACGACGGTCCCTTTCCTGTGGCCCAGTGGTTCTTCAAGACCGTTCTGTAGAGGGCGATGAGGACAGTGATAGCAACTACACCTCACACATTAGCTTGAGGATGAATGAGTTAAAGTGTAGCATACTGAGGACAGTTCTGCCACATAATAAACATAGCTTTGCTGGCCGCATTATTTTCACTTGCCCTCACGAAACCTATCATAGATGGGTTACACTGAAATACTTTTCAAGCCATACCTTTAGGTATGTTTTTTTCCCCTCTGCTGAGAATGTTCTCTCACTATCTTGAGAAAAAGCCTATTTTCTGAGATTTAGCTCTTTAAGAGGCCCTATCTGATCACTTTTAAGCACTTGAGTACCCTTCCCCTACTGCATTCTTGGAATGTATGCACATTTCTATTTAAACCGTTAATAATATGCTTTCAATAGTATGCTATGAGTTTGGGTGCAGGTTCTGCCTTATTTTATTTGTGTCTCTGAAAGTGTCACTCAGTTGTGCCTGACTCTTTGCGATCCCATGGACTGCAGCCCACCAGGGATTTTCCGGGCAAGGATACTGGATTGGTTTGCCATTTTCTTCTCCAGGGGATGTTCGTGACCCAGTGATTGAACCTGGGTCTCCTGCACTGCAGGCAGATTCTTTACTGACTGAGTTAGCAGGGAAGCCCATTTGTGTCACTACAGCTGGGTGAATAGTCACTCAATTATTTGCTAAATGAATGAATATAAGAAGTATCAGCAATGGAGATCAACAAAATTCTGGTCTGGGGATTTACATTTAGAATATACATCATTATAAATAATGTTTCCCTCCTTGGAGTTAAAATTATTTACTTTTATTAAAATATCCTAAACAAATTATTACGTATGTCAGTGGCCTGTGACTGGGCTTATTCTACTTAATCTAATATTCAGTTAAGACAGACACATTCTCATCTAATCCCTGCCATGCCCCTCCACTCTCCAAACAGTAATATACACTACAGGAGAGAAAGACACTGCTGTTCTGATAGTAGACATGGAAGAAACTTTGCTGGATGATGAATGACTGCTTATGATAGGAAACACAACAAAACATATCATTGTATTTATTTCAGTAATAAAATGAAGGGCCTATGTCTTTTAGTCGAAATGTCTCTAAATTACACCTGAATATCAGAGATATTGGAAAACTCAATTAAGCTTACAAATAATATAAAATACCTGCATCATCATACGTCTTCTAACTGTGTCAAAGGGATAAGAGAGTATTCCAGAGCATGTAGTCACAACTTGAGCAATGAAGAAGGCGACAAGAAAAGGTGTCTCTTTTGGTTTTGGTAATAAGCCCTAGAAAAGAAAAATTATCAAGTAACCATCTAAATTTCCAAAATACCTTAAATTATTAAGTCAAAGGAAAATTCATTTATATATATATATATATATAAAAGAAGGCTCAATTATATTTAAAATGCAATAAACAGTTGGATTTAGTATGGAAAGATTAATAAGAAATCAATAAGAAAGGAGAACCCCACACTATATTTTAAAATTTTATTTGAAAAAGAATAGTATATCTGCAATTATAGGAAATTTGTTATTAACAGCACTGAAAAGGAGAGGAGATGGCCAAAAAAAAAAAGTTCTTCCATTGTTCTTTCTCATAGAGTTGGAAAGGATGAAAGAATGCCTGTTACTATTGACAGATAACATTTGATAAGCTTTAAAGCTCTAAGCTAGTGAAGAAACATTTCAACTACAGCTGATAATAGAGAAAAGCACAGGGAGAGTAAACATAAATTTTTCTGTGATTAAATAAACATATATAATATCCTATAATTTCCATTAACCTATCTGTCTAAAAAATACACTAAAAACGAAAAGCAATATGTCCAGACTGCAATAAAAATGACATTCAATTACATCTGTACTGAACAGGGAGAGCAGAAATAATATATAACACCATCATAAAATTTCCCTCAAGTTTTAATCTTAATACTAAATAGTACTGATATTAATTTCATTGCTTCTTTTTAGAAGCATTATGATATAGTGGTTAAAAACATGGGATCTGTGCTTGCCACATAAATTACTCGGCCATTTCTAGGTTATTTTTAAAATGGGATATACTAAAAGCTCTCACAGTGTTTGGATGTAAAGCCCTTAACAAGGTTCTTGAAACTAAGTAATAGATCAAAAAATAGCAGCCATTATTACTATCTCTTGTTTCCTATCTTACAGAGACACTACTAACATCTGAAATGAAAATGCAAATTGCAGAACCTGGAGAACAACACAAAATTTAACAGTACCCAACAGATCACTGAGCTATAGTAGCATATTTATCATATTTAACTATTATGCCTTGCCTGTTTTCCAAAGATGATAGTAAACTGATAATATCCATGTAAAAAAGTGATAACAAAATGAATGTAAAATTAGAAAATAACTGTTAGAAGATGCCTGCCTATATATCAAATATTCAATTATGATATAAATCTAACTAGCATGTTTTCTATTTGAGTCTTCCAGTGCAAGCAGCACAAATACTTTATGCTTTATATCCGAATTCAGGTTCATAAGAGTTATAATTTAATTAGGTTATGGCAAAGTCATGATTAAACAGAAAGCTATAATGTCTCTTATGTCATCATTTATTTTGATTTCTATAATTAAAAGTAAACATACTTGCTGAACATATTACTAATTAGAACAACAAAAAGAAACAATCTATTTAACATATACTAAAGTACCAAATTACCTTAACTGTGTCATAAGCTCCAAAATAAGAAGCTCGGTACACAATGATGCCTTGAACTGAAACACCAAACCCTTGGTATAAACCAACAATTCCATCTGATTTTGCTATTTTCATAATACAGTCACCTAAACCCTTGAACTGTCGCTCTTCAGGACCTAAAATACAGCCATTTAAAAATAATTAGCAACATTATAATCAGATAAACACTTTAATCAAAGTAAATTAATTAAACATTTTACAGATTTAAATTACCTGGTACTAACATTTAGAAATCTTTCTAACAAGGCGCAAATCGAAACCTTCCCATTCATTTAAAGATAATTAAGATGTCAAGTAGTATCAAGATATTTTAACTGCAAATATTAATCTCTTATATAAGCAATCTAATTCAAGCAATCTGATTGGCTTAAAACATTTCAATAAAATTGCCATTCAATAAAGTTACTAGTTAGCATTCAGAAAATACTTAGGCATTAAAAACCTCTACAGCTTGTTTCAGTTGAAGAGCAAAAAGACAGATAAAACAAAAAGGAAAAGCTAAAAACTAGTAACTTTAAGGATTATTAACATTTTAGATAAGGTGTCATATTTTTCTAGTGTTTGATGGTTTTTGTTTTAGTTTTCCCTTGACCTAGAAATATTTGATATTTTACAATTATATATAGAATACAATGTTTCAAAATAAAGTTCTTCCAATTGTGAGAGAAAACAAAACTATAGAATTGAAATCAAACCAGGATGAATGTTATTTTCACTTTCTTAACAAGAACATCTGTACTGCCAGTTAAACATGATAGATCAAACTCCTCATCTTTGTCCAAACTGTCATCCCTTCTGAGGCCTTTCCTCTGATCATTTATCTATAATGGATGTCATTCTCTTCTGAATTTTTTTCCTGGCATTTACTGCTAAGTGACAGAAGATTTCAGCCATTTTTTCCTGTTTTTATTACTAGGATCTCCACTACACTGTAAGGCACATGAACCATGAGCTCCATGTTTAATACGGTCTATCTCAAGCAGGACCTACTTTACCCAATAATACTTGTTGAATGAATCTCTGCTTCTTTGAGAAATTCTATTAAAATAATAACAAGGGAAAAACAGGTTTACAGCAAAAAAGAGTACATGACAAGAATAAAGTTCACAAATTTTGGCAAGATGGAAAGGAGGTGGAGGAGTGGTCACTCACTAAGAGTGAGCAGAGAAAGGTGAAACCTAATTTCTTGCAGAGGGAGATACTGTTGAAAAGAGAACCACAGGTCTCCAATAATCACAGAAATTTTAAATTAAAGGAATTAAGTACTATTGTGGTAAGGCTCCAATTTGTGCTGAAGTCACATGGGGCCAACTGACTTATCTTCGCAATTACTGAAAAAGACTCACACAAAGATACATCATTGTGAATGTCAAATCATCAGGGATAGAAGGTAATTAAAAAGAAAAAAACACCAAATGGTGGATGATAAATGTGCTGGGGGGGGCCGGAGGCCCTGGAATGGGAAGGCGTGGTGGCTTCTGTGGAGGCTTCGGCAGCGGCACCGGTGTCCAGGGCTGAGGCTGCACAGCTTGCCGAGGCAAAGCCAAGGACATCACCAAGCTGGGCCGCCTGGCCAACGACAAGAAAATCAGGTCACTTCTTGTGCCCATTAGGCACTGAGATCACTGACTTTTGAGAACAATGACTGTCCTGGGACATCCCTCAAGGGCAAGGTTTTAAAGATTATGCCTATGCAAAAGCAGACCGGTGCTGGCCAGTGGACCAGGGGACATTTTGTCACCACTGGGGATGACAAGAGACACGTCAATTTGGGTGTCAAGTGCTTCAGGAGGTAGCCAGTGCCATTCGCGGGGCCACCACCTGGCCAAGCTCTCCATCATCTCTGTGCTGTGAGGCTCCTGGGGAGACAAGAAGAGCGAGCCCCACACTGTCTCTGACGCGGCGACAGCCCGCTGCTGGGGCTCAGTGCTGCGACGCCTCATCCCTGTCCTCGGGAGCACTGGCGCGGCCTAGCCTCTGTGCCCAAGAAGCTACTGATGATGGCTGGACTGACGACTGCCGCACCTCTGCCAGGGGCTGCCGCGTAACCTTGGGCAACTTTGCCAGGGCCACTTCTGATGCCATTTCCAAGACCTACAGTTACCTTACTCCTGATCTCTGGGAAGAGATGTTGTTCACCACGTCTCTGTATCAGGACTTCTCTGACCAACTCGTAAAGACTCACACTAGAGTTTCCGTGCAGAGGACCCAGCCTCCACATAGCCATCATATAGTTTTATATGAGAAAAATACAATGAATGAAGCCAGAAAAAAAGAAAAAAAGCCATCTACAGAAGGATCAGCAGTAAGAAAATGATTTCTTAAGAGCAGTATTAGAAACTAGACTCCAGAGTAATGCTTTCAAAATTGTGAAAGAAAATGAACATACGGCCAAATATTAAGAGTGAAACAGACATTTTCAGACAGCCAAGATCTCACTTTATCTCCTATCTACCCTCCTCAGAAAGCTATCAAAGCATGCATCTACCAAAACAAGGGTATGAAGAAACACAGAAAGATATGATAAATAAGTAAGGATAGAGGAAAAGGGAATCTAGGGTGAGAGTTATACACATAACCTAGAAAGGGGCCCACAGTCAAGACAGGTAAATAAGGGCATGAAGGGATCTAGGGGATGGCTCTCTAAATAACAAAAATAGAAACAAACCAGAAGTTAAAGTGCTCTTTGTGGCTTACTTTTTTGTTATTATAGTGTTGGCCTTCCTTTCCCTCGCGTAAAAGAAAAGAAAAAAGTAGTAATCTTTAGGCTCTATGACTTTACCATTTGGTTGAGAATAAAATTTTTAAGTTGAATCCAACACTACTGTTAAAAGCATAACTATGATAAATAATACAGTGTTCAAAAACACAAAGAAGGAAGAGTTAGTATTTCTAATAATTCCGTACCTTTTCCAATATCAGCACCTAATCGGGTTCGGGCAAAATCTAGTGGGTAAACTACACATAAGGATGTTGCCCCAGCAGCTCCACCAGAAGCGAGGTTTGCCAAAAACCACCTCCAAAACTGAAACATATTAATTAAAAAGTAGTTATTAAACTATAGAATCTGATTTTTAAAAATCCTTTATTTTTATAAGGTTAAAAAGCCAGATTTATAAGATCCTTTTATAAAATAAACACCTAAAATAAATAAGCATATATTATCATCCAAAATACTTCCCTTCATGTCCATGTAGGCTTTGTTTCTTAACCAGGCAGTCTAGGAGATACAGGTTAGATGCTGACATATTGAAATTCCAAGATATTTTAATATGCTCCAGCAAAAGCAGACCAGATTAGCACAAGAAGTCACATAAGATACTCCACTCTTTAGACTGTATAAAGCTTTTTATTATTAATATATCTTTTTATGACTAAAATGTTAGGCATCTGTGGAGGCCTCAGCTGTTCCCTTTCTTGGTGGCAGGGGAGAGGGATAGTAATATATCATAATGCCACAATTTCACTTTGTAGTTTTAGTAAAAATAAATTTAAACAGCTCAAAAATATAGACTATGTTCAAATGCCAAATGTAAATTGGCAGAAATCAATTATAATGTGGCTGAGTGGCATGGAAGACCTTACTGATCTACTAGTTCACACGGGCTGTTGAGGTTCTTCTTGATAAACATTTGAAATGTTCTCTGCTTAGTTCCAATAAACTGCTTTTCAACATCTAGCGCTCAAGGAAGAGAAAGGAATATTTGAACTGGAGTTCTTACAGAAAACCTAGGGTACAAGACTGCTGTAACCATCCTAGTCAAACTCAGTTCCTTGCTTCTCTAACGCCTATTTTTTTTTTTTTTTTGATTTAGTATTAATAGGAGGATAATTGCTGTGCTGGTCTCTGCTGCACAACAACACGCATCAGCTACACGTACACACACATTCCCTCCCTCTTGTGGCTCTTATTTCCAAAAATAAGTTTAAGTCTCCCAGTCTCGGCTTTGGAACTCTCTATTTTCTCCTGGCCTGGAATGCCCTTTCTATCTTTTTAATTTTCTTCCTACCTTTTATAAACAAAAAGCTATTGATTTATGCTCTAATTCAAATTCTGTTTCTTTCATGAATTCTCTTATCTTCAGCTCACTTAAAACTATATGTAATCATACCCTCTTTCTATAAATACTTCCTCTCTCAGAGAATTAAAGGTAAATCATGTGATCAATATGTAAAATGTATCAACATGTTCCAGATTCTTTTTTTAAAACCAGTATTTACAATGACTACTTCCAATTTACAATTATTTGTATACCTGTCTTGTTTTACTTTCTACAGACTATAAATTTCTACAGGCCAGAATTATTTTTATTTTTACTTACTGAGATATATTTACCTACTGTTCAGTTCACCCATATATTCAAATCAATGAATTGTTAGTGTATCAGAGTTCTGCAACCATTATCAGTTTCAGAACATTTTCATCACTCCAAAAGAAACCTTGTACCCATCAGCAGTCACTCCATATCTTTCCCATCTCCCTGAACCCAGCATAACCATTAAGCAACTTTCTGTCCATAGACCTGCCTATTCGAGACACCCCCTGTACATGGAGCAAGCAGTCTTTCGTGGCCGGCTGCTTTCACACGTGTTTGTAAGGTTCATCCGTGCTGTACCATGTGCAGCATGTGTTAGCATTTCATTCCTTTTCATTGACAAATAGTCTTTTACTGACTTATCACATTTTATTTATCCATATCAGTTGCATGGACAATTAGGTTGTCTACATTTTTTGAGGCCTGAATTCTTAATTCATTTGTTTATTTCACAAAGCAAGTCATAGGGCCTTGTCCAGAGTAAGAGTAATGAATTCAATAAATATTTGTTTAATGAAGGGTACTTGGACTCCCACAGTGCCTTTTAACATGAAACTCGTAAGTTCTACTGTACAGATAAGCCATGGTTCATAAGCACATAGAGATAATGAGACCAGAAGGTAGCTAATCGATAGTTTGGAAGATGATATGTAATCCGGCAGAAAAAGAGGAGCTAGGCCACAGTTTAAATCTTAGAAATGTGAATCTAGAAATTCTAGGCCAGTTAGCAGTAAGGACAGAAACAGAAAAAACATTAAATAATGTTTTTAGGTTTCAGTCTACTTTGAGACTGTTGAAAACTACAGATACTCTTCCAATAAAAATCTCACATATATAAACACAATTTTATTGTAAAAGTTTAAATTATTCCTCAAGTATGCATGGATCTCAGGTAAAGAACCCCCCCTCCACTTGAAAGGTTAGTAGGAATCACTATGATATTAACACTGAACTTAAAAGAAATAAAATATAGGGAAGTAAAAAAGGTGGGCAATAATGAGAAAAGGCAGAGCAAATATATATGCACAAAAAACCAGATCATTACAGACAGAGATAAACTAACTGACCTGGGAAACAAAGCTAAAAAGTATAGTTTGATCCCTATAGCTGCCGGTGGTTCAAATTCCACTGCAGTAAATACGTCTTTTTCTTGAAGTAATTTCTCTGCGTCTTACAAGCAAATAGGCCAAATCAAATAGGCTATGCAGCACAAAGATTTATAAAGTGCATCTTAAGTTCAATTTAACCTTCTATTTCCTTCCTAGATAAGAGAAAGAAAACAGATCTATAACTTTCTGGGGTAAATGATTGTATAATTTACATAGTTTACTATTCAAACAGGGACCCCTCTGATAGTGAAAGTGGGGCTATGAGAAAGCAATGCAGGCAGGCACAAAATGTATAAATAGTATGGCCAAACTACTAGGGGAAGGAAGGCAGGGAAGGTTAAGGAGGATGAAAGGAGGGAAGAAGGAGATAAGACTCTATGCTAAATGATAATTCTGCAAGTGTTTCTGTAACAGATAAAGTCTGTCCCTCCACAATTAAGCTTGAAAATAAAACACCCAGAAGTTGTTTTTTAAGTTTGTAATTTCAGATATTACTATACTGTAAAAGGGGCTTCCCAGGTGGTGCAGTGGTAAAGAATCTGCCTGCCAATGTAGGAGATGAAAGACATGTGGATTCAATCCCTCGGTCGGGAAGATCCCCTGAAGTAGGAAATGGCAACCCACTCCAGTATTCTTGCCTGGGAAATCCCAGGGACAGAGGGGCCTGGCGGGTTACAGGCCACGGCGTAGCAAAGAGTCGGACACGACCAAGCACCGCCACCAAACTGTAAACGGAGAGGGAGTGAAAGGAATCAGGAAAGGAGAATAAGAGAGTTTAGGGGGTTTGGAGGAAAATAACCCTATTCATTTTCAACTGTTGACAAATAGGTGATAAGCTGCCTCCAAGCACAAGCACCTGGGACCAAAGTTCTTTCTAACAGTACGTGTGGGCATGGAAGAGAGAAGGAAGCTCCAGTCTTCACTGAGGGTTGTGCTGGTAGCTGCTTAGCAGCAGCAGAGACACATTTATGCCCAGGTCCAGCTAACACTCATCTAGTTTAGTCACCTCAGATGAGGGGAGTAAGAGTATGGTAGAAAGAACTGAATTTGGGAATTAGAAAGACATGGACAAATGACTAGGGTAAGTGCTTTAAGCTCTGTTTTGTTTTCCTTATCTGTACATTTGGGGTAAAAAGAACTACCTCAAAGGGCAAGGTAAAAATTCAGTGAAAGAGTATATAGTAGGCACACAGCTCCCTACCATGGTTATTTTTAAAAACCTTTTAGTCTGACATAATAGCAGATTCACATGCATCCTAGTACATATGAAGTCTATAAACTTTTCAAGCAATTTCCCCCAAAGACCGTCTCTAGCATAATGACGTGTGTGCATGCTCAGGGGTCTCAGTCGTGTTTGACTCTTTATGACCCCATGGACTGCATGGAGGCTGCCATCCTCTGTCCATGGGACTCTCCAGGCAAGAATACTGGAGCGGGTAGCCATGCTCTCCTCCAGGGGATCTTCCCAACCCAAGGATCAAACCTGACTCTCCTGTGACTCCTGCACTGCGGGAGGAGTCTTTGCCCATGGAGCCACCAGGGAAGCCCAGCATAACTATAGTAGAGAAAATTAACATTGATGGAAATCTACCTAATTCAGATTTCACAAGTTTTACGCACTTATCTGTGTGTGTATTTAGTTCTATGCCATTTTATCATATGTGCAGATTCATATGACCACCAATTATCACAGTGAACAGTTCCATGATAAAGATCCTCCATTTATGGACCTCTTTATAGCCACCTGCCTCTCTCCTGGCAACCACTATTATGTTTTCCATCTCTATAATATTCTTACTTCAATAATGGTAAACAAATGAAATCAGAAGGCAAATGTCTTTTGAGATTGGTATCTTTTCAGTTAGCATTCAAAGTTGCTGTTTGTATCATGTTTGTTCTTTTTTAAAACTGTATGGTAAAATTTACTGTTCAGGCATTTTAAGTGTATAATTCAGTGGCATTAAGGACAACACTGTATAGACATTACTATTTCCAGAACTTTTCATTATGCTAAACATAAACTCTGTACCTATTAAAGAATCTCCCTCCCCCTTACCCCTGGCAACCTCTGTTCTATTTTGTCTCTATGAATTTGCCTTTTCTAGATCCCAAGAGGATCATACAATACTTGTTTTATCAAAAGGTGTTTCTCTTCATTGCTGAGTGACCTTCTATGGTGTGATGTACCACAGTTTAAGTATTCACCTGGGACATCTGGGTTATTCCCAAATTTTTGCCTATTATGAAACAATCTTCTATGAACATTGTATACTTTGCTTTTTTGTGAACAGAGGTTTTTTTTCCTCTGGGATAAATGCTCAAGAGTTGGACTGTATGATAAGCATATGTTTAGTTGTAAGTAATTGTCATTACTCTCTTGAAAGCGGCAAGATCATTTTACATTCCCACCAGCAGTGTAAAATTCAGCTTCTCTGAATCCTTGCCAACACCTAATATTGTCACCAGTGTAGCCATCCCGAGAAGCATGTAGAGATATTTATTGTGGTAGACCAACCACTTTTAAATCACATACACTGTACTTGTTTTTTGTATCTTCAATGTTTCTTTGAAAACCAGGTAAGAAACCCAAAATACTGAATTTTCATTTTCAGGGTTTTTTTTTTTTTCACTTTTCTTAGAGCAGGAACAGAGATAGGTGAAAATTTTGATGTCTAAGGGCAGAAATAGAAGGGTCACTAGTAGCCACATTTAATAAATAATATATATCTAAACTTACATATTACTTGTGACTGAATATCTTTACATAGACTGCATGTTCTTTCTTTTTCATTGTTCTTTTCTTATCTTTTGGCCACACCTTGCAGCATGTGGGATCTCAGTTTCCCAACCAGGGACTGAACCTGTGCCCCCTGTATTAGAAGTATGGAGTCTTAATCACTGGACCAGCAGGAAAGTGCTAGCATATTCTTTAGAAGCATACTAAAAATGTTTTTACCTCAAGCTCTACTGATTTGAAATTTATTACAAAGTTTTAACAGAGATCAGAGTTAACTGAAACTTTTAGAGCCATGTTATTTACACTGTTAGGGACAGGTGTTAGTAACATAAATTTTCTAGTTAATTCTGGAGTTAATCGCTCCATCTGGCTTAGTTTTACAGGAATTATCTTTTGGGGTAGATAGGGTGGAAAATGTTCAGTAAAGGGTTAACTCAGCAGGCTTGTGTTGCCCAAACCCGGCACATACTGAAAAGATCTCCCTCCTTGACCAAACTCAAAGGTTCCTTTGCCGTAACCTTCTGAGCCCATGGAATATCCTATCTAGTAAGACTGTCTTTATATGCCAGAAGCTTTGGCAACACCAGATAGTTTATATTAACACTGATTTATGGTGAACACCTCTTTGTATACTTGGGGCTCTGGGCTGAATTATATCAGTTTGACCTTTTGAGTAGGTGGCGGCCGTAGCTGGAGATGAGTAGCTAAGGTCAGTCTATTATACATGCCTGTGAAACTGAATCCCCTCCCAAAAGACCTGACCACCACAGCTCAAGTGAGCAGCCTTATCTGGCAGTATATTATACGTGTGGTCTTACATTATTGCTGGGAGAACTAAGTGTTGTTCAGCTGAGTCTACTAGGAGAGGACACCGAGAAGCTTGCACCTAGTTTCTCTTGGATATTGTCCTATGTGCTTTTTCCCTTTGTTGATTTTAATCTACATCTTTTTTTGCTGTAATAAACCAGGAGTATAATAGCTTTTCTGAGTTCTTTGAGGCCCTACTCAATCAATGAACATGAAGACAGTCTTGGGGACTCTCTGATACAAGTCCATAGTCAAAAGAAGTTCCAACTATTACAAGTTCCAACTAAAGATCCCTTAGTTATTAAATTTGTGTTAAGAGGTTTATAGAAACTTGTAAAAGTTAATATAATTCTAAATTTCCATATGTAATTTCTATGACTTAACACATATTATAATATGCTAACAGTTATTATGCTTTAACTATTATTTTTTCCACTACTTGAGCACCTCCTCCCCAAATAAAACTCCACAGGTTTTTTAATGGATAAAGAAGATGTTGTACATATATAATGGAAAATAACAGCTATAAAAAAGAATGAAATAACACCATTTGCAGCAACATGGATGTAACCACAGATGATCACAGTAAATGAAGTAACTCAGAAAGAAGTATGGCATCACTTATATGTGAAATCTAAAATATAACAGAAATGGACCTATCTACAAAACAGAAGTAGACCCACAGACATAGAGAACAGACTTGTGGTTCCCAAGGGGTATGGTGGGGTGAGGGGGGGAGAGGGGAGAGGCTGGGCTAGCAGAAATAAAATACTATATATATGATGGATAAACAAGGTTCTACTGTATAGCATAGGGAATGATATTCAATATCCTAGGATAAACCATACTGGAAGAGTGTATTAAAAAGAATGTATATATACATGTCTAACTGCCTCACTTTGCTATACAGCAGAAATTAACACAATATTGTAAATCAGCTATGCTCTAACTGGAAAAAAAATACCTCAGGTAAGGCAAATCCAACTACTACTTAGAAAATTTTAGAGATATTAAAATATAACTACCTGCTTTTTCTAAAAACAGAACTATCATATGATAAAGCAATTCCACTCCTGGGTATATCTCCAAAAAATACAAAAACACAGCTCAAAAAGATGCAGGCACCCCAATGTTCAGGGCAGTATTATTTGTAACTGCCAAGATTGTAGAGGTATGTAATCAATCCAAGTGTCCATCAACAGATGAATGGATAAAAAAGATGTGATATATATCAACAATGGAATACTACTGAGCTATTAAAAAGCACGAAATTTTGCCATTTGCAGCAACATGGACAGACTCTGAGGGCATTATGCTAAATGAAGTAAGTCAGAAAAAGACATATATACTTCATGATATCATTTCTATGTGGCATCTATAAACCACAACAAACTAGTGAATAAAACAAAAAAGCAGCAGATTCACAGACACACAAAACAAACTAGTGGTCACCAGTGAGGAAAGGGAAGCGGCACTGATCGGGGTGTGGGGGAAAGGGTTACTGCGGGATAATCTGAGTTACGTATGTGAGACTTCTAAAAGCTGCAAAGCACTATATAATTTAAAGAATCTTTCATTCAATCAAAAAATAATAAAAAATAATTACCTGTTTTTCTTTATTAACTCCAGACATGAACAGTTGTTTGTATTTGTCTTTGAAAGCAAAGTTTAGAGCTTGTGTTGGAAAATACCGGATAACATTTGCCAAATTGCCACGCCAGTAACTGAGGAAACCTACAAAAGAAAACATACTAAATATAAACTTGCATTATTACTAAATGATTTGCATAGTTTTAACAAACTTAGCTGTTTGAACTACCTAAAACTTACATCTTTTCTCATGAGAAAAAAAGTGTACATGTGTCTCCAACTGAAGAAAAAAAGGCAGTGTTAACTTCAGGCACCCCATTTCAGTTTTGTTAATTTTCAATAAGAAGCCTTGACTACCTAAAAACCTATGGAAAGTATTACCAGCTGAATATAGGTCTCTTCACTAATTGAAAAACAGAGCTTACTAGTACTCATCAGAGAAGTTTAGTCTCATTTCAAATCATAAAATACAATTCCTATGGTGACAAGTCTGTTGCAAAAAAACTTGTATATATACTCTTGAGAATGTTGTATATATACTCTTGAGAATGAGATAAAAGAGTCTTATATTTATATTTTAAAACCTAGCCAAATAAAAGGAATTCACAATTTAAGGCAGTTTCCGGAGGCCTGATGGAGAGACAGGAGGAAACTTTCAAGGTTAATAATCGTCCCGATTCAAATCTCCATGGACTGAATGACCAAATTTTATAATTCAGTCACTGTGTTACCTGATAATTCAGAGCTGCCTTTATAATCCTTAGCTTCCCCAGAATACAACAGGCAATCCCTCCAGGACCCATAGTTGTTTTTACAGATGGTTGAACCCTGCTACTCTTAATAAGATAGCACTAGTCCCAGCTTGGAGAAAAGAATACCCATAAACAGTCTTCTAAAGATAAAAATTTTAATGAAGTTAATTTCAGTCAACTAGGCCCAGTGCTCAGAAACTGAAAGTTAGATCAGATAAATACACAGAGAGAAAGACATTTATTTGTTAAATAAATAAGTATACTTTGTGGGAAGTAAAATTGAGCATTAGTGAATCCCAAGGTGAATGTAAAGCGGTCGCAGAGAGACAATTAAGATGTATATTAATGGCCAAGAAATAATCTTTTCAGTCCTCACAGCTGATTCAGTTACTTGGCATTCAGTTGCAGGCATAAATTATTAGGGCATTTAACATGTAATGATAACAGCTACAACTTCCTGAGCACTTAATGTGTACCAGGCACTGGCAAAGGTTGTACTTGTACATTTAATTTAATCATCACACTAAGCTTATGATATATGTTCTCTTATAGTACCCATTTCATACATGTACAAACTGAAACTTTTATAAATTTAAAAACTATAATCAGGATTTAGAAGCAAGTTTTCTGTCTCCAAAGCTCTACTGCAGCTTTGGGTTTCTGGAGAAGCAAATGAAAATTATTAAAGTATGGTAAATAAATAAAAAGTCTATTTTTAAAAAAAATGGAAAATGATCATTGTAAAAAATTTTGAGGCAACATTAACAAAACAACACTAATTTCTAGGAACTGCTTTTTATTCATTTAATCGTCATAATCACCCATGAGGTAGGTAATATTAATCTCTCCATTTTATATATGAAGAAATGCATTAAAAACAACCTCTAAGGCATAGAGAAGTTAGTTAAATAACTTGCCCACTGTCACTTACGTCAGAAAATTGTACACCTGGAATTTAAACTCAAGCAATCTGGCTCAATAATTCAGTCCCTTAACTACAATACTTTCCTTAATCATGCAAATATATTCTGTACCTAAGAAAGGTCAACAAGTTTTCTTTAATGGAAGCAAAATAAAAATCTTAAAACATGAGAAATGTAAGCAAATTATAAAAGAATACTGCTTGCTAGTTGCAGCCACACTGAATTCCTGAGGGAGACTGATGATTCTAATTTTCAGAGGTATTTTTAATGATTTCTAAGTTCTTCATAGTTAACAACATTTAACAACATAGTTAAGCATTTGTATTTTCTGCAGACTTGTGGAAGAGAAACACTGAAAGTAAAATATGACTGTAAATGATACTGAAGAATAAGATTTTATTTTCTACACCTGTGTTACAGTAACACATCAACAGATTACTGGCAGAGAATAGAGTTGATCTTAAATGTAAAAAAAAGAGCATATTGGCTGGAGAATTGCCAATGCAGTCAAATGGGATTTAAGTTAAAAACCATCATTTGTTTTTTAAAAAAACAAACTAATAAGCTAAGATTAAAAAGTGTTGTGTATCAAAAATGTATTGGGATTCCCATTTTATACATGGCTCTTATTTATTAACAGTCATTTTGGAAATGGTTGATTTAGATGGTATTGAGATATTACAGGTTTCAGATTGTGAGCTGTTATATAATTATGATTATGAAAAGTGTGAAAGTGTTCATTTCTCTGTCATCTCTGACTGTGATCCCATGGACTGTAGCCCACCAGGCTCCTCTGTCCATGGAATTCTCCAGGCAAGAATACGGGAGTGGGTAACCATTTCCTTCTCCCTGGGATCTTGTGGACTCAGGGATCAAACCTGGCCTCCCACACTGCGGGCAGATCCTCTATTGTCTGAGCTGCCAGGGGAGTTAGGTTATGATTACAGCACTGAGTTAATATCTGTTTCACAAAAGAGCATCACAAGTGAGTAGTAAAAAGCTTGTAACTTTGGCTAACGTATTGAATATAAACAGAAAATTCTGATGACAGACATCTGCAAGTTAACAGGAGACCATGACAGAGTGCCAGATTTATGGCTGAAGTGGCTTGGTATAATTGACAGAATCCATTCCTTTTAGCAAATCTGTATCTGCATGAAACAACCTAGAGTATTCAACAAAACAACTGTCAACATCTCAATGAAATTCTAGAAACAAATAAATCTCTAGAAGAATAACAGGAAAACTGGCAGCTTCTAATGAGTTATGTCTGAAAAAATATTTCTCTCACACACAAAATACCACTGCATGGCTACTACTGATTGGTGGATTCCCTGAAGCTACAGATACCAGGTTAAAAACCCTTCCTTTAGCCTTTTTCCACATATCATGCTGCAAAACTTTACTCTTATTCCCTTTTTCTCAACTCACTGATGTACCGTGCTTTTAGAGTTCCAATTTCCTTAGTAAGAGTACAAAGAGGAGGAACTTCAAGTGGAATCCTGAATGCATTTTCTATAGAAATATTATTTTGGGAGACTAGGTTTCAGCATTTTATTAAACTATACTGTAGGTACACTATGTACCATGTAGGTTCTTTAGATAGATTACAAAAATCTACTTTATATGTAAAACAAATTTATCCCAAGTACATTCATTTACAAATGACCATGAGGAATGAATATTTGTAAATTAAGGAATGTATTCACAATGATTAAAGAGTTAAAATTTATTAAGCACTAACCATGCAACAGACACAAGGCTGAATATTTTACAGCACTTTTTTTTCTAACTTTTTATTTGATTGGAGTATAGTTGATTAACAATGTAGTGATAGTTCTAGGTGTTCAGCAAAGGGAGTGAGCTACACACATTTATGTATCCAGTCCTACCCCAAACTCCCCTCCCAACGAGGCTGTCACATAACAATAGAGTTCCTTGTGCTATACAGTAGGTCCTTGTTGGTTATCCATTTTAAATATAGCAGTGTTTACATGTCCATCCCAAACTCCCTAAGGATGCCTTCCCCTACTCTCTGTCCCTGGCAACCACAGGTTCATTCTCTGTCTGTGAATCTGTATCTGTTTTGTCAGTAAGTTCATTTGTATGCGTTCTTTTTAGATTCTGCATATAAGGGATATCATATGGTATCCTGCAAATGGCATTATTTCCTTCTTTTTAATTGCTGAGTAATATTCCATTGTATGTATGTATCACATCTTCATCCATTCCTCTGTTGATGGACATGTAGGCTTGCTTCCATGTCTTGGATGCTGTAAAGAGTACTGCAATGAACACTGGGGTGCACGTGTCCGTTCAGACCATGTTATTTGTTTGCTTTTTGGCTGCACTGGGTTTTCCTTACTGTACATGTACTTTCTGTAGCTGTGGCAGGTGGGGCCCCTCTGTGGACAGCAGGCGTCTCTTGCGTGTCTCATTAGCATCTTTGAATTCTTTTTAATGGCTGAGTAATATTCCATGGTGTATATGTACCACAGCTTTCTTATCCATTCTTCTGCTGTTGGACATCTAGGTTGCTTCCATGTCCTGGCTATTGTAACAGTGCTGCAATGAACATTGGGATACACGTGTCTCTTTCAGATCTGGTTTCCTCGGTGTGTATGCCCAGCAGTGGGATTGCTGGGTCATATGGCAGTTCTATTTCCAGTTTTTTAAGAAATCTCCACACTGTTCTCCTAACACATATATATGGAATTTAGAAAGATGGTAATGATACCCTATATGCAAAACAGAAAGACACACAGATGTACAGAACAGACTTTTGGACTCTGTGGGAGAAGGCGAGGGTGGGATTTTCGAGACAACAGCATCGAAACATGTATATTATCTATAGTGAAACAGATCACCAGTCCAGGTTGGATGCGTGAGACAAGTGCTCGGGCCTGGTGCACTGGGAAGACCCAGAGGGATTGGGAGGGGGGATCGTGATGGGGAATACATGTAAATCAGTGGCTGATTCATGTCAATGTATGACAAAACCCACTACAGTACTGTAGAGTAATTAGCCTCCAACTAATAAAAATAAATGAAACAAACAAAAAAACAAACCTCTTATGTGATATCAAGTACACAGCGGAGTTGGTGATGGACAGGGAGGCCTGGAGTGCTGCGATTCATGGGGTCGCAAAGAGTCGGACACGACTGAGTGACTGAACTGAACTGAAGTACACAGCAGGGGCTTCCCTGGTGGCTTAGACGGTAAAGAATCTGCCTGCAATGCAGGAGACCCAGGTTTGATCCCTGGATGGGAAGATCCCCTGGAGAAGGGAATGGCAACTCACTCCAGTATTCTTGCCTGGAGAATCCCATGGACAGAGGAGCCTGGCGGGCTACAGTCCACAGGGTCGTAAAGAGACAGATATGACTGAGTGACTAACACACACACACTCAGCAGACCTGCTAGGGATAGCACTAGGAACAAAGTTCTTGGTCTTATGGAACTTACACCACAAAGACAGACAATGAAGAAATAAATGTTAAGTGTCCAGGAGGAAAAACAGTAATGTACAGATGGAGAAGGAGGAAGGACTATTTAGATAGGGTGGTTAGGTCAAACTTTAAGATATTAGGATATAACTGAGCATTTATTTTACTAGTTAAAACACAGTACTTTCAAATATCTTGCTAATTATGATGTTTTCATACTATCATCTGCTATTATCTCAAGGCACTCTTAGAATGAGGTTCATTCTGAAAAATGTGAATCTATATTTCAAATAGTCTTCTTGACAATTTCAAATATATATCTCTATAAATCCATTTAGCAGAGCCAATATAAACTATATTTATTATATAATAATTGAGTAAGGGCTCCAGTCATCCCCTTTCCCCTGTGTAACTCTTACTTTTTTCAGGATGCCTTAGTGTCCTGTGATATATACTGACATTTGGCCAATCATAGGTACCAGAGCCAAGTCATTTACTAAATATTAGTAAAGTTTATTTTCCTATTTTATTTACATAAAACATATACCTAATATTTTCTTTTCATACCCCAAAATATCATCTTCAATATTTAAAAACCTCACTGCTTTAGCCTCCAGAAAAATATGTTTGGAAAAGTTCAGATTAAAAATAACTGATGAACTCATGGCAAGAAATACCTGGAAGAGAAAAGAGTTCTGGTAGGCTCTTTAAAAATGAGACTTATAATATACTTAAAAACCTACGTTACAATACACTAAATAAAACAGTTCATATTAATTAAAATATATTTACTTATGCATAGCTTGCTCAGTGAAAAAGAATCACTCTCAAGACACAAAGATGTTAATTGTGGTGATGTTAGCAGTTTTTTTTTTAAACTTTTTGTTTCTCTGTATTTTCTAATTTTCTATAAGAAACATGCATTATTTGTATAATGAAGGTTTAAATAGTACTAAATAATGAAAATATACATATAAAGTTGGAAAGTCATAAAACCAACTAAAGAATAAATCTTTAAAAATAGCATTGGTCAGGTTAAACCCAGACACTTTTACTAAAAATTATCAAAGACACCAAAAGAGATATTTAAAGCTATGTTCAGAGCAAGAATGAAGAGCTGTCTCCTTGAGGTGTAAAGAAAGACACAAGGTAAGAAGATAGTGACAGAGCACCCAGTTGTGCCTTCTGAGTTCACCCTCTCTCATCCTCATTTCATACTGCCTAAAGAAAGGAAAAGTTATCAGTAAAACTAGAATATGGAAACAAGAGAAACTTCAGGACACCGAGATGGCGATGTACCTTGATTTTCACAAGACAGAAAGTAAATTCCAGAAAATAAAAGCCTCCGAATCTGACTGCCTAGTAAAGTTCCAGAATGATCTAGCACAGTGATTCTCAACCCTACCAGGTTCCAGTTTTCCATACATAACAAATATTTTACAATGCTTCCTATACTATCTATAAATAGAATTCAAAGACAATGACCTCTTCACTAGTCCCAAAAGAGTCAATATAATGCCTTCTTTGCTACATAGAAAGAGGAAATAAAGGAGTTTTTAATATGTATTTTGAATTAGTAAATTGGTGAGGTGTGATCACATCAGAGACATCATAGTAATGAATCTGTTGTGTTTAAGATACACATTGACATTTTGAAAAAAGGACTTAATAAATATATCTATACAATCATCATAATTCAATATTTAAAAATGAAGATGATGTAAGTGATGATCAAATATGACACACAGAACTGTTAACATGAGTTTCCACAATGATGAACACCTCTCAGTAAAATTCTGAGCAAAACAAAGTACAGTCTTTCCTATACTTACACAAGAGCTGCATTACTAAAAGTGTGTACCAAAATTATGCCCTGGACGGTTTATGTTGATAAGTAAATAATCAAAAACAGGTTTTAGTGACATATGAACATCCAGGAGGAGATGAGTCATTCCGTTGCAGGATAAGTCTTTGTAGGATAAGTCTTTGTTGCGCAGAACTGACCAGGTACAGGGGCAGCAGGATGTTTAGCAGTCCTGGATTTTGCCTTTCATTTCACTGCATTTAAGAATTACTCCCCTCTGTGCTAAAATATTCCTCACAAGTTTCCCAAAATGCCCCTAGATGGCAATATTATCCCTGTTGTGAATTACTAATCTTTTAGCACAGGACTGATAACAAGGCTTTGTATGTACTAGGAAACATTTTCTTAAAATTCTGCTTAAAGAAAGCTGGAGCCAGAATACTATTCAGAATGGTCTCAATTTACAAGAGCCATATTGAATGTGTCTGTGCGCGTGTACTCAGGCACTTGAGATATGTCCTATTTTTGCAACCCCAAGGACTGATGTTGAAGCTGAAACTCCAATACTTTGGCCACCTGATGCGAAGAGCTGACTCATTTGAAAGGACCCTGATTCTGGGAAAGATTGAGGGCAGGAGAAGAAGGGCACGACAGAGGATGAGATGGTTGGATGAATCACCGACTCAATGGACATGAGTTTGGGTAGGATCCGGGAGTTGGTGATGGACAGGGAGGCCTGGCGTGCTGCAGTTCATGGGGTAGCAAAGGGTCAGACATGACTGAGCAACTGAACTGAACTGATAAGACTGTAGTCCGCCAGGCTCCTCTGTCCATGGGATTTTCCAGGCCAGGATACTGGCGTGTGTTGCCATGGCCTCCTCCAGGGGATCTTCTAGATCCAGGGACCCAACCGAGTCTCCTGCATTGCAGGCGGATTCTTTACCACTGAGCCACCAGAGAAGCTCCATATTGAACATAGGTTTAAATATTACAAAAAACATTTAAAATATAAAATTATTTAGCATTGGTCAGCACAATCTGTCCAGAATATTCAACTTTACCTGACTAAATATTTAAAGCAGATTAGTAAATAATAAAGAGGCTCCTACTTCTCTGAGGAGAAATGGGAAGCTTGCTCTGATAAAATAAATGGAAGTGAGATGTGATTTAACTATGAAAGATCTAAATTAAGCTCCCAGATGGGGCACACCACAGTAGAGATGATGCCTTAAGAGTCTATATCCTCAACCCTAAATACTCTGCTTGCAGGGTCTTACTTCCCCCACCAGAGATCAAACTCGTGTCCCCCTGAAGTGGAAGCCTGGAGTCCTAACCATTGAACCACCAGGAAATTCCCAGGAATCCTTTTTTTATGAGAGGAAGTGTAACCTGTCTTAGAATTAGGAGTGAAAGAATGGCCTGCACTTGAGTTGAACCCACTTCACGTCTTGTTCAGAATATACAACAAATAGGCCTATTTCCCTTTTTAAAATTTGTATCGATGTTTCAATTGAATTCAACTATATGGGAGGCTCAGTTGGTAAAGAATCTGCTTACAGTGCGGGAAGATCCTGGTTCAATTGACCCTGGTTCAATCCCTGGGTCAGGAAGATCCCCTGGAGAATGGAATGGTATTCTTGCCTGGAGAATCCCAGGGATAGAGGAGCCTGTTGGGCTACAGTCCATGGGGTCACAAAAAGTCGGACATGAATGAGCAACTAACACTACAACTATACAGCTGAAAGTTTCTGATCAATTTATCCTCTATTCACTTAGCTAACTCAGAAGCCAGTCTGCAAGGTGAGGGCAATGAATGATTAATAAGGCATTTTCATTATTCCTTAAAATCATTTCAATGTTAATGGAAAAAACTCCACAATGAACCAAAATATCAAAATTTTACATAAAAACAGAGCCTGATGCAAAAAAAGAAAACCGATCCTGTCTCTACTTAAGAGTTTTTACATTGCTCACAGTAGGTTTTTCTCATTAATTTTGATTTCTAAAAATACTGCATTAAAATAGTTTGTTTCTAGACTGAGGTTCTCACGTGGCACAGTGATAAAGAATCCGCCTGCCAATGCAGGAGACGCCTTTGATCCCTGGTGGGGAAGATCCCCTCTAGAAGGAAATGGCAACCCACTCCAGTATTCTTGTCTGGAGAATCCCATGGACAGAGGTGCCCGGCAGGGCTACAGTCCATGGACTCGCACAGGGTCGGACACAACTGAGCACGCACCTACCACTGAGGTTTTTTGGCATCCTCCTAAAACATGTGTAGACGTGAGTGCCTGTTAAGCTTCAACCCCAGTCTTCAGTTGTTCCTGAGAACAGATGCTCTTTTCACTGAATACGTACTAGAGAGGCCCCAATGCTTCTCTATTTGGGATACTTGTCTCAAACATGTTATTTCAACAAATATTTCAGAACCTTAAAGCACTTATTAACATACAGCCAAGTGCCTAATGGCATTTCCCCCAATCCTGGGAGGTCAACCATTTCCCTCTTGAGCCAGGTAGAGGCGCACCGGGGTGCAACGCCTACTAAGAAGGAGAAATGTAAAGAGAAGGTGCTGATCCCTCCGGCCCAAGGACTGCTCACGTGCAGGCCTTCTTGGCCCTGGGAAAGCAGAGCCTCATAGACTGGTTAAGAAATTGTGTTATCCCAAGCACAGAAATCAACTCATCACCGACACCCACGGCCCTGGTGCCCGCAGCGACCCTCCTGGCTCACCCACTCCCTTTTCCGGGAAGCTGACCCTGCGCGGAGGCTGGCGGAGGGGCCTCCCATACGCACCCTGCTCACGGGGAATCCGCACCAGGCAGTCCACGATGCCTTTGTACTGCGCCTCGGGGCTGATCTGCTTGGACGACGCCTGCACCTGCAGCAGCAGCTTCACACGCTCGATGGGCGCCACCGTCGTCTTGGACACAGCCGCCGCCACCCCGCCTGCCAGCAGGTCTTTCCCGAAGGATGTGGCGTCAAAAAGCCGCTTTTCCACCTTCTTCTCCTGCTGCTTCTTCGGAGGTTCACGCTGCATGGTGGGACGACTGACGTAAAAACGGGTAGCAGAAGCTCAAAATAAGAGCCGGAGACACGCGAGGACGAAGGCGAAAACCGCTTCTGCGTAGTCCTGGCGGGAAAGCCGCGCTCAGGATGCTGGGAGAAGGTCGCGCCGGGGGCGGGGAGCTGCGCAGGTGCCTCCAACCGCCTCCAGCCGGTGGAGCCGGTCACGTGGCTCCCAACACGTGGCTCTTCAGCGCGGTACTGTCTGCGCACGTAGAGGTGCCTGGCTGCGCTTGCACCGGCGGACAGGACTGCGAGGCTGTGAGTTCTCGCCTGGGAAGGGATCCGGGAGAACCAGGTCTGTAAAAAGAGAGTTAGTGGCCCAAACACGACAGAGCAGCAAAATCAACCGTGTGGGACTAACCAAGTTTAGTTTTGGTTCCCAGAGTAACCCTTGCACCTTCTATTAGAAATCGCTTTAAAATCTTCTTTCAATGGAGCAGGGGTCCTTTGTCTAGTCACTGTCTCACTCTGGTTTTGCTGACTGTACCCGCATAACATAATTCAACACATTTCTCTTTCTCCTGTGTTTTATTTGGTAATTCTATCTAGAGCAGTGGCGCTCTGTCAGACTGCACCAATTGGAGGTGTTGGTAGGGGGTGGACGGAGACACGGGTTTGTGCCCGGGTGTCTGTGTTTGAATTTGAATTCCCCGGGTAATTTTAATGTGCAGAGTTGGGAACGTGTTCTACAACAGCGGTTCACAAACTGATTTTAGGATACCTTTTCACTCTTCATGTAGTAGACCGCAAAGAAGCTTCTGTTTTTATGTTATATATTGATATTAACCATTTCAGAAATTGTAACAGAAAATTTTAAAAATCTACTCATTTAAAATAACAGTAAACCCCTACATAAGTAACATTTTTATATTAAAGAACAGTTATTTTGCCAACAAAAAAATGTAGTGAGAACAGCCTTGTTTTATATTTTTTAAAGTCTTTTTAAATGTCTGGCTTAATAAAAGTCTGATTTACACAGCTGCTTTTGCATTCCATTTGCTGCAGTAGTGCCCAACATGTATGTAACTGCTGGAAAACTCCACTATACACTAATGAGGGAATGAGAGTGAAAGAGGCAAAAAATGTCCTATTATTATTAATAAAGAAATATATTCTTAATTCCTCTTTACAACTTGCTTGATGGTTTCTACTAAAGGAAGGAAGCTTCCATTTTATCATCTCTTACTCTGCAGGACTTGGAGTCTTTAAACACATCTATAAAATGTGAGATGAGTTACTGGTTTTTTTGAACTTTAGTTTGCATTTTTAAATTTATTATCCCAAGTGTGTTGTAACACTTTTAATAGTACTTGTTACGAGTGAAAAACCAAATATTTTGGCCAGAAGCATTCCAGAGCAGGAATTTTGTTAATCTTATTGGCGACCTCATAAAAGTAGTTGGCAAGTCCTACCGGTACCATGTTTGATACCTTTTCTTAGCGGCTCATTTGACTCAACTGGTTTTTCAGCCTGAGTTTCTTTGTATATTGTATGCTGCTGACATGTTAGTCTTTTTAAAGCAATTCCATTAATCATTATTCCTAGCTTGAAAAATTGAAAGTTTTCTCACTGCATTGACTTCAAAATCCTTTGTGAAATCGATCACAAATTAAAAAAATGATGAGCATTTTATCTGCAAAAATCTGGAAAATGAAAGACTTCATTCTCTTTTAAGGTAATTTGAAGCACTTAGGGAGAAATTAAAGGGGGAATTTCCCGAATCACATTCCAAGCAAGAATGTCTCTTTAAGGTGCCAAAAGAGTTAAAGGAACCATCTCTGGTCACAGGAAACGTAAGTTATTTTCAGAAGTCAGAAAAGCCTGCTGCTGCTCCCCAGGGCAATTTTCTCTCCCTTTCCTTTTTGCCCCCCTTCCTGCCCTCCCCTGACATGAATATAGTTAACAGTGTTTATAGCATGTTCCTTTATGATATCTTCAAGCTTACTTTTGACATATATTCTTTATTAGAAGACGGCAAAAGTGAAAGTACTTAGAAGTGTAGCTTTGTTTTTTTTTTTTTTTACCCTATTAAGAGCTCTGAATCGTCTCTTTTCAATAGATTAAGTGCAAATGTTTAATTTGTTGCTTTGCATTTTATTTACTGATTTACTGAATGAAAAAAGTTCTGGTGACTTATATGTTTATATTAAAAATAGAGAATCTCAGGGCCTTTGCACTGTTCACTTTTTCCTTAGAAGTCAGCTTGGTTAGTTTCCTAACCAGATCTGAGGCCATCTCAGCAACCCTATCCCTGGCCACCCGTCTCTCACACTTCATACTCCATTTTCTTGCTTCACCTTTTTTCTTTTAGTTTTTGTTTTACTTATTTGTGATCTGCCTCTCCCACTAGAACATAAGCTCCATGAGGGTAGCAATTTTTGGCTGTTTTGTTCATTGCTGTATCTCTGGCATTCAGAACAGTGCTTGGTACAGAGCAGAAATGTAATAAATATTTGTTGGATGAATGGCCAAAAAGTCAACACAACTGCAAACAAACCTCTGCACCATCTTTATTAAAAACTATTAATATAGCGCAAAAATAGCTTGTTATATAGAAGTACAACTCTAAAAAATTAATTTCCACACAGTACAGTATATAAAGTGTTATTAATATTTATTACTGTATTTTAAAATATTCAAAGTATAAATCCTCATTTTTAAAGTGTTTAGTGCTGAATACTTTTTCTTAGCTTTCCAACATTTTGTACAGTAGAGGGTGTGATTTAGATGACTCCATCGTGTTCAACCAATGGATATTTAATAATAAGTAGTCGTCGTAGTAGCAGCAGCTGCTAACACTTTTATAGCACATAATGCGTGCCAGGCACTATTAGAGGGAAATTACACAGACAACAATAATTATTCACAATGTTATTTTCAAGAATGTTCAAAGTGGACAAACCTAGTAAATTGGTTTCATAGCTCTTCCCATTTGTATCAGAAATGTAAAAAAGCAGGGACTGCAATTTACTAACTTGCCAGTATGCATCATCATCGAGGGTCTCTTGGCACAAAAAGAGAAATTCCCTATTCTAACATGACAAAACAAAGAGACAAAAACGAGAAATGGAGAATGGGGGTTGAAATCTAAAAGGTAATTTTGTGGGGGGACAGGATTAAAAAATATATGATGGTGGTAAGCCAGCACTTGCTTTTTTTTTTTTTAAATGCTGGATATATAGTCTTTTGTATTACAGTCTTTGGTGAAAACGAACTTTTGCAGGATGCTAATAAAATCCAACCTAAGAATGTTTCTATAACGGCAAAAGCATTCTACATCCCTCTTTATTTAATAAAGTTGCAGAGAGGCACTTATTGTCCAGTGAGACAGATCTGCTCTCAGGTGTGAATCTGAACATATGTGGAAAAATGAGCAGCTAAGTTTACAGTACTTACCACACTTATTTTGATACCTATTTAGAGATAAAAGCCAAGATAATGTTTGGTTTTCTTTCTTAAAAATGCAATGTCTCTGCAACATGCACATTACATCTGCAATACTTCAAATGACTTGGCCTTATATAAGAATAGTAGTCTTTTTATTTCAGTTATTAAATAGTTGTCTTACGATTCTTTTAGACCAGGAAAGCAGTTCAACAGATCAAAATTTCACTAAATGAAACAAAAAGTTCCTAATGGTTAAGTCCCAAGTTCAGTCTGTTTGAAAATCTGAGGTGATCAATGGCTACATTTATGAATAATTCTCCATATTAAATATAGCTTCATTGTGTTTGAGGGACCATTATCAAGAAATTTAAGACATTTACTAACAACTCTTAAACAATACTTTGATACTTATATATGTGCACAAGCAGTCCTAAGACAGCAGTAAAGAGTCTATCATTTGACCAAAATTATAATCTGATGGGGAAGGGGAGGATATTGCAAGTCATTTTCTACCAAAGTTTCTTGTTCTGTTTTGAATGCCGAAATTAAGGCCCACAAGTCACTAATAGGACAAATATAGTGGTTTGCATCTTCAACACCTGGGTGAAAATCTCTTAAACTCATGACAGAGGGATAATAGTGTTTCTTCTAAGACCAGATATTTTAAATGGTGCATCCACTACGTTTTTCAGTTAATTCTGATTAAGCTCAAGATCTCATGCTTGAGGTAGGGGAAAGGCAGAGACTGGCTTTAGATGTGCCAGTGTAATTTGCCTTCCAAAGGTAAATCCTGAAGGGGAGAACCCAGTGCTATAAAGTCACGGGAGCATCTGAGAATTCAGGCAAATCGACTGGGTACATGTCAATTAAGAATTGTCATGTTCTTCCTTCCTTTCAATCTGCCAAATTCTGACAGCTAGAGAAAATTCTGAGCTTAGTACCTTTCTTTCTCGGCTGCTGCTCAGTCGCTTCAGTTGTGTCTGACTCTGTGTGATCCCATAGACGGCAGCCCACCAGGCTCCCCCATCCCTGGGATTCTCCAGGCAAGAACACTGGAGTGGGTTGCCATTTCCTTCTCCAATGCATGAAAGTGAAAAATGAAAGTGAAGTCGCTCAGTCGTGTCCAACTCTGTGCGACCCCATGGCCTGCAGCCCACCAGGCTCCTCCGTCCATGGGATTTTCCAGGCAAGAGTACTGGAGTGGGGTGTCATCGCCTTCTCTGTTTCTTTCTCTACTTATGGTCAAATTTTCTTTTTCTACTCATGGTCAAATAAATTATTGTTCATTAAAGTTACCCCTTTGGGAAAACCCAGTACATCCAGATTTGTAAGGAAAAACTCTGTATTGACTGGAAGTTGTCATAGAATTTCTTTAGTTAACTTTTTCATTGTTTTCAACATGATTGGGGTTTTTTTTTTTTTAAAGATTTACATAAAACTTTCCTAAAATTCATGAACTTGTATAAATTGTGTGTATACCTGAATATATTTCAAAAAAGAGAAAAACAATGAAAGTATATAAACAAATAGTTTACAGATATATATCCTAGTCAAAATAGAACTGACCTGAATGAGTAAAGAAAATCAAATAAATAAAAAAGTAAGTTTAATTTTCACTCCTCTTCCCCCACACTGAGGTATCTACTAAATCACATAAAAGAAAAGTATCTGATCTAAGAAGGAATCAGTACTCAACATTACAAATTTAGGTACCGAACAATAGGTTAGAGGGAAAAAAATTGCACATTTTACTGAAGAGGATCTTTAGACACCTCAAAGCAATCATTTCATCTGTACATGAAAAATCTGAGCTCAGAGAGGTACAAAAACTTGCTCATGGTCACAACACTAATTAGTAACAGAACCTGGTCATCTCTTCCCAATTTCATGATTGTTTTGCCAAATATCAATACTAGTCTTGAGAAAAATACACAAAATATTGGGGTTTTTTTCCAAGATAAACATTCTTATATTAATTTTACATAAAATACATCACATTATTTCAAATCAGTAAATAAATTAATGTTATATACCAAAATGGGAAATAAGTTAACAATCTCTTCTTCATGTTTTGATCAAGTATTTTCTTCAAAAGTCTCAGAATAAGATTTAGTGCATCAAATCCAGCAGCGTATCATCTCAGTCTTCATCAGCCTTATGTTCAGTATTGATTAGTGAAAAGAAGTTAAACCTTATCTCTCTGTGAATAGATTTCAGCAGTTCTAACCCTGCTTGATGGTCTCTGCACAGTGTTGCTATGCGTCAAGAAGATACAGCTACAAGGTTAATCCAAAGAATAATTTAAAAGCCATTTCAATGGCAATTTCTGTAACTGAGTCATGAAAACAGACGTAAAGTTCTTGAAGTTTGGGATGAAGAAAGAGCCTCCTGTAGAGAAAAAGAACACACTAATTTCAGAAATTCCAAGAAGGAAAAAACTCCAACTCTCCAATATATTTTACTATATTTTTTGGTTTATGAAAGAATAAGTCATAAATTCAACCACTAATCTAAATCTACACTAGGGGGAAATGCAACTAGATTTATAATTAAACAATATATGCCTTAGGTCAATTACTTTTATTATTTCAGAGTGTAAAAAGCCTATTGTATCAACTTCTATAGTCATATTCCTTAGTTTTAAAATGTTAAATTTAGTTATTATTATAATATAGTCAATGATGTACCATCATACTAAGTGCAATAGTTATTAGACATCAAATTGGGATTAACATTGAAACTTTGATTTTCTTAAAGAGTTAAAATTTTAGTCTATTTAATCAATACTAGTCAAGATTGCTGGGAGAAATATCAATAACCTCAGATATGTAGATGACAACACCCTTATGGCAGAAAGTGAAGAGGAACTAAAAAACCTCTTGATGAAAGTGAAAGAGCAGAGTGAAAAAGTTGGCTCAACATTCAGAAAACTAAGATCATGGCATCTGGTCCTATCACCTCATGGGAAATAGATGGGGAAACACTGTAAACAGTGTCAGATTTTATTTTTTTGGGCTCCACAATCACTTTAGATGGTGACTGCAGTCATGAAATTAAAAGATGCTTACTACTTGGAAGGAAAGTTATGACCAACCTAGATAGCATATTAAAAAGCAGAGACATTACTTTGTCAACAAAGGTCCGTCTAGTCAAGGCTATGGTTTTTCCAGTGGTCATGTATGGTTGTGAGAGTTGGACTGTGAAGAAAGCTGAGTGCCAAAGAATTGATGCTTTTGAACTGTGGTGTTGGAGAAGACTCTTGAGAGTCCCTTGGACTGCAAGGAGATCCAACCAGTCCATCCTAAAGATCAGTCCTGGGTGTTCATTGGAAGGACTGATGTTGAAGCTGAAACTCCAATGCTTTGGCCACTTCATGGGAAGAGCTGACTCATTGGCAAAGACCCTGATGCTGGGAGGGATTGGGGGCAGGAGGAGAAGGGGACGACAGAGGATGAGATGGCATCACTGACTCGATGGACATGAGTTTGAGTGAACTCTGGGAGTTTGTGATGGACAGGGAGGCCTGGCGTGCTGTGTGATTCATGGGGTCGCAAAGAGTTGGACACAACTGAGCGACTGAACTGAACTGAACTGACTGTATACAAAACATTAAACCATTTCTGACTTCCTTCAGTTTCTCTATTCTGCATAGATCAGCATCGTCATAATTCAACACCTATTGATTTTTTTTCAATTCCAGTTGTGAATGTAGTCATGGCTCTACTATATACCTGCATGTGTGCCTAACTGGTCTTCTTATCTCTATTCTCTCTTGTGTCCACACCATTCCATTTGGCTTGATCTTCCAATAACACAGCTCTGATCACTATACACTTGGTTTTGATCATGTTGATGCTCCCAAGCTTGCCTGGTTATACATCAGAAGCACAAGTGAGCTTACTGCAGATACAGAGTCCCACTCCCATAGATTCTGGTTCAGTAGGTCTGGGATGGGGTACAGGCATTTCTGATTTTAATAAGTGACTCAGTCAGTCGTGTCTGACTCTCTTCAACCCCGTGGACTGTAGCCCGTCAGGCTCCTCTGTCCATGGACTTCTCCAGCTTAGAATACTGGAGTGGGTAGCCATTCTTTTCTACAGGGCATCCTCCCAACCCAGGGATCAAACCCAGGTCTCCCCTGTTGCAGGCACATTCTTTACCATTTGAGTCATCAGGGGAGCCCTGGTAAATGTGACTCAGCTGATTCTAAATCCTGCGGATCAGCACATGGGAATTACTGCTTTGGATAACATTTGTAAAGTGTTTGTCATACAGCTTAGTACTATGTGGTAGGTGTCGAGTAACATTCAGTTCAGTTCAGTTGCTCAGTCGTGTCTGACTCTTTGCGACCCCATGAATGGCAGCACGCCAGGCCTCCCTGTCCATCACAAACTCCCAGAGTTTACTTAAACTCATGTCCATCGAGTCGGTGATGCCATCTAGCCATCTCATCCTCTGTCTTCCCCTTCTCCTCCTGCCCCCAATCCCTCCCAGCATCAGGGTCTTTTCCAACGAGTCAACTCTTCACATGAGGTGGCCAAAGTATTGGAGTTTCAGCTTCAACATCAGTCCTTCCAATGAACACCCAGGGCTGGTCTCCTTTAGGGTGGACTGGTTGGATCTCCTTGTAGTCCAAGGGACTCTCAAGAGTCTTCTCCAACACCACAGTTCAAAAGCATCAATTCTTTGGCGCTCAGCTTCCTTCACAGTCCAACTCTCACAACCATACAGGACCACTGGAAAAACCATAGCTTTGACCAGATGGACCTTTGTTGGCAAAGTAATGTCTCTGCTTTTTAATATGCTATCTAGGTTGGTCATAACTTTCCTTCCAAGGAGTAAACATCTTTTAATTTCATGGCTGCAATCACCATCTGCAGTGATTTTGGAGCCCCCAAAAATAAAGTCTGACACTGTTTCCACTGTCTCCCCATCTATTTCCCATGAGGTGATGGGACCAGATGCCATGATCTTAGTTTTCTGAATGTTAAGCTTTAAGCCAACTTTTTCACTCTGCTCTTTCACTTTCATCAAGAGGCTTTTTAGTTCCTCTTCACTTTCTGCCATAAGGCTGGTATCATCTGCATATCTGGGGTTATTGATATTTCTCCTGGCAATCTTGATTCCAGCTTGTGCTTCTTCCAGCCCAGTGTTTCTCATGATGTACTCTGCATGTAAGTTAAATAAGCAGAGTAACAATATATAGCCTTGACACTCCTTTTCCTATTTGGAACCAGTCTGTTGTTCCATGTCCAGTTCTAACTGTTGCTTCCTGACCTGCATACAGGTTTCTCAAGAGGCAGGTCAGGTGGTCTGGTATTCCCATCTCTTTCAGAATTTTCCACAGTTTGTTGTGATCCACAGAGTCAAAGGCTTTGGCATAGTCAATAAAGCAGAAATAGATGTTTTTCTGGAACTCTCTTGCTTTTTTGATGACCCATCAGATGTTGGCAATTTGATCTCTGGTTCCTCTGCCTTTTCTAAAACCAGCTTGAACATCTGGAAGTTCACGGTTCATGTATTGCTGAAGCCTGGCTTGGAGAATTTTGAGCATTACTTTACTAGCGTGTGAGATGAGTGCAATTGTGCAGTAGTTTTGAGCATTCTTTGGGATTGCCTTTCTTAGGGATTGGAATGAAAACTGACCTTTTCCAGTCCTGTGGCCACTGCTGAGTTTTCCAAATTTGCTGGCATATTGAGTGCACTTTCACAGCATCATCTTTCAGGATTTGAAATAGCTCAACTGGAATTCCATCACATCCACTAGCTTTGTTCGTAGTGATGCTTCCTAAGGCCCACTTGACTTCTCATTCCAGGATGTCTGGCTCTAGGTGAGTGATCACACCATTGTGATTATCTGGGTCATGAAGATCTTTTTTGTACAGTTCTTCTGTGTATTCTTGCCACCTCTTCTTAATATCTTCTGCTTCTGTTAGGTCCATATCATTTCTGTCCTTTATTGAACCCATCTTTGCATGAAATGTTCCCTCGGTATCTCTAATTTTCTTGAAGAGATCGCCAGTCTTTCCCATTCTGTTGTTTTCCTCTATTTCTTTGCATTGATTGCTGAGGAAGGCTATCTTATCTCTCCTGGCTATTCTTTGGAAATCTGCATTCAAATAGGAATATCTTTCCTTTTCTCCTTTGCTTTTCGCTTCTCTTCTTTTCACAGCTATTTGTAAGGCCTCCTCAGGCAACCATTTTGCCTTTTTGCATTTCTTCTCCATGGGGATGGTCTTGCTCCCTGTCTCCTGTACAATGTCATGAACCTCCATCCATAGTTATCAGGCTCTCTGTCTATCAGATCTAGTCCCTTAAATCTATTTCTCACTTCCACTGTATAGTCATAAGGGATTTGATTTAGGTCATACCTGAATGGTCTAGTGGTTTTCCCTACTTTCTTCAGTTTAGGTCTGAATTTGGCAATAAGGAGTTCATGATCTGAGCCAGTCAGCTCCCGGTCTTGTTTTTGCTGAGTGTATAGAGCTTCTCCATCTTTGGCTGCAAAGAATGTAATCAATCTGATGTCGGTGTTGACTGTCTCGTGATATCCATGTGTAGAGTCTTCTCTTGTGTTGTTGGAAGAGGGTGTTTGCTATGACCACTGCGTTCTCTTGGCAAAACTCTATTAGCCTTTGTCCTGCTTCATTTTGTACTCCAAGGCCAAATTTGCCTGTTATTCCAGGTGTTTCTTGACCTCCTACTTTTGCATTCCAGTCCCCTGTAATGAAAAGGACATCTTTTTGGGGTGTTAGTTCTAAAAGGTCTTGCAGGTCTTCATAGAACCGTTCAACTTCAGCTTCTTCAGCGTTACTGGTTGGGGCATAGGCTTGGATTACCGTGATATTGAATGGTTTGCCTTGGAAACGAACAGAGATCATTCTGTCATTTCTGAGATTGCCTCCAAGTACTGAATTTCAGACTCTTTTGTTGACCATGACGACTACTCCATTTCTTCTAAGAGATTCCTTTAGTCCCACCCAACTGTGTGCTCCTTCCTCCAACAACTCTCTACCCCAACTCAAAGAACTATCGGTAGTTCAATTTCCTTCAAAATTCAGTTCCTTGGTTAGGAACTGAAGGTGCTCTGCAGTGATCCTACCTTAGCTTTCCAGTTTTATCTTTCACTTCATCTTTGTATATGCCATTCCTCTACCATCCTAGCCAACTAGTCTACTCACAGCTAAACCTTATGATTTCCCTTGTTTGGGTCTTTATTCATCCCATCCTTTACCTAGAATGCTCTATCCAAATCCAGTTCATTTCTGAAAGCAGATTACATGGAATCTCTTAGCCTTTCTTTGTAATCTCAGATTTCTTCCCCCTTTTCAGAATTTACAGAGTGTGTGGTTGTATTACCTAATTTATTTTTTATTGAAGTACAGTTGTGTCACAGTGTCACAATGTTGTGTCAATCTCTGCTATACAATGAAGTGACTCAGGTTTACAAATATACAATCTTTTTTTATAATATTCTTTTCCATTATGGTTTATACCAGGAGATTGGATATAGTTCCTTGTGCTATACAGTAGGACCTTGTTGTTTATCCATTCTAAATGTAATAGTTTGCATCTACCAACCTCAGATTCCCAGTCCATTCTCTTCCTCCAACCACTCGCCCATAAGTATGATCTGAGTCCATTTTCTGTTTTGTAGATAGGTTCATTTGTGCCATATTTTAGATTCCACGTATAAGTGATATCATATAGTATTTTCTTTCCCTTTCTGACTTACCTCACTTAGTATGATAATCTATAGTTGCATCCATAGTGCTACAAATGGTGTTATTTTCTTTTTTATGGCTGAGTAGTATTCCATTTGTAGCACTATGGATGCAACTACAGATTATCATGGAATGATAATCCATGAATGAATGAAGAATGAAGAAGAATGAATGAATGAAGAAGAATTCCCACCAACAGTATACGTGTGTTCCCTTTTCTGCACACCCTCTCCAGAATTTGTTATTTGTTGACTTTTTTTTTTTTTTAATTTATTTTATCACAACCATAGTGTATCTTTTTTTTTTTTTTTTACATGTATTCCCCATCCCGGTCCCCACTCCCACCTCCCTCTCCACCCGATCCCTCTGGGTCTTCCCAGTGCACCAGGCCCGAGCACTTGTCTCATGCACCCAACCTGGGATGGTGAACTGTTTCACCCTAGATAATATACGTGTTTCAATGCTGTTCTCTTGAAACATCCCACCCTCGCCTTCTCCCAGAGTCCACAAGTCTGTTCTATACATAGGAGTCTCTTTTTCTGTTTTGCACATAGGGTTATCGTTACCATCTTTCTAAATTCCATATATATGTGTTAGTATACTGTAATGGTCTTTATCTTTCTGGCTTACTTCGCTCTGTATAATGGGCTCCAGTTTCATCCATCTCATTAGAACTGATTCAAATGAATTCTTTTTAATGGCTGAGTAATATTCCATGGTGTATATGTACCACAGCTTCCTCATCCATTCATCTGCTGATGGGCATCTAGGTTGCTTCCATGTCCTGGCTATGATAAACAGTGCTGCGATGAACATTGGGGTGCACGTGTCTCTTTCAGATCTGGTTTCCTCGGTGTGTATGCCCAGAAGTGGGATTGCTGGGTCATATGGCAGTTCTATTTCCAGCTTTTTAAGAAATCTCCACACTGTTTTCCATAGTGTTTTGTTGACTTTTTAATGATGGCCATCCTGACTGGTATGAGGTGGTACCTCATAATAACTTTGATTTACATTTCTCTAATAATTAGTGATGCTGAGCATTTTTCATGTGCCTACTGGCCCATCTGTATGTCTTCTTTGGAGAAATGTCTATTAAAAGTCTGCTACCCATTTTTCAGACCACCTGACCTGCCTCTTGAGAAACCTGTATGCAGGTCAGGAAGCAACAGTTAGAACTGGACATGGAACAACAGACTGGTTCCAAATAGCAAAAGGAGTACGTCAAGGTTGTATATTGTCACTCTGCTTATTTAACTTATATGCAGAGTACATCATGAGAAATGCTGGACTGGAGGAATCACAAGCTGGAATCAAGATTGCTGGGAGAAATATCAATAACCTCAGATATGCAGATGACACCACCCTTATGGCACAAAGTGAAGAAGAACTAAAAAGCCTCTTGATGAAAGTGAAAGAGGACATTGAAAAAGTTGGCTTAAAGCTCAACATTCAGAAAACTAAGATCATGGCATCTGGTCCCATTATGTCATGGCAAATAGATGGGGAAACCATGGAAGACTATTTTTTTAGGCTCCAAAATCACTGCAGATGGTGATTGCAGCCATGAAATTAAAAGATGCTTACTCCTTGGAAGGAAAGTTATGACCAACCTAGACAGCGTATTAAAAAGCAGAGACATTACTTTGTCCACAAAGGTCCGTCTAGTCAAGGCTATGGTTTTTCCAGTGGTTATGGATGGTTGTGAGAGTTGGACTATAAAGAAAGCTGAGCGCCAAAGAATTGATGCTTTTGAACTGTGGTGTTGGAGAAGACTCTTGAGAGTCTCTTGCACTGCAAGGAGATCCAACCAGTCCATCTTAAAGATCAGTCCTGGGTGTTCATTGGAAGGACTGATGTTGAAGCGGAAATTCCAATACTTTGGCCACCTGATGCAAAGAGCTGACTCATTTGAAAAGACCCTGATGCTGAGAAAGATTGAAGGCAGGAGGAGAAGGGGATGACAGAGGATGAGATGGTTGGATGGCATCACTGACTCAATGGACACGGGTTTGGGTAGACTCTGGCAGTTGGTGATGGACAGGGAGACCTGGTGTGCTGCGGTTCATGGGGTTGCAAAGAGTCAGGCACGACTGAGTGACTGAACTGAACTGAACCCATTTTTCAATTGAGTGTTTTGTTGTTGAGTTGTATGAGCTGTTTGTGTATTTTGAAGACTAAACTTTTGTTGGTTAAATAATTTGCAAATATTTTCTCCCATTTCATGGGCTGTCTTTCTGTTTTTCTTTTTTTTTTAATGTTTTTCTTTTCTGTACAAAAGCTTGTAAGTCTGATTACGTCCCATTTGCTTCTTTGTTTTTATTTCTATTGCCTTGGGAGACTGACCTTAAAAAAAAAAAGTTAAAATATAGCCAGCTAGATCTCTCTTTCTCCATAGAATATTCATCCATAAATACATAGATATTTAAGCTTGTTTCATATTTCTTCTGCTAGACATAAGATCATCAGATGCAATGACTATGTCTTTTTCTTTGTGTTTGCCAGTCCCCCTAACCGTCACCACATACATTTTGCCAAGTGCAGCTCCATTTTCTAATCCTTACATATTTATCAAGTGACTATGTGCCTGGTGCTGTGCCAGTGGACAAGACAGATAGAATCCCTGATCTCTTAAAACTGCCATTCCAGTGACAGAGAGAAAGACCATAAACAAGAAAATTAAAGGGGTGATAGAGTAGAGAATAACTTTAATGTGGGAAAGAGAACACAGTTTGTCTGTCTCACAGGAGATGATATGTTACCGCTGGTCTGAATATCTAGGAGCCAGATAGGCAAAGGTTAAGTAGAACATCCCAGATGGAAGGAAGAGCAGGAACAGCGTTCAGCTGGTGCCAGTGTGGTGTGCACAGCGGCTGGAGGAAGAGAGTGACAGGAGGTGGAGACAAAGAGGTGGCCGTGGGACAGATAGGGCCAGGTCTTGTAGCTGGTTGGGGACAGGGGGAAGAGAGGGAAGGGAACAGGGAAAGAAAGGAGGAAAGAGGGGGAGGAAAAAAGTTAAGAGACAGAAGGAAATAGCAATGGGTATGAACTCATTACCTTTTAGTGTCTTACTAGTACAATCTTATAAGTGAATACGTTTTTTTAAATATAAAAAAGATGGGAAGAATTTTAAAGGAGTTATTTAGTAAGTAGAATTCTAAAACACATTAAATACTAGAATTATGTGAATAAACTCATATTGTATGTTGTGTTCAGTTGCTCAGTCATGTCTGACTTTTTGCAACCCTATGAACTGTAGCCCATCAGGTTTCTCTGTTCATGGGATTTCCCCGGCAAGAATACTGGAGTGTTTTGCCATTTCCTCCTCCAGGAGATCATCCTGACCCAGGGATCGAACCCACATCTTCTGCATTACAAGCAGGAATAAATCCATGCTTATATCTTAAAATGTTTATCTCCTTTACCCCCTTTTTAACACTTAACAATATTTTCTTACACTTACCCTACTACCCAGTAAGCCATAACAGGTGGTGCTTTCCTCTGATCAGTCCAGTTTTCAGGTGAGCATTCAAACAATACACCATGTTCTTTCACAGGGTTCAGAGAAGACACTGAATTTGTTGAACCTGAGTGATCTTTACCATTTAGTGCTTTCTTTTTCTGTAAGTTAATAGGTATTATTAGTCTTGGCTGGTATTAATAGTGCTGCTTTAAATGTTTTCATATATAGATTTGAACTGGCTGATCCTAATACTATGAGTGCCCACAGTGACATTCTTCTTACCTGCAGGAAAATTTCTACCCTTCCTCATACTTTAAATGCCATCTCCTACAAGAGACTTCACAGATAAAGTTTCTCTTGACTCTCCAAGGAAACATTTGTTTCAGTCTTATCTTATTAATATTTACACTATATTATATTAGCAGTTTATAGGTTTGTCTTCCCCAGTACATTAGAACCTTTTTCCCAGGGCAGAGACTATATGCCGTTCATCTCTGTATTCCTGAAAGCAGCTGTGTTTGGTACACAGTAGGTGCTTAATGAACAGATTACTAATGAGTTACTAAATGAGTAGATGATTTTAAAGCAATATTTTTCCCTTGAAGCATACTCTCCAAATTTCCCACTGATTAAATCATTAGGAATCCAGTGACCCACTTGTAATATAAAGACTTTCTGGAAGGCTCAGGCCAAAACAGTGGAGTGATCCTCGATTCTTCTCCTTCTTTCAAAATGTTTGTTGAAGACACAAATCCTTTTGGCTTATTCTCCATTATATCTGCAAGATCCAGAACCCACTGACATTTCTTGCTTTGAGAATTTCCTTGCGCCTTGCCTCCCACCCTTTCTATCTACCCTGCAAGCTTGTTCAGAGTAGCCCGAGTGATCCTTTGAAAACTAAGGAACATGTCCTTGCTCTTCTCAGAACTACCCAAGAACTTCCCATCTTCTTCCGGATAAATCTCAAAAAGCCCTTAGCCTATCAGGCCTTGCAGGACCCAGTCCTGCTGCTTTTGCCGTCTCAGCTCCTACTGCTCTGCTGCTGACTCAGGCTGCTCCTGCGCGCTCTCAGCCACCCTACCGCCATGGCTGTATGCGAGCTGTTCCTTCTGTCTGGAAGCTCAGCCGCCACATTTGACACGTGGCTTTGCCCCTCAGTTCCTTCTGGTTTCTGTTCAAATATTACTTGACATGATCAGAGGGATCTTTCAAAATAGTAACCACCACCTCTCATTCTTACTCTGTTTTGTTATAATTGCTGTTGAAACTTACCCTACCTGATATATTAAACTGCTTGCTAATTCATTAGCTTCCCCTGCTAGAATACAGGCTTCATGACGAAAGAGACTTTTTGTTCACTGCTGTATCCCCAGCATCTTGAGTAATATCTGGTGAATGGTAGGTACCTCAATGTTTAAATAATACAGGGAAGGCTAATTTATATTACTAAGTAAGTTAATGAAATGAACCTTAAAGAATCTATTAGTATGTTAAACAGGAGAGGAGGAGCGTAAGAATGCAAAGCACATAGAGATATACAGTCAAACATAACATTTTGCTGAATACCAATTTCTGGTAGCTAGAAGAAGAAATCCTATAAGACAAAGAGTTTCACTGCTGATTGAGTCCTAAGAGATGATATAATTCAGCTCACTCACTTTATAAATGAGGAAACAGGAAGAGCCGAGACCCAGTCCAGGAGTCCTTATTCCCAGCCCAATGTTCTACCACCTTTACACCTAAGTTCTTCACAAATTGAGCAACGTTGGTACATGTATTGCTATATACATTACATTAATTTTTCAGTCTTCTTTATTTTATGTTTTTGGCAGTATGATGTTTGACCAGTCACAAATAAGCTTCTATATATTTATCAAGAAATTCAATACTTATCTTTCCCTGCTATTAAATCTGTGTAATTGAGATTTTAATTGTATACAACACTACTACTTTTCTGGAGGTACAATATTAAATAAAACTTCATTCCAGATTGAAAAGCAAGCAAGCAACCAACCAACCAAGTGGCTAAAACATTTATAACACTATTGTGTAAATTCTGTTCTTTATTCCTTTATATTCCTGATACTTTATCCTGCCTTTGAATACTTAAAAAATTACCAGTTACAAAATGGTAGAGATAAATATCCAAATAATGGTTGAGTCACAGATATCAAATATGGGAGGCAAGTTTACATTATAAACTACTATATTCTATTTTGCTATAGAAAAACACAGGCTCACCATTTCAGAAACAGATCCACCATTTCCTGAAACAGTAATCTGGGACATCAAACTCAGAATTACGAAAGAAAGTGTTAAAAGTTAAGTACAGTGAATATAATTCTTTGGCATTCAAATTAGATGGAATGACTATTAAAAAATTAAGTGAAAAGAGTTATTGCTAAAGAGTTTTAGAATATTTAGAGATCTGGAAGTAAAATTGGCAGAGAGCTATATTTATAGCAGTGCCCTACCTTTTCAGCCAATGTCTGCTGGAAAACTGCACGAATGGAGAGACAACACTGATGGAAATTCTTTATCAGTTGAGGGTGGATAGAGCCGCTCAGCTGTGCCACCTCTTCATGGGTAGGAGTAATAAAGATCCCTTGCACTGTTTCTAAGGCAACATAATGGAAAAGTGTGTTCTCAGGACCAGATGTCAATCTTGGGGAAAAAAAGGAATTAAAAAAAGATATTAGAGTAAACTTAAAAATGTTGCTTCGTTTTGAATTTTGTAGATGTCTAATAAGCTTCTAACTATGATAGAACATTAGGAGTATAATTAGGGAAGAAAAACTAGGCCAAACATTGAAATTCCCTCTTCCTCCTTATCTGAAAATACAGGCTAGGGTTATTTATCAGTTCCCTTAATGGAGGCAAATACTACATATTATTCAAGGATAAATAAACACCAATTCATTTGCAAGTAACTTTATCATCCCTTTGCTAAACAACCCAAACTGGCTAAAACCTTCTTTTTCCATGGTTGGTAATGAATAACTCAGCCTGAGTCTGGCCCAGATACCTACAAGCCATAAACAAGGTATCAGTCTAGGGTGCACCACATACAAAAACACCTTCCAACAAACTAAGATTTTCAGTTAGTAGCTTAGTAGCCATAAAGTCTCTTACCATGACAGTCAAAAGAACCATCCTGAAGAAAAATAAAATCAGTATTACTAACTACAAAGCTGAGTTAACATTCTAGAAGCCATGGCTATTACTAGAAGTATTCTACTACTTCTCATCATTACAGTCTCTTTTCTAAGTTCTCTTACTGTTTTCACTTCTCCATTCTTTTCCATCCTTTCTTCCCCTACTGAGGTCTGAGATGCCAGCAAAACCTATAAATACTGCTTATTTCTACCAGTGGTAAGAAGAATAAAGAACAACAGTAGCAGTGACAATGAAATAATGGTAAAAGTTATCATATACTGAATGCCCTCTGTGTGCCAGGGTAGGTGCTTTAAAATATCTTAGGCTTAATTCTCATAATTACCCTGTAAGATATTTACTACTACTATCCTCATTTTAACCATGAGGAAGTCAATGTTCAGAGAACTTGCATTAACTTGTTTGAGGTCACATAGCTCAGTGTCAGAGCTTAGCTGATTCTGAGACCTGCTCTACTACACCTTGCTTTTTACTGATTGTCAGTCTATAAACATAAGGACTGAAATCCCCCATCAGCACCTCCTATTAAACTGTTAATTAGGCAGCAAGGTCAGAATAACTTTTTATCACTAACTGATGGTTTTGGTTTTCTTTAGAGAGGCCAAAGATAGGCAGGGAAGGAGATCATCTATAAATTTTTCTCATACTTTTTCATAGGGTGGTGGGCTCATTAACAACTGGTGGCTGATATTTTTTCAATTAAGTAAAAAATAATCAAAATACAAAAACTGTAATTATTCAAAAATAAAATAATTGAAAACATACCATTTAATTCTGAGGTTTTCAAATTCAAGAAAAGGTACAGAACAGAAATGACTCTTTTAAAAAGAGTTATTAGTAATGTTCTTATTTAGGGAGGTTTAGAATTAAAATTTATATTAACTTCTTTAGTTTTCTCTCAGAACAACCCCACAACACAATGAGCAGCTCTGGTTCTTGAAAACCATGAATTAACTCTGTATATTAACTCACTCAGTGTATAAACTGAAAGTTTAAAAATCATCAAACAAGCAATTATCCAATGGAAGGACAAGTATTTATTTTTAAAACATGCAGGTTAAATCGGATTTGTTCTTCAGAAAGGTCACCCCTACAGCAGAGGATAGATTCAGCATAGGATAGGAATTGGGAACTGGTTGCAGGATAACCAGGTGAGAGAACGGGAGCTTGAACTAGGGTACAATTATTAGGCGCTGGGTGGATTCAAGAATTACTAGAATGCAGAATGGTTAAGACTTGTTTACTGAATGGAATATTTTCTACATATTATTATGTTTAGAATATTATATATTTTTATTTTACAAAAACAAATTAGGATAGTATATTACACACCAGTCTATATCATACTTTTTAAATGAACTATATAGTTTGAAAATCTTCCATGTCAGTAAAGAGAATAAATATGCCTCTGTAGCATCCTTTTAAATAGGAGAGCCTATGATTTACATCACATATTAATTTATGCTTAAGAACACAATTATAAATTTATATTGTTACAATATAACCTTTTGTTAAGCTATAAACTTGGAAAAAGTATTTCCTTTTACTAGAGATAAAGCCCAAATAACATATATATACATACATATTAAAAAAATAATATATGGAGGTAATAAAAATTCAGAGCAGTAGTTTTTGTTAAATGGAAGATTAGGGATTGGGGAAGTTATAGGCTTCCACCAGTGGTTTGGTTTAGATTTGTTTAAAAAATATTTATGTTTTTTAAAATAACTAATTTTCTTTAACTACTAAAATATTACACCTTATATTGGAAGGCATTAAATTCCAAATTTTAACACATTAGATTTTCAATGCATTATTTTATGAAGACAAGTTACCTTGTTTTTGCCCTCACTTTATGAAAAAAGTTTTTCCTGACGACTCTGAAACATATAGATGAACTTAATATAAAACATGTCAATGATTAAGAAGGTGGTAGCTCTAAAACGTCTTTTTAAATATTTATTTTTAATTGGAGGGTCATTGCTTTACAATGTTGTGTTGGTTTCTGCCATACAAGGTGAATCAGCCGTGAGTATGCACACGTCCCCTCACTGCCCCCAGCCCCCCGCCTTCTCCTTCACCTCTGGGTGGTCACAGAGCGCTTCCCACCAGCTGCATATTTTACATACAGTGATGTGTGTGTTTCCAGGCTGCTCTCTCAGTTCGTCCCACCCTCCCCTTCCCCCGATGTGTCCACAAATCTGTTCTCTACCTGTATGTCTCTATTCCTGCCCTGCAAATACATTCATCGGTACTGTTTTTTTAGACTCCAAATACATGTGTTAATATACAGTTTTGTTTTTTTTTTTTTACAATTTCTTTGTTAGCACTGGGTCTTAGTTGCGGCATGCAGGATCTTTTGTTGTGACATGTGTGATTTAGTTTCCTGACCAGGGACGGAATCCAGGCCCCCTGCATTGGGAGCACAGAGTCTTTAGTCACTGGACCACCAGGGAAATCCCCAATATTTGTTTTTTCTCTTTCTGACTTACTTCACTCTGTATAACAGGCTCTGGGTTCATCCACCTCACCAGAACTGACTCAAATGTGTTCCTTTTTATGTCTGAGTAATATTGAACAGCTTTTTTTTTCTTTTAATGTGAGTTTGATTTGTACATGTCTACTTGCTCTAATGAAAGTGTGCAATAGGAGTTTATTACACAAACTGATTCCATGCATGCTATCATAATACCATACAAAGCTCAGGAAGGAAGCCCTGCATAACAAGAAGTGAATTTGTAACAGTTCATATTTTAATAATTATAGACAGATTAAGTTCTAAACATGCTCCTACCACTCAGCTCTTTTTACACCAGAATTCCCTATTTACCTTTACCTGTTTCCTAAAGAGGGTGTCATAGGTCAGTTCCCTGACCTATCAGAGTCCCTCCCAGACTCTGATAGGGAGGTATGCAGGGAGGAAGTTTATTAGGGAGGACTTTTGGGGAAAAGAGCTGTGGAGGTGAGCATGAAGGAAGCAGGACTGAGCAGAGGGAAAAGCTGAACTGTGCTCCAGTTGAGACAGAGGACTCAGCAGATACTGCCAGGACCTCTGAAACTTGGATGGCTTTTCAGAGTTGTGTTGAATGTAAGTAGGGGCAAGCCTGTACTCACTTGTCGATTAGTCATTAGATGTGGCTACTCCTAGGGAGAGGAGCTGATAAACTTCCAAGTTGGACAAGGCCAGGGTAGGGGGACTCCAGTATGAGCCATTGGCAACCAGCACGCTCAAGCCCCGGGAATGAGTACTCAGAGCTAAGGAGTTTCTACAAAACCACAGCATCCATGAGAGCCTGAAAACAGTAAACTAATTTAAAAATCAGACACACAGAAGGGAGGCTACCTGTGGAAGAGACATAAATGGAAACTTTGACATTTCTTATGTTTCTTATATGCATAATGAAAAATATTAGGGAAATAGCATAGCTATCTTCTTTCATATATAAGAGGTACCATATTTGCTGAATAAAATTTATATGTTATGGAATTTCACTTTTTCACTGTAAAATTTCCTCAAAGACAGAGAGTTAAGTGAAAAAGAATGAAACAAGGAAGTTTCTTACTTCACTGTGTTATATATATCCAGTTCTTTTTCTGAAAGGTCCTTTTTCAGGTTCCCCAAATGAAATGGATTTGGAAGAGTAGACTTCTTTTTAGTAACCTGAAAAGTATTATTAAGTAGATCCATTTTATATCTAAGAATGGAAATCAAACAGAAGATATAATGTAAAACTAGAAGTCTTTCAAGGAGAACTACTTATAATTTTTCAATGTTTCTGTTAGGGGAACAGCTGATCAAAACCACTCACCCTGGCCAGGCACAATAGTTGACTACTTGCATGAGTTATCTGACAAGAGGGGTCCTAGTAATGAATGCAGAAGTGACAAGCTACCACCAACTGGAAGAATTTGGGAAAGGTCAAAAGGAGAGAGGAGACACCAACCTGTATGTCCTACCAACGTCCCAGAATCCTTGCTGGAATCCATCTTGGCTGAGCAACGCACACGCCACCAGGAAGGACCCTGAGTCAGAATGACTGACCAGAGACAACCCGGAAACCAACCCCATCATCATAAAACCTGAGACTGAAAAACATGTGGCAGAGAAGTGCTCCCTGGGTTCCCTTACCCTGTTCTCTGCCAGGGAGCCCCTTTCCAGTAAAGTCTCTTATTTAATCAGCATGTGTCTCTCCAGGTAATTCACTTCCAAGTGTTAGACAGGAGCCCCCTCTTGGACCCTGGAAGGGGTTCCCCTTCCTGCCAACATTTCCTTTAAACATTTTCAATGCTAACTTGTACCCTTGGCTTATCCTATGCTAGCAGTAACCACAGTAACACATCATGCTAGAGGACATGACAGTTCCCTAATGTTTTACTACTTGGTATTTCTTTCTCTCTTGGCCCTAAATCATTGGTTTGCCAACAGCGACAGAAACCACCACTAGTACAAATGAAGAAGCAGTTGTCATTAAAAATTCCCTTGCAATTACAAATAAGGACTGGAGAGACAGTTTAGCTCCTAGAATGTACACATAGGAATGAACACATACCTTAAGCAAGGCTCCAGTTTCTTCTGAACCATCCGAACCCTGAGATTCTGTAGTGTGGGGGCTCAGGCCAACACCTTCACCTTTAAGACCATTGTCAGGTCCTCCACTTCGGGATGGACTGGGCTTACGTGTCTTTAAGGAATAGTCACCAAAAAGGGTTCTTCTGCATGTTGGAGAGGTTGCGATCTTGGAAGCACTGTGCAGCCTACTGAGGATAGGTGAGGTGGTTAAATTATCTAATTTTTCATGTGACCCAGCAAGGAACCAGTCAGCACAAGACAAGCAGGGGTTTGGAGAAGAGGCTAGCCGTTCATTTATGCGGGAATCTACCCCTTCCAGCTGGTGAAGAGTTGTTTTGACCTGATCCACATATATACAATCTGGTCCAGGATTCCCAATGGCTCTGGACGCACAGCCTCCAGCTTCTAATAGTACACATAACATATAATGTCTCTATAAGAAAAAAAAAATTAATACAGGTTTAGCTACATGAAAATATTTGTAACAGGCATGCATAAATCTATGAATACTAAACAGTGCTGAAGAACTGATGCTTTCATATTGTGGTGCTGGAGAAGACTCTTCAGAGCCCCTTCAATAGCAAGATCAAACCAGTCTAATCCTAAAGGAAATTAACCCTAAGCATTCACTGGAAGGACTGATGCTGAAGCTCCAATACTTCAGCCACCTGATGCAAAGAGCCAACTCACTGGAAAAGACCTTGGTGCTAGGAAAGTTTGAGGACAGGAGGAGAAGGGCACGACTGCAGGGAGCCGGCCTGACTGCTCAGGCTCCTTCTTGGCCCTGAGAGAGATCAAGAGGTCCCTCTCTGTCCCGCCACCCCTGATTTATTAAAGTGCAGGTTGGCCTTTCTTCCCTCCCTCAAGGAAATTGCTGTAGCGACCTTTTACCCATTTTCCTGACGAGATTGTCAGGCTCCTGTGTATGGTTTACCTCTAGGTAATCTTTAGATAATCTTTAACTGATTGTAATCATGATAATCTTTAACTGATTGTAATCATACTAAGACGCCAGTCCCTTGCTCTGATAGTCTTAAAGAGTTGAGATAAAATTCCTGAGCGAAGACTAATGCCTGCGATTCTGCACGTATACATGTCCTTGATCTAAATTTAGTGAGTCCTGTTAGCATATATATGTATGTTACCCCTCAATAAAGTTGTCGGTTTCAGTCGAGAGCTGACTCTGTCCCTCTCAACCCCATCTTTCCGAGTCTTTATTTCTTAGGTATTTCGGCGATTGTGCCCGTGACCGGTTCGTTTGCCGGCAGGCTCCGGCACACGACAGATGATGAGATGGTTAGATAGCATTACTAACTCAACAGACATGAGTTTGAGCAAACCCTGGGAGACAGTGAAGGACAGGGAAGCCTGGAATGCTGCAGCTATGGGGTGGCAAAGAGTCGGACATGACTTAGTGACTAAACAACAAACAGATATGGGCATGTGGCATAATTACGTGATGGTTATGAAAAACTCCACCCTCCTCTTCTTAGTTATCCTCAAGGCTACTTGATGACCCTTGAAAACAAATCTCACACTGCCTTATCCTGATACACCATAAGCTGCTACTTTTGGCACATGGACTCCCCTAAGGTAGCCTTCAAAGAGCCTTCATCAGTGGTAGTCCTTTTATTTGCAATCACATATTTATTCTGTTTCTGATTCTATATTCTTTTCATGTCTCTCTATTTCCCGAAACAAACTAGAAGGTAAAACCTCTGGTTTTATAGAAATGGGAACAAAAGATCTTAAGAATCTGCTAAAATCTTATCTTGGGGTTCATTACTGTTTCTCTATGAGTATTAAATGGATACAAAATAAAAGAAATAAAGGAGAGTAACTTATTTGAATACCAGTATTTGACATGCTTATAATTTTGAATTATCATTTTTGTGTATTTATTTAGACAATCAGTAAATGGCAAAAACAAACAAACCCAAGAAAGAAACTAAGGTAAACTTACCAAGCCAACAATTAGCAAAAAATATCTCCCTTCAGGTTCCTGAAAGACTTCAGTGTTTGAGTCTGCAGAAGGTTGGAGGTGATGTCGAGGAAATACTTCCCTCCATATTACCAATTGACCAATTCTCTGTTTTGCTGCTAAAGGCAGTAGGCAATAGTGGCGACAGTATACAGCAATATCAATAAGATCATCCTTAGGCAAATGACTGCATATCAAATACCCCTTGAATTGAACCACAGAAAATAAAAGTCAACTAGTGACATAAAGCAATAATCCTATAATGTATTTTTAAGAGTTTTACAGGTATTTCTTCAGGTGGTTTAAAATATTTCAGTTTTAAGTGGAATAAAGAAATAACAAAAATGTCTTCTTTCAACTATTCATCAAGTATGTATAATAACTTAGGTCTGTAATAAATACTTTAGCATAAAGCAGGATCACTTCTAAGTAGCATTAATCTGAGAATTTGAATTACAAAGAACTGAATTCTGAAGATGAAAAGCAGAGAAGTATGAGTTGAGGTGGGGTGAGACGTTCACATTTATAGTTCTGTATTGTCTGATTCTCTTTAGATATGTTTAATTCTGTGCTTAAAAATATACAAAATTAAAATACCTAAATTCATTTGATGAATTGAATCTTTGAATTGAATTGAAACTTAACTTGTTTTACCTGGAAGGCAACTACCTAATTTTAGAAAATTTATCAATAAGATACAGTTACTTTTTGAAGGGAAAATTATACACAACTGCAAAAGGAAAAGGAAATCAACAAAGTATTGCTCTTTTCTCATATACACTTGATTCTTTGAATCCTGTTTCTTTCTTACAAATTTTTAAATGCTTTAAAATGTAATGAAACTGAAATATTTAATGTATTTGTAAATATTAGGTGTAAGTCTTGTTTTAAGATCCAAATTTTATTGTATCTACATTCAGAGAAAAAGAGAGAAATGCATTTCTCATGTTTGTAAGAGTTTGAGAAAATTTAGGTTTGTTCATATAACAGTACAACATTTAAAAGTCAAGCTTAACTTACCTTGTAAAATAGAGAAGACCCCAAAATTGTATATAGCCGTCTCATGTCATAGTAATCCTCAGACTAGGGGAAAAACCACAGTGGATTTATACATGTATATGTATATTTTATGATTTAAAAAATATCCTAGTTAAGCTACAACAATTAAAATGGAAATTACATTCCTTAGTAACTGAAGTTTCCCCTTTTTTGGTATTTATTTATTATGGAAGCACAGTTGATTTACAGTGTTTCAGATGTACAGTATGGTGGTTCAGTTACAATCACACACACACACATATTCTTTTTCAGATTCTTTTCCTTTATAGGTTATTGCAAGATAATGAATATAGTTTGCTGAACATAGGTCCTTGTATTGAGGTATAAGGTGCCTATTTATTTATTTTTGACTGAAAACAACCTTATTTTTGATTCTTATAAAATACTGTTGAATAGAGACACCTAAAAGTAGAACATAATGTTTGTTATCCCAAGAGGGATTCAAAGAAATCTACCAAGACAAATGCTTCTACTAGACATCATCTAAAATGTTTGATATTACCATATACTATTTTTGAAACTACAAACTGGTACAACCTATTTGGGGTTTAAAAGTATGTAAAAAAAATTAAATACACATATCCTTTGAGTAATTCTACAGAAATACTTGAACAAGGCAATCAAGACTTTTGTATAAAAAGTTTAGAATTTCTTATAAAAAATATCACTCCTAATGATATGTGTATGTATGTGTGTATATATATGCATGCATGTGTGCTAAGTCACTCAGTCCATCTATTCTGTGCAATTCATAGACTGTAACCAGCCAGGTTCCTCTATCTACACAGTTCTCTGGGCAATAACATTGGAGTGGGTAGCCATTCCCTTCTCCCAGGGATCTTTCCAACCCAAGGACTGAACCGGGGTTTCCTGCATTGCAGGCGGACTCTTTAGCATCTGAACCACCAAAGAAGCCCATGTATATGTGTGATGTACGTATGCCACGCCCTCCCAGAGACTGAACCCACATCTCTTAGGTCTCCTGCACTGGAAGGCGGGCTCTTCACCACTAGCGCCACCTGGCATATATGTATGTATCGGCTTGTACTGGGGTATGTATGGGCTTCCCCAGTGGCTCACATGGTAAAAAATCTGCCTGCAATGCAGGAAACCCAGGTTCAGTTCCTGGGTCAGGAACATCTAGAGAAGGGAATGGCAACCCACTCCAGTATTCTGCCTGGAGAATTCCACGGAGAGAAGAGCCTAGCATGGGATCGCAAAGAGTCAGACACAACTAAGCAACTAACACTTTCACTTTCATGTATGTGTACAGAAAAGAGTATGGAAGAATACATCCACACTGTTAGAGCAGTTACAACTGAGGACGGAACTGGTTGAGAGGGATGAGGAAGGAGGACATGTGTTTTTTAGTAATCATGCTAGCATATTTTTATCCCAATATGCATGCACTACTTTTATAATTAAAAAACAACAAAACAAAACCTAAGGAACACTGGAAATAATCTAAATATCCCTCAACTGGGGGATGGATTAACACTGTGATAACTTCATACAGTGGACTACTGTATGCAGTAAAAAGAACTGAACTACTGATACAATGAATGAATCTCAAATAAATTATGCTATGTGAAAGAAGTCAGACCCATCCTTTTTCATTTGTTTTGACTGCTTTTATGTCAAAGATATTTCCTGTGATGCTTTACTGTCCTCACATTTAAGAATGAGGTGTTAATAAGTTTATCGGAAGCTTTTTGAGGGTATGGAAGCTCTTTGGCTTCACTGTAGGTAAACTTTTAGAAAGAATTTTAATGAAAAATTTTTACGTGGTGAAATATACATAAAATTTACTATCTTAATAACTGTTAACTGTACAGCTCAATAGCATGATGCACATTCACACTATTTGCAACCAAATCAGAACTTTTTCCTCTTGCAAAACTGAAACTTATTATCTATCAAACAAGGACTCTCCATCCCCCTCCCTTCCCCCAGACCCTGGCATCCACTCTTCTACTTTCTGTTTTTATGAAACTGACTACTTTAGGCATCTCCTACATTCTTGCCTGGGAAATCCCATGGACAGCAGAGTGTGATGGGGTACAATCCATGGGGTCACAAAGAGCTGGACATGACTGAGTGAGTAAACAACAATGGGTGAAATCATGCACTATTTTATCTTGTGATGGGCTTGGTTTGCCTTTGTGACGTGCTAGTGTGGTGTCCTTTGGGTTCATCCCTATTGAGGCATATGTCAAAATTTACTTCCTCTTGGGGGCTAAGTCATGTTTCACAGCATGTATTTTCCATGATTTCTGTCTGTTTGTTCATCTGTTGGTGAATGTGGGTTGCTTTCTCTTTTTGGCTGTTGTGACTGATGCTGCTGTGAAGGTGGGTTTGCAAATGTCTCTTAATTCTTTTGAGTATATGAACTGCTGGGTCATGTGGTAGTTCTGTTTTTTATTTTTTTGCGGAGACCACCATGCTGTTTTTTTATGCACTGCTTTGCATTCCCACCAACAGTGCACAGGGTTTCCAATTTTTCTACATCCTTGCCAACCTTTGGTATTTTTTGGGTTTTGTTTGGTTCTGCTGTTGTTGTTTAGGACCCTGCTTTTTCCACAGAAAATGATCTTGAATATTTTTTCATGTCAGTAGACAGTTTTATAAACATGATTTTAATGGCTATATTATTGAACAGATTCCATAATGTAGTATTTTGTTTCCAGTAATTTTTCAGGGCATAAATAATTCTGTGGAGAATATTCTTATAAAGAAAATCTTTGGGTACATCCCTGATATTTTCCTTAGTTCCTGGAGGTTGAATTCCTATACCAGAGGATATATATTTTTAATGTATATTGCCAGATTGTTTTCCTGAGAGGTTGCATGAGTTTATATTCCTACTAGCAGCATGACAGTATCATCTACAGTGAACATTTCAGACAAAATTACTTCAGTGTAAGATCATAAATACAAGGTTACCAAGAATATACACCAACTGATAACAATGGTTAACTCTGAGAATAGGGCTGATTTTGATGTATGAGTGGTCAAGCAAAATGCTAGGTTCATGTTTACTGTTGGCATTCCCCCATAAGAATGTACTCATGTAATATTTGTAAAACTAAATATTTAAACTTCCTAATTAAAAAGAGTCAGATGGAAAATATTATTTACCATGTGATTCAACTTATGTGACATTCCAGAAATGGGAAAACCATGTACACAGTAAACAGACCAGTGGTTACAGGAACTGGGGTAGGGGAAGGGACTGACTGTAAAAGGGCACAGAAAAATTTACTTAATATAAATTATACCTTAATAATAATCTTAAAACACTAAAGAAAAGAACAAATCTTAAATCTAATGTCACAAAAAGTTTAGAATAGATCCCTCTTTTTGTAAAATTAAAATTGTGAGTTATTCTGCCAGTTCTGACAAATGTGTACAGATGTGTAAGTGCCACCAACATCAAGATATAGAACAGTTCCATCAACACAGTTGCCAATATTTTTTGCTGAGTATTATTCCATTGCATATAACTATATATACCACAATTTGTTCATGGACATTGATTATTAAGCTGATATGAACATTTGTTTACAGGTCTTTGTATTAACATAGATATATTCTTCTTGGGTAGTTTGATAGCAATGAGTTGGGTTGTGTTCAGTTCAGTTGCTCAGTCGTATCTTGACTCTTTGCGACCCATGGACTGCAGTACGCCAGGCCTCCCTGTTCATCACCAATTCCCAGAGTTTACTCAAACTCATGTCCATTGAGTCGTTGATGCCATCCAACCATCTCATCCTCTGTCATCTCCTTCTCCTGTCTTCAGTCTTTCCCAGCATCAGGGTCTTTTCCAATGAGTCAGTTCTTTGCATCAGGTGGGCAAAGTATTGGCGCTTCAGCTTCAGCATCAGTCCTTCCAATGAATAGTCAGTATTGATTTCCTTTAGGATGGACTGGTTAGATATCTTTGCTGTCCAAGGGACTCTCAAGAGTCTTCTCCAACACCACAGTTCCAAAGCATCAATTCTTCGGCACTCAGCTTTCTTTATGGTTCAACTCTCACATCCATAAACGACTACTGGAAAAAACCATAGCTTGGACTAAATGGACCTTCGTTGGCAAAGTAATGTCTCTGCCTTTTTTTTTTTTTTTAATATCTCTGTTTTTTAATAAGCTGTCTAGGTTGGTCATAACTTTTCTTTCAAGGAGCAAGTGTCTTTTAATTTCATGGCTGCAGTCACCATCTAGAGTGATTTTGGAGCCCCCCAAAGTAAACTGTTCCCATTGTTTCCCCATCCGTTTGCCATGAAGTGATGGGACTGGGTGCCATGATCTTAGTTTTCTGAATGTTGAGTTTTAAGCCAACTTTTTCACTCTCCTCTTGCACTTTCATCAAGAGGCTCTTTAGTTTTTCACTTTCTGCCATAAGTGTGCTGTCATCTGCATATCTGAGGTTATTGATTTCTCCTGGCAATCTTGATTCCAGCTTGTGCTTCATACAGCCCTGCATTTTGCATGATGTACTGTGCATATAAGTTAAATAAGCAGGGTGACACTATACAGTCTTGAGGTATTCCTTTCCTGATTTGGAACCAGTCTGTAGTTCCATGTCCAGTTCTAACCGTTGCTTCTGGACCTGCATACAAATTTCTCAGGAGGTAGGTAAGGTGGCCTGGTAGTCCCATCTCTTTAAGAATTTCCCACAGTTTGTTATGATCCACACAGTCAAAGGCTTTGGTGTAGTCGATAGACCAGAAGTAGATATTTTTCTGAAACTCGCTTTTTTGATGATCCAATGGATGTTGGCAATTTGATCTCTGGTTCCTCTGCCTTTTCTAAATCCAGATTGAACATCTGGAAGTTCATGGTTCACATACTGTTAAAAGCCTGGCTTGGAGAATTTTGAGCATTACTTTGCTAGCCTGTGAGATGAGTGCAATTGTGCAGTATTTGAGCATTCTTTGGCATTGCCTTTCTTAGGGATTGGAATGAAAACTGACCTTTTCCAGTCCTGTGGCCACTACTGCATTTTCCACATTTGCTGGCATATTGAGTGCAGCACTTTCACAGCATCATCTTTTAGGATTTGAAATAGCTCAACTGGAATCCCATCACCTCGACTGGCTTAGTTCATAGTGATGCTTCCTAAGGCCCATTTGACTTTGCATTCCAGGATGTCTGGCTCTAGGTGAGTGATCATGTCATAGTGATTATCTGGGTCATGAAGATCTTTTTTGTACAGTTCTTCTGTGTATTCTTGCCACCACTTCTTAGTATCTTCTGCTTCTGTTAGGTCCCTACCATTTCTGTCCTTCATTGTGCCCATCTTTGCATGAAATGTTTCCTTGGTATCTCCAATTTTCTTGAAGAAATCTATTGCTTTCCTCTATTTCTTGCACTGATCACTGAGGAAGGCTTTCTTATCTCTCCCTGCTGTTCTTTGGAACTCTGCATTCAAATGGGTGTATCTTTCCTTTTCTCCTTTGCCTTTTGCTTCTCTTCTTTTCACAGCTATTTGTAAGGCCTCCTCAAACAACCATTTTGCCTTTTTGCATTTCTTTTTCTTGGGGATTGTCTTGATCACTGCCTCCTGTACAATGTCATGAGCATCCCTCCATAGTTCTCCAGGCACTCTATCAGATCTAATTCCTGGAATCTATTTGTCACTTCCACTGTGTAATCGTAAGGGATTTGATTTAGGTCATACCTGAATGGTGTAGTGGTTTTCCCTACTTTCTTCAATTTAAGTCTAAATTTGGCAATAAGGAGTTCATGATCTGAGCTACAATCAGCTCCCAGTCTTGTTTTTTCTGACTGTATAGAGCTTCTCCATCTTTGGCTTCAAAGAATATAATCAGTCTGATTTTGATATTGACCATCTGGTGATGTCCACAGTACAGATGTTTAGGTTATTAAGAAATTTCCAAACTCTTTTCCAAACAATTGTATCATTTTACATTATCAATTTATCAACTTTTGTGTATTGTGTCTTGATATTGTAGACAAGGAATCCCAACAGATCTTTTTCTAACCAGTTAGTTCGACTGTTTACTAAAATGATGTTCTGTGAACACAAGTGTTAGAGCTTTAATTAAACCTACAAATCTAGGTTCTGAAAACCTACATATTTTAATACTTTGGATCTAAACTGCTCCTAATGATTAGTATCTAGTTAATTTTTTTTTCTCCATTGGTGAGACCTGTGAACAGTTCTCCTTGCTTAAATTTCCACTCTTTTTATAAACAAAATACCCTCCCATTTGCTCTGGATCTTAGCTAAGACTAAGCCGCCCTTTCAAGTGAACCACCTCCCCCTACTTTCACCAGCAGTCTGCTAAAGAATGACCCAGCCTCCCTGCTTCTACTTCCTAACGTCCCATTTACTTTTAAGAAACTTTCATTACTGAAAATTTTAGCACATACAAAAATAGAATAATATATTAGCTCCTAGGTACCCATCACTACCAAGCTTCAACAAAGACTAGTACATGGCTAATCTTGTTTCATCTCTCTCCTTCTTCCCTCTCCCTGATGAATTATTTCCAAATCAATTCCAGATGTATCATTTCATCTGTAACTACTTCAGAATGTATCTATGAAACAGAAGGACTTAAAAAAAAAAAAACATACCCAGAATATCATTACCACATCTAAAGAATTATTCCCACCTAATATCCAGTTATCTGTGTTTACGTGTTCTTGATCGACTCATACACATTTTAAAATATTTTGTTTGTTTGAATCAGAATCCAAGTAAGATCCATATACTGACATTGGTTGGTGTTTCTTGAGTCTCTTGTAACTGATAGATTTTCTCAATTTCTCCTGACTGCGTGCCACCCCCCATGCCCCTACTACCCCACACCCCATCTTCTAATCTACTTGTTGAAGAAGCCATCCTATGTGTTTCCTAGTCTGAATTTTGCTGACAGCAATCCCCCTCCTCCAAATGGGGTCATCTAATATGCCCCTCTTCCCCTGTATTTTCTACAAATTGGTAGTTAGACCTTGAGGTATGATCGAGTGTATTTCATAGGTGGTTTGTGTGCTTACAACAGGAACCATATACTGTCTGGCTGACTTTCTTTTTGTGATGTTAACTGCTGCCAATCACTGCTTAGATCCTTTAACTCACTGAAAAATGACATTCCAATTCTGTCATTCTTGCTTGATATGTTAGACAGACCAATTCCGTAAAGAGAACTTCCAGATGTTTAAGCTGGATTTAGAAAAGGCAGAGAAATCAGAGATCAAATTGTCAACATCCTTTGGATCATAGAAAAAGCAAGAGAGTTCCAGAAAAACATCTACTTCTGCTTTATTGACTATGCCAAACCCTTTGGCTCTGTGGATCACCACAAACTGTGGAAAATTCTTAAAAAGATGGGAATACCTGACCACCTTACCTGCCTCCTAAGAAATCTGTATGCAGGTCAAGAAGCAACAGTTAGAACTGGACATGGAACTACAGACTGGTTCCAAATCAGGAAAGGAGTACGTCAAGACTGTATAGTGTCACCCTGCTTATTTAACTTATATGCACAGTACATCATGCAAAATGCAGGGCTGGATGAAGCACAAGCTGGAATCAAGATTGCCAGGAGAAATCAATAACCTCAGATATGCAGATGACACCACATTTATGGCAAAAAGCGAAGAAGACTAAAAAGCCTCTTGATGAAAGTGCAAGAGGAGAGTGAAAAAGTTGGCTTAAAACTCAACATTCAGAAAACTAAGATCATGTCACCCGGTCCCATCACTTCATGGCAAATAGATGGGGAAACAATGGAAACAGTGACAGTCTTTATTTTCTTGGGCTCCAAAATCACTGTAAATGGTGATGGAATTAAGCAGTCATGAAATTAAGACATTTATTTGCTCCTTGGAAGAAAAGCTATGACAAACTTAGCACAGTAAAAAACAGAGATATTACTTTGCCAATGATGGTCCATCTAGTCCAAGCTATGGTTTTTTCCAGTAGTCATTTATGGATGTGAGAGTTGGACCATAAAGAAAACTGAGTGCCGAAGAATTGATGCTTTGGAACTGTGGTGTTGGAGAAGACTCTTGAGAGTCCCTTGAACTGCATGGAGATCAAACCAGTCCATCCTAAAGGAAATCAATCCTAACTATTCATTGGAAGGACTGATGCTGAAGCTGAAGTGCCAATACTTTGGCCACCTGATTCGAAGAACTGACTCATTGGAAAAGACCCTGATGCTGGGAAAGATTGAAGGCAGGAGGAGAAGGGGATGACAGAGGATGAGATGGTTGGATGGCATTACCGACTCAATGGACATGAGTTTGAGCAAGCTCTGGGAGTTGCTGATGGGACAGGGAAGGCTGGTGTGCTGCAGTCCATGGGGTTGCAAAGAGGCAGACATGACTGAGTGACTGAACTGACTGACTGTAAAGAGAAACTCCCCTCATCTCTATTTGGTAACCTTGAGGTATGGTTTAGACAGGAAAGGAAATCAATGTTAGATTCTTTCTCCCTAATTACTGTTTCACAGTAACAGATGGGTTCCTTAGTATTCTCCAAAGTTGACCAATAACTCTTTTTTCTTTAGTAACATTATGAACTGTTAGACTTAGACTTAGATATATCTGATGTGTTTCAATCCAATGCAGTTATTATCCTTGCAGATGCTCAAGTGGGAGCCTCTTCAAGTTGTCTCCTAATTACTTGAACCTTAAATTAAATCTAGTAAATTTTGAAAGCTTCCTGGATGTCTGATATAACAAGATGTTGCCAGACTTATCTTGTACATTTTCAGCCCTAAATCTGGATTCAGCCATTTCTCATAGGAGTTGCCTTAAGTGAACCACATTATTTATACACAATGGCCTGGGTGCTAGTAATGCTCTGGTGGACAGAGCTAGGAAATATATTTCACTAGACAGAGCTAGGAAATATATATATATTTTAAATGATTAAAAACCATAACTACCAATTAATATAACATGTATGGTCTTTCTTTCAAAGCCCAGTTATAACTGATACTGCATATAATGATTATTACATGCCCCCTTGGAAAATACTTATAATAATGACTGATTTACAAAGTAAGAAATAAACAATGAACTTTTCCTAAAATCCACTGCTTCTCTTACCAGTTCTGCAAAATCTGCGGCCTCCAAGTCACTCAATGCTGTGTCTAATTCCAACTATACGAAAAAAAAAAAAAAACAGTAACACAAACATTTAATTTTTATTACTTACTTTTTAGTACTGGCCATATAAAAGTGCTTAATTACTTGTGCGTGCCAAGTTGCTTCCGTCGTGTACGACTCTTTGCGACCCCGTGGACTGTAGCCACCAGGCTCCTCTGTCCATGGGATTCTCCAGGCAAGAATCATGGAGTGGGTTGCCATTTCCTCCTCCAGCAATCACTTGAAGAAGTAAATAAATACCTCTCTCTCCTTTGTGTTATTTAAGGAATGTCCCAAAATGGAACATCTTACTTTTAAGCTTTGCAATTACAAAAATAAAATTAGTGTATTTTAACATACAGGTATTTTTCCCTTACATCTTAATACTGCAAAATGGGCTTCACTCTCTATTCAGTTCAAACTAATTTATGAAGTTACAAAGCTGCATTACAGTTTTGTCAGAAAAGCTTTTAACCTATTAAAAATCTTAAGAGGAAAATCAATCTTGATATAGCCAATCTATTATGAATTGTCTATTTTTCTATTTTCTATATATTTCTCAACAGTTGGATCTTGGAAAATATCAACATTCTTCCCTGTCTCTTGCCTTTATAAACTCTTTTGTATAAAAAGACTGTTAATCTTTATTCATGGATTAAATCATGAAAGCAAGTGTTCCCCTGGAACCTGGCACAGTTTAACCACCCTACAGAGTTATTAGAAAAATCTCTTACTTAGGATTTAGCTTCTGTTCCTATGGAAGATGCTGGAACTCTTTCATGTATTTGTCCTTCCCTGAAGCATTCAAAATTTTAAAGCACAATATATTTAATCTGAGGTTTAGTCTGTAATGCATATATATAAACTGGAAACTATTGATAGTTAAAATTTGTAGCATATATGGTATTTGTGAAAAATAATCCTGTTTTTTGTTTTTTTTAAAAGGCCAAGGGCATTCTCTGCAGGACTGTTTCACAAACTGTGTCTTACTGAGATGACAGAAGCTTTGGAAACATTAGTCATGCCTCTCAATGCTTTTCACACAGTGTGACTTATTACTCATTTGTGACCTACATTTTTCTGCATCTAGCAAATACTTCATGTTCTCCTTTTTGTGGCTGTAGTTTCTGTTGTGAAAAACTATAGGACAAAAAGAAAATTACCTACTTAAGATTTCTGATCACAGAAATGTTAAACAGGTTGCTATTCCTGCTACTGAACTCTATAGGCTGAAACACAAGGTTACTATAATTGCTTCTTCATAATCCTTAAGAGAAAAAGTAAAATATCTTTTCTCTTAATTATTCCAGTGTATCTTAGGAAAAAAAAATTTTTTTTAAAGTCTGACATACAAAATAAGGAAAGAAAACTAAAGTGCAACCTCATCATATACTAAATTCAGAACAAGTATATTTTTCTCCGACTTAAAAGCAATTATTCCCACCTACAAGTTATCAGGTATAAATTACCTCTCACACCTATATGTTTTTAACTAGATTTCTCAAGGCACAAAATTTCTTACTGTTTTCCATATAGTCAATAAATCCTACTGTTTTTAATCACAGTAAGAAATCTCAAAGGGAAAAGCAAAGCATATGAGTTCTTTGAGTCTGCTGATAAAACAAAAACAAAAACTTCAAGGATTACCATGTATTTCAAACTTTACATTCATCAGAGACTTTCAGATCACTTTATCAGAGCATATCTATCCCTTTCCAAAAATATTATTCTTAATTCTCTTAACTAGACTACAAAATGTAAAAACATCTCAGCTATACCCTCATTGTTTCCCATGTAGAAGTTCCACCTACCCAACTACACTGTGAGCATCCAAAGGACTTTTTTGGATTCCCAGAGCATAGCACACATCTGAGTACTTGGCACAGTAAAGGCTGACCTCCATATAGAAATGTCAGACTCAGAAAGTACAAGTACAACCAAAGCTCTGGTGAGATAAAGCAACAGGTATGATTTGAGTCAAAAGATTACAGAATATACATCAGTTCATACAGTGACTTCTCAGTGTGATATTCTCTTAAGTTGATAAAAATAAAGTGTACAGGGTGGGAGGTGGGAGGGAGGGTCAAGGGAGGAGACATATGTATGCCTATGGCTGATTCATGTTGATGTGTGGCGGAAGCCAACGCAATACTGTGAAGCAATTATCCTTCAATTAAAAATTAGTAAATTTTTAAAAACTATATAGTCCTTTTAATCAAATATATGCTAAGCTAAGGGGAATAATGTCAATAAAAGAGAAATCTGAAAACAGGAAGAAGCCTTCACATGGAATTTATAAGACTAAAATAGGCTGTATTTTTAAATGTCTTAAACTTCTTAGAAGGAAAATATTTAATCTTAATATATCCAAAGTCTAAAGACACTGCCCCTAAAAACATTTAGTCTTATATCTCTACTCTCACAGAAGAGACTATATATTCTGTGGAGAAAACATTTCTTTAAGTGAAGAGAGTCTTAGGGGAAAGAACTTGGGCAAAATTCATGAGATGATGCTGTACGTGATTAACTGCTCAGTGCTGTCTGACTCTTTGCGACTCCATGGACCACAGCCCACCAGGCTACTCTGTCTATGGAATTTTCCAGAAAAGAACACTGGAGTGGCTTGCCATTTCCTACTCTAGAAAAAAGGTGATGGCACCTCTGACTAACAAAATGTCCTGTGTCTTTCAGAAGAAAAAAGACCCCAGAATGGACATGAGGCAGACTTTGGAACCAGGGTCTTTCTATATTAAATGTAAAGTTATCTAATTAAACTCTGTCTCTTTTGAACACTTACAATTTCTTATTGAGGGGAGTAGAATTATATATTTCATACTTTTCAGTATGGAAATGATTTAGGAAAATGATAATCATTGGCCTCAGATAAAAAAATGCAGCAGGAGGCAGTTGACAGAGGCAAGGACAAAAAAAAGAATACCAGAAGGTAAAGTTTCCTTTAAACATGCTCTAACCCCTCAACTCCCTCCAGTTATACAATATATAATACTACTTTCACAACTATAATTACAACAATGTGCCAGGCATGACTCTAAGCATTTTATGTATTATAACTTCTTTATGAAGTAGATACTATTATTGTTCCCATTTTACAGATGAGAAAGCTGAGTAAAGAGACTGATATATCAGTTTAAATTATTACTAAACTGTCAAAAGGCATACTTATTTGATCATATATTGTAGAATTCCATGAAGAGCACAATTTTGAATTGGGGTTTTACTACAACATAGCTTGAGTTTCTTCATGGACAAGGAACTGCTATGGCATGGTGCCTCATTAATACTGTTACAAATGCTGTGGCTAAATATACTGTTGTTTATGAATATGTCTGAAATGAGTCTTCAATCATTCAGTCATTTCAATCAGTAAAGTTATTCTGGATCTAGAAATGCCTAAAATCACATTGATAACCCTCATGAACCTTACCTTTGGGTGAGCTATCTATGGGACAATGCTAAGGCTAATTACAGATGCTCATGTAAACAAAGATTTTGGTATTATTCATGGAGTTTGTATTTCAGTTAAGAATATTTGTTAAGCAATCATTTCATCCACCTAACTCAATGACCCTGCATTATAAAATCAAAACCACAGAACTAAAAAGTAAGACACACATATAATTATGATTTCCAAAAAGTATTCCAAGTTTGAACAAAGCTTGAATGTTAAAGTAAGATGACAGAACTAATTTTTATTTAGAAAGAAAAAGTTCACTGCACTGGACCTCCTGCCATATCAACTAGTTGCCCTTTTAACTCTTACCCACAATCCTGAAAATAACAAAAAGCCTATGGAGAAGAAAAAAAAAGAAAATAAAGAACTGTAAGGCAACTGGCTCTGATTCTTATTTATGACACCTAAGAGTACCTTAATTTCCTGGGGAAGTATGAGCCACCGAACTCCAGGGAGATTGTCTAAAAGTACTGCACTGGAAGCATCATACTGCTGTGTGCTGGGACTGGCACTCGAATGTAGTTTAGTGGGCTGAAGTGCTCTTTGGAAAAACAAGCTGAAAAAATGATCCAAACGAGGAACATTCTCAACCTGGCAAAAGGCACTGAAAAAACAAGAGCTGTAATGTTAGAACAACACATGCAAATGGCGGTCATTGCTTGTGCAACCCTAAAGGGACTGGATCTTGCCCAACTACATAGGTTCTCTTCCTTACTCCTCCCTTAATGAGAATTATATAGCCATAAGGTAACTGATAGAGTGTGTTAAGAAAATCACCCTGTCAATATTTTTTACCCTAAAACTTTATTCTCAAATGCACTGGGCAGATGGTACTATGGGAAAACCACAGAGCTAACACAAGTGGTATATCTAGAACAGAATGGGGTGAAGTACCCTTTTAGCAAAAAATGTAAGTTGCTTTCACTTTTAATTATTTCTCAACCATTTACAACTCCCAATATCTTTCAGTCAACATAGGATAACAAAAAGATTCTGAGCTTCTAGAACAGATCTGACTAAATCCTATCAGTGCTTTTCACTAGGTAGATCTCTCAGGAAGATCATCTAACCTTTCTCTGAACTTTTGTTCTCAACTCTAAAAACAGGGATAATACAATCTAACTAACTCTCATGAAAAGTACCTAGTATACAGTAAGTACTCATTATGCTATTTCTTACTGGTATACAGTAAACACATGATTAGCCTAAGTTATTTCCTCCCCTCTTTGCTAATGAAGGCACAGCTATTTAAAAACAAACAAAAAAAACACACCTTAGTTTCAATGATTTAAAAGTAGTATAGCATTACTGACAACCATTCAGTGGTATAGACTATTGGATAACACAATAACTGATACACACACACACACACACACACACACACACCCCATTAATATATCAGAATAATATTCACTGATTCATTCAACTAATTACTTGAGTGCCTACTGTGTTTCAGGCACTATTCTCATGGATGGAGGTACAGCAATAAAAATATCAAGACAAAAGACAAAGTCTCTACTCCCATGGAGCTCACATTCTACTGGAGAATGATGATAAATTATCAAAATGTAAAATCATGAACTTGTACAAAGGACTAAGCAGAGAACAGGGCTGTTTGAATGGGAGAGGTGACTGGCTGGCTATTTTAAATCAAATGGTTAGGGAAGGATCTCTGAGAAGGAACAGGGCATTTAAGCTGAGGTCCTGAGGTCAAGAGGGTCTAGTGAGATGGAAGAGTATAAAAGCCAGGGTGTGAACAGGCTTGACCAGGATGGCTGCAGAACAGTACAGAAGGGTGGTGTGGATTGAGATCTGAAATCAGAAGGATATGTGGGAGCCACATAATAATGTAGAAAGATCATTCTGACTTTGGAAATTAAAGAGGCAAGGATGGAGGCAAGGAAATCAGGACGTTACTGTAGGAATGAGCCACAGCAGTAGTTGGGACAGGGTAATAGTGAAGATGGAGAGAAATGGATGGATTTGAGATTTGTTTTGGAGACAGGTTGATCAGGATTTGTTGATGGATTGGCTGGGAATGATGAAGGAAACATCTTTAATTTGATCACAACACTAAACTTTGTTAAGGTATAATCAGTTTTCTGTCACTTACAGAGGACTAACCAGCTCACAACTTACAAATGATAATTTAAGTTTTGGACTTTTTAGTCATTTCATAATTTTTCACAATGGGCCTTTAAAATCTTTCATAATCAGAAAAAAAGTGATTAAAAAATTATAGCAAAATGACTGTTAATATGGTGGATCCATACTGCTTCTTGGTTTCAAGAACTCAGTGGGTCTTGAAATTTATTATTTTAGTTTGCGTTTCAAATTCTAACTTGGATAAGAAAAAAACTGCTTAAATTTGCTGTCAACTTGGAGTTGCTTCCAAATCAATGGAAGCTAAATATCAAAATGAAATTCAGAGAAATCAAGAGTCCATCTGCCCTCAACCTACTTCATTGGAATTTATAGGACAACTCCAATTGCTTTATCTTCATATACAGAATTCATTACAGGAATTTAATCTTTGATCATCTCTAGTTTTTGAAAATAGAGATTCAGCAATATTTGCTCATCTAGTATAAATTTAAGGAGGTAGTTTATAACGACCTTAAGAGTCCTTACTTTCACTGATTAACATTTTTCTTACTAGTAAAAGATAAAAGCACTATATATGAATGCCCAGCCTTTTATAGTTCACACATTTGGAAAATGCTAATACGTAATTGGATTTGAGAGGAAGGTGTCTCCTAAGAGGCTCCTGGAGGAAAATACTGCAAATTAGACAATTTCTACAGATGACATCATCACAGAAAATTCCTTTAGGCAGCTCTGAGAACAGTGACAACAAAGCTGATACTACGATGGTTTGGAAAAGTGTATAAACTGTCTTTGGAATTTTTATATTGATATAATCTTAAGGCTTTGAATTAAAGGTACCATTTTAGCCCTCTGAAGTACTGGGAATTACAAAAATCCTCCAAAGAGAAAAAAAAAATCTATTTCTCACTCATAATTTTACATGTTCAAATGTTAAATGACTACCTCAAATTTCCTCCTTCAGATCAAGAAAGATGTAGCATATACTGCAAGGTTAAAAAAGCAAGAAGCAGAAAAATATGCAGTGTGAGCTCACATGTTAAAAAAAAAAATGTGTATATTCATGTCATATAGACAATATTGGGTTGGTCAGAAAGGTCATTCAGGTTTCTTTGTAACATCTTGTGGAAAAAAACCAAACGAACATTTTGGCCAATTCAATATATGGAAGAATATACATGAAAATAAATAGTCAATTACCTTTCCCACTATGTCTTTTATTTATTTTAATAGCACATTTTTTTACTAAAAAAAATTTAAGGAAAAATATCACATTTTAGGAGAGTAATTTGACAACGGTCTTTTAATCAGAAGAAAACACAAAAAAAACTTATTTGAAATCTTCTTACTCTTTTCTGTATCTGTTCTGAAGAAATGCTTACATTTGCCCCTACAAAAATACATCAAATCACAATGTAATTGCGCTTACATCACTATTTCACAAAACTTATGAGATCAAAAAAGAAAAAGCACTGGATCAAATGAAAACCTGCCTAGAGCTGTAAAATAAAAGCCGGACATGAGGATGAGAAAGTAAGGTGAACAACAACAGCAACAAATAACTTAACCAAGGAACACTAGTGAGCACAAAAAATAATTTAGAATCGTATACTTAAAATGTGAGATTCAATTCAAAGAAGTACTCACCTATCTAAAGAGCCATACATAAATTTTAAGGTTTGGGCAACATCTTCTATCATATTCCTCAGCTGAGGAAGAGGTACTCTTAAAAAAAAACAAAACAACATCTGTTCATTTATAACACAGACAACTGATTTCATAACAAAAGAAGCCGATCTTTACATTATATATATATGAAAAATATGAAAAGTATGTGTGTTAACTATGAGTACAGCTGTGTAAAATGGTTGTTTCCTGCAGAACCAAAAATTCTGACGTCTAGATTTGGGATTCTAACATGAGTCAAGTACAAACTTTTATATCACCATCTACATTACTTAATCCTCTTAGGATTTAATGGATTTAATCTCCTTTATGTGTAAAATGGGACCATAATCACTAAACCTTCTCAGAAGGTTCATTTTGAGGATTAAATAAAAGTAATACATATAAGAAGTTAGTGCCATATCTGGGCACATAGAAAGAAATGTGAATTCTTGACATTTTCCAGTAATACTAAAATCTCAACTGAATCTCTAACTTTTGTGACAAAACGACAACCCTTAATGAAAGAGAAAGGAAAGAAAGTAGGAGAAAGGAAAGAAATGGGACTTAACACTTTCATATTGAAGCCTTGCAGGAATTTTACAAAGCAGGTCTTATTATTCCCGTTACACCAATGGGTAAAATGAGGTTTAAGAGGTAACTTCTGCCAGGAAACCCAGGGAGTAGAACCTACTGGTGGGCTCCAAGGTTACTCTCTACTACCTCTCACTGTCTTCCTGGTTATGTCCTCACTGTTCACTGCAGCCATCACAGTAAGGTGATCTCCCCACCGAGAAAACACGTTACTACTGGAGTATATGCCCCACTCTGTCCTCTGCGGGGCAATGCTTTTCTCATCCTGACTGTAAAAGGTATAGTGATGAAGAAAGAAACATACAGACTGTGGCATTAAGACAGACAAGGGAAAAAAATCCCGGGGATGCCAGTTCAATTACAAACCACATGCACGATGTTGGAGATAGAGATGTACAAACCGACACTGAGGAGGCACTTGGGCATGATCGCTCAATACTCTATTTCCCAATCAGAACAAATGAGAACAATAATAACTACCTTTCACAGTCATGTGAAACAAGATGAAACAAGGAAAAAGAGTCTGCTACAGAGTGGTTGATATGAGCAGTAAGACAGCTGGGTGAAGAGGTGGCTGGGACTATTCCTGACTTGAAGCTCAGGTTAGAGAAGGAGGAGGACCTTCCAATTCATTCTAACTTAACTAGCCAAGTTCTCTAGGAAGGAAATGACATAAGAATTTAGGAAAGGCCCCCTCCCTACCTCCACCGCAGTAATAAAGATTGAGAAAATGGCTAGAGCAAAACCTTGATCCAGAGCTCAGCAGTGACAGTCCTTTTTTTGGCTTCAGGGCAAAACCTGTGAACACTGTCTCTAGCTGCCTAAATGTGACTGGTGGCATCACATGGTGACATCAGAATGTGGGGGAGCAGCCGCTGCCCACTTCTTTAGCTGGGCCTTCCTCTTTGCTCTCTAACTGCCCACACTACCTTATCTTACCACTGTATTAACTGTATCAACTGTATCTTTTCTTTTGCCTTTTGGGCTACTACAAAAGTCTAAAGGCACTACGCCGCCTTTTACCTGCCACCACACTGTAAAGCATCTTATTCTGGATATTCTCCAATTTGTATAAACCCGTACTGTGAAAACAACTCAATTTTTCATTACACAACCCATGGCATAGGGCAGTCTCCTTGCAGGGTTCATTATAGTCCTTTTTTAGACAGAAAAATGCACATGCATTTTTCTAAGTGACGACTAAGTCACTTCAGTCGTGTCTGACTCTTTGTGATTCTATGGAGTGTAGCCTGCTGGGCTCCTCTATTGATGGGATTCTCTAGGCAAGAATACTAGAGTGGGTTGCCATGCCCTCCTCCAAGGGATCTTCCTGACCTAGGGACTGAACTTGTGTCTATTATGTCTCCTGTATTGGCAGATGGGTTCTTAACCACTAGTACCACCTGGGAAGCCTGAAAAATGCACATTAGCTGATTAAAGAGAACCATCATGTAATAGTACCACTATCCCATCATGTGAACATTTTTGATTCTCTTTCTGTCCAAAATTAAAGACCCTTTTAAAACACAATCATTTTAATATTTTTCACTGCAGCCTCCTATGGAGTTCCTGTTTGTGGTGTTAAAACAAGTTCACACACTGTTTGATACTCTTGCCCTTGAGTGTGGGCTGGATTTAGTAATTCACTTCTAACACATATATAGATAAATGTCAGTCCACTCTTATAGCCAACTATTAAAATAAGATATATTTCAAAATACTTCCAAAAAAGTTAAGAAGAGGACCATGATAAGACATAACATTAAAGAAATCACTTTAAAGTTAAATATTCATTATTTGGTCAAAGATGCTCAACATCAAGGCAAAACATCTTTCTGCTGACCTTTACTTCTCCAAATCGCCAACAGGAAAAAGAACAAAAACTGTAAACATGCAAAATCCAAACCATGATACTGTCAAAAGTCTGAGCAGAGGACAAGCTATCTCAGCCACCTCTGGTCACATCTTAAAGAGGAAAATGTATTGATAGCCTTACTAATTAATCTAGGCAGGCTGTCCTGGTACCTTTCTGCACTCTTCATGCCAAATGAACACAGGTAGCCATTAAACCAGTGCAGCAAACGTTTCAACTGTAAAACTTCCTAATTGACCTTTTGACAAAAATGTCATCACTTTAATGAAACAGACTTTATCAGCAGTATTTTAGAAATGAATTTAAGGTAAACAAAAATCCCAACTTACTCCTCGGCAGGCAGGCCAATTAACAACAGTTTGTCAGATTCTTTCCAATAAGCTATATGAATTTGTTTTCCATTTAAAAAAAGGGATGAGCTAAGAAAAAAAGAGTCAAAATGAAATTAAGAATATCTTTAAATGGCATAAAATTATAAACAGTCATTTAGAAAAGATTACATATGGTATGATTTAAGAACCGCATGCTTAATAAGCAAATTTTTTGGCATATACCTAATTGCCACACAGAAAAGGCAAGGAATTGTACAACACAAACATATCCTAAAATACATACTTCAAAAAGCTCACAAAAACTTGGTCAAACAAAAGTAGACTCTTATAGCAAAAAGCTATTGAAACTCTTATTAACATTAATTGACTATATACACATTTTTTAAGGAGAAAGCTTTATCTCAGTGTGTTAACAAATCTTTACTGATTATCTATTTATGAACCTAATTTACTAAAAGAGATTACAAAGAAGTAAGATATCGTCCCAGGCTCAAAACACAATCACTTAGTATGGGACACATAAATAAGTAACCAAAATGTTGTCAGATTTAAATGTATTCTCAAGGAAACATTTGGAGTGATAAGATATATTCATGATGGTGATGGTTTCAGGGTCTATACCAATGTCAAAAATGATCAAATTATACAGTTTACATATATGCCATTTACTATACTTCAATTATATTTTAATTAATTTGGAAAACAATGTGTTCAAAGAGAGATACAATAATAAACTATGGAAACAGATAATATGATTCAATCTTACAGTGTGGGTAGGTGGTGAGAAGGTGTTTTCTTTGAAATTAAAATATGCCCATCAGTTTTTATCTATTGAGTCTCAGGACATAGTGTACTTTCTTTACTACAGTAGATGAGTATGTGAGGTTTTAAAAAGGATATTAGTTTTGCCTTAATAAAGTTTAAAAACTGCATGTACTTTTAGACAAATATAGTCATAATTTTACTATAGTTTTAAAACTGTATGCAACAAAAGACACATGTTGCTAAGGAATCCCTGAAATAATAATAATCTTCATACTCTTTCAAAAAAGTTTTTCCTATATATATTTACTGTTTTCCACATCTGATGATGGTTTAGTTGCTAAGTCATGTCCAACTCTTGCAAACCCATGGACTGCAGCCTGCCAGGCTCCTCTGTCTATAGGATTTCTCAGGTAAGAATACTGGAATGGGTTGCCATTTCCTTTTCCAAGGGATCTTCCTGACCCAGGGACTGAACCTGCATCTCTTGCATTGGCAGGCAGATTCTTTACCACTGAGCCACCAGGGAAGCTGCATCCACATGTCTAATCCATATCTTATCTAACAAAAATCTAAATATGAAGATCTGAATATCAAAGATCTAAAATATCTATACTTTAGAGGAAAATAAAGTCCACATGGAGAAACTTAAAACACATCTTCTTACTAAAAAGATTAGAAATGAGGCCTGCACCGTAAAAACATGTTAGGAGAAGGATCTAGTCACAAATAACGACATATTTCAATTTCTTTCTTACAAAATGTCCAGAATAGGGAAATCTATAGAGGCAAAAAGTAGATTAGTGGGTGCTTAGGGCTTGGGGGTGAGTAGGTGAATGAATATCTGAAAGGTAGAGTTCTTTCAGATAATAAAAATGTTCTCAAACTGACTCTGGTGATGGTTTCACGTTATCTTCAAATATCAAAAACCATTCAATTGTATACTTTAAGTGGGTGAATTGGATGATGTATGAACTATATCTCAATAAAACTATTTAAAAAAATTTTAAATGCCTATATCATGCTTTTATGAATGTGTGTGCTGTGCCTCGTCACCCAGTTGCGTCCAACTCCTTGCGACCCCATGGACTGCAGCCCACCAGGCTCCATGGGGATTCTCCAGGCAAGAATACTGGAGTGGGCTGCCATGCCCTCGTCCAGGTTTATGACTGTGAATATATACTAAATGGAGCCTCAGTTACTAGCATTCTGTAATGAACTAATCTTTCCTACATACACTATATTAAAAGTCCCAGAGTTAAATATCACTTTCATTTAGAAAAACAAAAAATTCTTCCTGTTATCTTGCAGATCCTATCTATTAAGATCCTAGACAAAGACCTACTGTATAGCACAGGAAACTATACTCAATACTTTACAATTACCTATTACAAAGGGAAAAGAATCTAAAAAGGATGTGTGTGTGTGTGTGTGTGTGTGTACACACTGTGCTGTACACGGGAAATTAACACATTGTAAACCAACAATATACTTCAATAAAACATAAAATCCTAAAGGTGTCATTTTAATCAGAAGGTGGGAAAAGAAAAGTTAAAGCCTAGAAAATCCAACTTGATATTCTATCAGTATTGAAGGGCTCATAAAATTTGAGATAAACTTTTTTTGGTAAAGTCCAAACTGTTGAAAAATTAAGAAAAATAGTTTATAATCTGTAGATCTATTTTATGAAAAAAAGCAAAAAAAAAAAACCTCAAAAACTTTGAACCCCCTCTTTCCACAAGTTAACTATAAAATTTCAAAGTCAGGAAATATTATCATAATATCACCTTCTGAATACTCTTTCTAAAGTGTATGTGTATTGTGTGTTTTTCTATCATTGTTTTAAGAACAAAACATTTTGAACTACATGAAAAATTTGTATTCAGTCATCCTTACCAAACACAAAGCTATTGTCAAGCAAGTTAATAATCAAGATACAATCACAAAAAAGCCAAGATTCATCATAATGCCATGCTTAATAGAGACCACTTTTATGAAAAATTCTAAAATGCAGGTCATTAGTCTAACTTTGTTATGTAAAGTGTGCCCAAACACCCAGATCTACAGCTGTACTGAGAATCTAATTTTCAATAGGTGAGTAGTAAAAACAACCTATGTGAGGAAGAAGTTATCCATAGATACCACACCTGTCATATAAATATTTCCATTATAGATACAAACATATTTGTATAACAGATACCTGCATTGGTGTTTTGTCAGAACCAAGGTAAAGAACTTGAAAGAAAAAGATTAAAGCTAAATAACAGTCAATTATTACCTCGTAACTTGTGTCCCAGTTACATTTTCCAACATGTCACAGAGTGTAAGAAATATCCCTCTCACACTCCGGAGTTTTTGAGATGCCTCAGAAACTGGATAATGATAAAGGATTTCCTGCTATTAAATGAAAAGAAACAGCAATGTCAATCCCTCTGAAATTTTCCAACCATAATTTTTTTCATGCCAAGTATAGACTTTGAATTAAGGAAAAAACAAACAAAAATGACTCCTTTCAGCTTCAGTGGGAGTTTTATGCAAACATAAGGAGAAAAGTATGCCTGGAATTTTAACACATTAACTAGAATTTAATATATACATTTAAAATAAGTTAGAGACTATCAAAATTGGTCATGATATATATGCTGAGTAGAATACTGACTAGTTGGAATAGTTAAACCAATTACCAGCAATGCTTCAAATATATATTTTTTTTTAATGCTTCAAATATTAATCTCCTTTACAATAAATTTAAATACTAACATTTATATTTCATTATATAGATATTCTTGTCTCCTATGGTTACATACGCACACAGACACTAAATGAAACTTTAAGGAGTCTTTAAATTTAATTACTTTCATTACTGACTTTTAAAAGATAAGCTTCATCTTTGCTAAAACCATAAAATTTTTATTTAAACACAAGGCTGTTATTAAACTTACAAAGTGAGAATACAAAATTAAAGTCATGCAGATAAGAAAGAAGTATTCATGATACTATAAAATCTTCTGTTTCAATTTAAAAGCATTTGCCTGTCATAAATTAATCTGAATTCAACCTTTAAAAGGGACATTTTAAATTATGGAAAATACTAAATCCATAGGATTATTCACAAAATGCTTAATAGTTTTCTGTTTTCAAGAAGAGTATATTCCCAGGAAACAAATACTTTCATAAAATTAAATAAATTTCAAAACCAGGATGTGCATTGTTAGTACTTTTCCATGAAGGGATGGCTCAATCTGTACCTCACTTTTTTGCTGTTACTTAAAACAAAATGCTATTTTTCTCTACAAATTAAAAGCAAGCAAAATAAAAATTTCTAGATAGAAACCACAGAGAATTCAGAGTACTTTCCACTTATGATATTCAATGGCAATACCCTTAAATATTAATATAACCATGATTGAAACCCAAACTTTTAAAATGCTGTATCTTTTCTTTGGTTCTCTCTTCTAAAGAGTGTTCTACACTTTGCTTTCATCTCCCTTTAAAAAAAACAATTATGTGGCTTGGAGTCCATGTCTTAGCAACTTTCATATTAGGATAAAATATAAATAATAACAAACTGGACACATCTGTTTTTTTATACTTACCAAGCAGATTTAATATATGCAAACTGCTATGGAAGATGTGGGCTAAATACAGCCTGCTTAATAACCTGAACTTCTGGTAGTATTTCTAGTGTAAAAGTAATCACAAAACATTTTATCTCTAGAAATTAAGTCAAACACCCATTAAGATCTTCTGTTATGTCCATTTAATAAATTTGAACCTTAACTGGCAAACAAATTTACTGTATTTAGCCAAACAACAAACACCACTTTAAACAAATAACCACATAGTCTTTGATTATTTTTTTTAAAGTCCAACTCTTATAACTTGAAGAAAACAAGCTGTATTAAATATGTAACTCATATGAAAACAAAATGACCCTATGACATTTAATTGTAAAATAAGTAATACCAGAATACAAAGGTCATTTGAGAAAGTCTCTGCTCTAATCTCTGCAGCAACCAGCCCACAAAGCCTCACTATTCAAGACCTGGCAAGCACCACAGTTCCTAACCAACTTAATTAGCTGCGTCTTAAAGCACTTGTTAGTAGCATGCATTTGCAGCAGCTTCCACTCTGTTCAGTAAGAATAAAAAGGCTCTCCTAATGACAATGTTGATACAGGGCTGTCAAAAGACCGAAACCTGCTCATTAGAGAAACATCGACACACTTTCCCATGGAAAGAAAGGCGAGGATGACAAAAGGCCTCAGCATTATCCTACTCCAAGACGACCTTGAAAGATGCAGCGTGCTACCATCTCAGAAATATGCTATGTGTTTTATTTAATACATGGTTAAATTTCTCATTTGTTCTAAAGATACAAGGGACTAGTAATATGTGCAAGAAATTAGAATTATCACCTCTAGGTCTCCATGTATTCTTCAGAGCACAGAAAATTATAAAAATATGTGTAAGTAAATTCCTTCCTTTCCAGTTCAGTTATTGGCTAAATTCGGACATGTGAAAAAGCAACACAAGGAAATATACACTTTGAATAAAAATGGACTTGTCATTGACAGTATAGACTGCAAGGATTTCAAAAGGAAAGAAATGTAAATTAGGTCTAAACTTTAATGTGTTTTTTAAAAAATATTTAATTATTTATTTTTTGGCAGCATCTTGCAGCACGTGGCATCTTAGTTCCTCAACCAGGGATGGAACCTGCACCCCTGCAGTAGAAAAGTTCAGTCTTAACCAGGGAAGTCCTGGTAAAAACTTTTTTGATTTCACTTCTGCTCAAAGCATTATGGTACACTAGGTGCTCTGAGATCCTTGTGCTTGCAAAACAACCAGATTCATGGCCAAAACATACTTGTTGAACTGCTCAATATAAAAGAACTAGAGAGGTCTCCAATGATATCCTCTCCATATCCTTCCTTCAGCACTGCAAAGCAAGCTGGGGCCTCAGCTGGAAGTGGTAAGTAGAGGGCAGAAGGACAGAGGCAGGTTGTCGTGAGGGCTGATGCATACAATGCCTTTGGTCAGGACGCTGAGCTTTGGGCCAATAGTTAGGTAGGTGAGTTGAGCCTAGGACCATCGTGTTAAACCCAGACCTTTGGGTGAGGCTGAAGTGCCGTAGGTCAGTGAGAGAAGCAGAAGAAGCAAATTCTCCTTGCAGGAAGGCATTCCCCATTTAGAACCAAAGGACGCCCAAAGATAAAAATCAAGCAGCAAGTTTAGTCAGTGATACCCAAGAACATAACAAGGTAAGCCACCACAAGTCAGAGTCCCCATCAGGAGAAGAGGCCTGTATGAGATGCTTAGAGAAAGTAAAGAATCACTAAGACAGGCAAGCAACAAGAGATTATCAGGAATAGTCCAGCAGATTTGCATGTAAATTCGTTAAGAACTTTTCAGGAATTTCTCAAAATAAAAATGGGACTGTTTAAACAAACACACACCACGGAGGGGTTAAAAAGCAGTTTGGACATAGCAGAAGCAAGAAACTGAACACAGATAATACAACAGATCTTGAAAAGGAATAATGGAGAGTCCTTAATTAATAGCAACTAGGGAAGTCAGAAGACAAAGAAATACTGTCTTCAAATAGATTAGAGAAAAAATTTTCTGTTTAGTTGGCATGACCAATGCCATGTGTTGACTTCATCTTCTTCTTGGCGACACAAAGGAAGTATTACAGGAAGAATTACAAAGCTACCTCTCAAGAAGGGTGAAAAAGGCAGCATCAGATAAATAACAACAGAAAGAATTCAGTGAAAGAGAAATGCCTAAAGTATAAGTTTTAGGAAGAAGAAAAATAATCAAATAAGGTGAGATATAAGAATAGTGAATTTAAAAAAGGTAAACATACATGCAAATTTAAAGATGATTCATCTGTATGAAACATGACACATAAAATATGAACTTTATGATATATAATTTATACATTCTATAATATATAAAATACAATAATAAACAGTAGTACCAGTAGTATAATTATGCTCAATTTGTAGAATTTTAAAATATGATGGCACTTAACTACTGATGTATGTATGCATGTATGTAGCATGTATGTGAAGAGGGGAAAATTGGGAGTTAAGGTGTACTAAGGGCTTTCAATTATTTTGAAAAAGGGTTAAGATAGTGTTTAACTTTAGAATCTGTTAAGACAAATATCATGAGAAAATATTTAGAGTAATCACAAGAAAACAGAAATAAGAATATACAGCAAGAATAGTAATGATACAAGCAACCAAGTATAGGTTAAAAAATATCATGGAAAAAGCAGTTCAAATAGACATTTTTAAAGTAGATAGGGAGAAACAAATTCAAACATTTTAGTAATCTCTATAAATGGGCTCACTGAGCTTGTCAATGTGAAGACTGCTGTGTGGAAGAGAGATACCAAAAACACAAGTCACAGAGTGGCTGAGAAAGCTTGCTATGCATTTGGAAGTCTACAAAAAAGTCCCTGTCCTTACTTTTTCCCTTTGCACTTTTGAGAAGACACTCACCTCTTCCTTTGATGTGTCCGAGTCAAGCTGTAGTGTGAGGTACATAACGATGTGAGGAGTGTTTAGAATATTCTGCTGGACACCTTCTACCTCTTCTCCCCACAGAAGTTTGACTAGATCACTTGTGTTCGACTGTGCCTTTTTCTGTCTTGGTTGAGTTGTTTCCTTTTTCATAGCATATGCATTTTCGAATGTCAGTTTCACCTTTAAAAATTAAAATATATTGATTTTATAACAAGGGAAAATCAGCAGTGGTTTTCACAAAGAAGACTCTGTACATGCACATTCACTCCAGTATGCATAAAAATCACTGTAGTCTGGGCTCCTTGGCGGCAGGAACTGTGTATTCTATTTATATTTGTATCTGCAGCTCCTAGGACAATGGCTGGTACGTATTATTACAAACATTTATTGAGTAAGAATGTATAGATCTCTGCACCTAAGTTCATTAATTTAAACTTCAGTTCAGTTCAGTTCAGCCACTCAGTCGTGTCCGACTCTGTGACCCGATGAGTTGCAGCACGCCAGGCCTCCCTGTCCATCACCAACTCCCGGAGTTTACTCAAACTCATGCCCATCGAGTCAGTGATGCCATCCAGCCATCTCATCCTCTGTTGTCCCCTTCTCCTCCTGCCCCCAATCCCTCCCAGCATCAGGGTCTGTTCCAATGAGTCAACTCTTCACATGAGGTGGCTAAAGTATTGGAGTTTCAGTTTCAGCATCAGTCCTTCCAATGAATATCCAGGACTGATCTCCTTTAGGATGGACTGGTTGGATCTCCTTGCAGTCCAAGGGACTCTCAAGAGTTAGTCATTGTATTTTAGGGACTTCCCAGGTTTGGTGCTAGTGGTAGAAAACCTGCCTGCCAATGGAGGAGGATAAAAGACGCGGGTTAGATCCCTGGGTCGGGAAGATACCCTGGAGGAGGAAATGGGAAACCACGCCAGTGTTCTTACCTGGAGAATCCCATGGACAGAGGAGCCTGGCGGGCTACAGTCCATGGGGTCACAAAGAGTGGGACACGACTGAGCGACTAACACACACACATTGTATTCTAAGTATTGACAACAAATACAAGATACGCCATGGGAAAACAAAAGTTAGTATGAGCTGATGGTGTAATAGAGTAACACTGCATTACAAATGCTAATAGCACTGACTCATCTGGGGAAATTAGCAAGAAGAGATTCAGGATCAAAAGTAACCTCATGCAACCAGAATTAGCTCTCCTTTCAAATGGTGATACTCAAATATTCTTCTCTTAGATATTCTTTGTGGTCCTTTAAAATAAAGGCTAACAAGAACAAAAACTTATCTTGAACTGGATCTTGGAACTTATCTTGGATCTTGAACTGTGGCCCTAAGAAGAGTATCTATCTTATCAAGATAGTTTTAATTTCATGGCTTGATGTCAAATAAGATTGGCAAGAGTCCAGAATGTGGCCATTTTTCAGTTGTTGAGAGGTAGCTTCCATTTCTCAATTACCTTTTCTTGAAAAAGGAGATATGTGTCTAGATGCCAGCTGACCAAAGATAACTTGTTTATCTCGAAGAAGCACCAGTGTGTATCTTGACTAAAAGAAGTCGTCACTAAATATAGCTAATTTTGTGTAGCAAGGACATCATCACAAGCTACATAGGCACAAAATATTCCTAATGTTTAAAATCTTATCAGAATACAGATAAGTCAGGACATTCTAATCATAACAATCTATATAATTTTAAATTTAGAAATTAAAGTGCAATGACTTTTTAAAATTAAATTTTAAAAATAAAAAAATAAATTCATGCTTGATCAAGAATAAAGAAGTCTGGATGATACATGTATATTAAATCATCACACTGTACAATCTAAACAGATACAATTTTTATTTGTCAATCAAACCTCAATAAACTGGGGGGAAAAGGAAATTTGGTCAATATTTAAAAGCAGATAAAATTGTTAATATGCAGTAAGTTGCATTTTGAGAGGAAACATTTAAAAATTACTATCAAGACAGTAATAATTCCTATTTTTGATAACTTATTAAAAGAGGTACTAGCTTCAAGGCCCACTTTAAATATATGATAAATACTAATATATCACTGTCATTTTAAAAAATGAGTCCTAAATATATATTTTCATAAAAATATTAAGCATATTATTAAAAAATTCATAATCACATCAGCCTATCTATTGTTAGTATTATACTGTGAAATAAATCTACCTGGATGAGTAAAACTTTCCAAAAGAAAAACTATCTAGATATCTTTCTTTTTTGGTTGGCAAAGAGTGACTATGGTTGCATTCAATTTTGATTATCTGTAGCTGTCTAATATTTCAGGGGCGCTGAGTTATCTTTGTCTACCTAAGGTGGTTCAGACAATAAAGCATCTGCCTGCAATGTGGGAGAACTGGGTTTTATTTCTGGGTTGGGAAGATCCCCTGGAGAAGGAAATGGAAATCTGCTCCAGTATTCTTGCCTGGAAAGTCCCACGGATAGAGGAGCCTGGCAGGCTATAGTCCATGGGGTCTCAGAGTCAGACACGACTGAGTGACTAACACACATACACCTAAAGTGAATTTAGTTAAATAAACATCTTTTCTAAAATACGTTTCAGATTTATTTTACTAACAAGTAGAAAAGGGACATAAGGTCTAAATTCATCAACATGTATATATTCAGAGTTAAGATGAACCAAGTCACGGTGAGAGAGTAGGAAGGGAGAAGTTCCTCATGGAATTTTTCTGAGGCCAAATGTTCATGTTTCTTTATAAAACATTTAATATTCCAAATGGACAATATCAACCCTTACTAACTTTAACGTTTTCTATAAACTTGATGTTGAAAAATGTGCCCTTGGTATTAGAACACTATCTAAAAAGGCTTGGGACTTCCCTGGTGGTCTAGTGGTTAAGACTCCACGCTTCCACTTCAGGGGGTGTGCAGGTTCAATCCCTGGTTGGGGAATTAAGATCTGCATGCTGTACAGCCAAAAAACCCCAAAAGGCTAGTAGAACACTAGTATAACTGGATGGTGGGGGAGGTGTTGGAATATTAAGTAAGCTAAACAAAAATGTAAAAAGTTAGTGATTCTATATGGGAACACTCAAGATTTATCTGAAAAATTAATATAAGGATAAGAAGGATGAGGTGGAGAAGAGCTTAAGAGACACTGTTTCAGAAATGATCTTAGAAAGATGTGAAAAAGAATATTTGGTGTGAGGTTTTGATCCAAACAACAATATGTAACCAATATATGGCCTGAAAGACTATGTTCTGAGGGTGGCATCTGTTATAGTGTGTAATGCTCAATGTATGTATACATAAATAAAAATATAAAAATAAGCATAAATACTGGAGATGAAAATGGAAACCCACTCCAGTATTCTTGCCTGGATAATTCAATGGACTTAGGAATCTGGAGGGCTACAATCCATGGGCTTGCAAAGAGTCAGACATGACTGAGCAACTGAGCATGCAGAAGCATAAATTTATTAAATCCTTGAATGATGATCTGATGAAGCAAAAATGGCTTGGTACTTAGGGTGTTCTTTTATCTAAGAATAAGGATTTAGGAATGTCCAAAAGAAAATATATGGTAGTCTTTGGTGGCGTTCCTTGGAAATGTGAGAAATCTTTAGAATTTGGGGAAATCTCTAGTGCAGACTTTGTACCCTTAGAGAGGGTAGTTGTGAAGATTGTCCCCAGCACTGGGCTCTGGGGTGGAGCTGGTCATATGAGTGAAATGGAGGGTGAGAAATCTGACTGTAGCAAGCAGGGGATGAGGAACAACCTCAGGGAGCAGGTGTCACAAGAGGCAGGCTGGGTCTGATGGAGCATCTCTCTGTGAGAGGTGCTCAGAGAAAGAAATGCACTTGCGAACAGGAGGGTAATCTTCTCCAGCTCAGATTCTCATGGGTGGAGAGGTCAAAAGATAGGGTATGACAAAAGGAAATTAGCTGGTAGATTTATAAAAATGTACAAATTCTACTTTAGACAGCTACAGCAACCTAAAATTTAAGACTGGTATGCTATGCTAGGTAAAGAATGACAGACTTGAAAACAAGGTTTCCCCTCACTATGACAAAAACTCAAACAATACACACACCACAGAACAATCCGTTAACATTCGTTAAGGGACTATTTTAGCCACTATTCTTCTGATGTAAGTAAAGTTGGCTCCATAATGCAAAGATAATTACACGTTAGCAAGACATTTTGAAAAGCTTACATGCTAAGTAGCTATAAATGTCAGGGAATCTGGTTGTTTTGATAAAACCATAAAAGGGTAAGACAGATAACCAAATTAAAAGTTAAGTGCTATTTTTTAAAAGGGGTTGATATATGTAAATATTAAGGATATCATATGTTTTATAGGAAAAAAACTTTTATTGAGTAACATCTAATATAAGATAGTTTATATCAACCTTCTTATAGAAAAGTTTTGTCTTGAGTTTATATGAAACTTCTCATAAAAAGGTTTTTTTCTGTTGAGTTTATGTGAAGCTTCTTAAAGGAAGGGTATTCTGTTGTTCCTCCATGGACATTAAACTGTGACAAGTTTCATCATCTCCTGTCTCCCTCAAAAGGTTTTCTTATTTGTGCAATTTACCGATCCTTTTTTTCCTCCTCCCTTCCCTCCACCCCCGATTCCTTCAGGGGATGCTGTACCTTATTCTCAGGTCCAAGGACATGCACTCTATAACTCACCACTTCCAAAACCTTGCTGCTTTAATTATCCTCTCCAATCCACATCATGTAACAAGCCAACGATGCTTGCCCATTAGCTGCCATGCCAGCCTCTCCACACGTGGAACCGCACAGCCAGACTACAGCCTCACTTTTGCCTCAACATCTGCATGTCTCTCTCACAACATCTTTGCTGCTCTCCATGTGTCTGATCCTTTCTCCTATGTCTGGCAGATGCTCGGAACAGTCCTTAGTCAACAGTCTGAAGGAATTGAGTTCATTTGGCTCAGCAAATTCTCTTTGATCCTCCTCTTTTGGGCAATATCACAGGACTACTCAAGGCAAAAACTGGAAGGCACCGTGGACTCTCTTACCTCCTGCAGAATGTACTGTCTGTCCTCTTTACTTTCCACATACTTTACCTCTCATCTACTTCTTCTCCTCCATATCCACCGCCAAGGCCTTTGCCCAGATCATAACTCCCTCTCTTCTGGACTATCATAAAGCTAATCACCTGGTTTCTCAATCTCCAGTCCCATCCAGAGGGATATATTCCTAGACGCAAGTCTGATCACATCAGTCATCTTCTTTAAAATACTGACATTAACTAGTTACTTCTGGGTTCTGAAAATAAAAAAGATTTACAAATACTTAAAAAAAATGTGTCTGTCTACTTCCTAATCTTTCCACAATATATATGAGCACCACTTTTGTGTAACAAGGAAATAATAAAAGTCGAAATATTCTACTCAAGTATCATCTCTTTAAAGAAGACTTTTCTCCTCTCATAAGCCTAAGAAGTAATGTTCTGCAGGCTGGTCTCCCAGAAAAGGGGTTGGATTCCTCCAAAGTCAGGAAAACCAGCAACGGCCTGGCACTTAACGCAATCAGTCCTGGTCAATTGCAATGTCTGGACCCGAATTCCCCGATTAAGCCAGAGGGCGGGGGATGGTGTTCTACCTGCTGGTTGAATGAATGAGTGTACAGAGATGTAGCAACAGATCAAGATCACAGAAATCAATCATTAGAAGAGTACTGTCACCTTCGTTCTTGCATTTTGAATTTCTGAAACTTTTTTATTTTAAAAAATGTAAACCTATAGAAAGTTGCAAGAAGTGTACGATGATCACCCATACATTCCCCTCACTCAGTTTCAGCAATTTTAAAACACATTCTGCCACACTTGTTTCCTCCCTCTTTTCTCCCTTGTCTTACCCACCTCTTCTTAAATCCTCACCTTCTGTCTATTTAAAAAAATAATTTTGCTGTAACTACTTGAGAACTATTTGCAGCTACTTTAATACTTCACTGCTAACTACCTTAGTACGTATCTCCTAAGGCTACACAACCAAATATAATTATGACATTTAGGGATATGACACACAACACTCTTCTCTAACAAAGATCATATTCAAATTTCCCCAAATGTCCCAATAAAGCTATTCCTAATTGCGTTAGAGGAACAGTAAAGGAAGAGTTGCTGCATTTGGTTGTATGTTAGCTTAGTCTGTCTTAATCTAAAACAATTCTCTAGCCTTTTTTTCTTTCATGACATTAACATTTTTGAAGAATCTAAGGTAGCTATTTTGCAGAATGTTAAAACCTAGCTTTAAAAGAAATGACTTGGTCTCTCTGTGCTTCACCTAGTGGTCCAGGCTTTGCTGCTGGGCTTCATGCTGGTATTCTGAAGCTATTTAAAGCAGAACTTATTTAAAATTCAAATACAGAACTGTAGAGTTGGAAGAGGGCTCACAAATGCCCTCTGATTATAGATGAGGAAAGTGAAACCCAGAAGACTTTTGAAAATTGCTCAGAGCGAGGTTTAAAATAGAGATCTGCTCTCCTCCTCCTCAGTGACCTTTCTGCCACATTACATTCTCACCCGGGGCCTCTTCTGCTGGATGATGAGAAGCATTTCAGGCTATTTTTATACCCTGAATATAAGCTTAATATGCTACTGTTGGTTATTTCCAAAATTAAAATAAAGTCTCCTAAGGTATTCTTTGGGTTTCCCTGGTGGCTCAGCTGGTAAAGAATCCACCTGCGATGTGGGAGACCTGGGTTCAATCCCTGGGTTGGGAAGATACCCTGGAGGAGGACAGCAACCCATTCCAGTATTTTTGCCTGAAGAATCCCTGGAGAAGGACTGAGGAGCCTGGAGATCCCCTGGAGAAGGGAAAGGCTACCCACTCCAGTATTCTGGCCTGGAGAATGGCTATCACAAAGACTATCCATGGCATCACAAAGAGTTGTACATGACTGAGCAACTTTCACTTCCACTTTTCATTTTTCAAGCTATTCTTTATAAACCAGCATTCCTCTTCTCTTACTGCTTGAATCACCATTTTAAATGCCATAGGTACAAACTAGGTAGAACAGCTTTTTCTGAGACAAGTCCACTGCAGTTAGTTGTGGCAAGAACAAGGGGATACAGACACAAAGACGCACCCAGGCTGTGTGTGCAATTGGAGCATCACGTTGTGGAGTCAGTTTTGGCTCCAGTTCTTTGAGTTATTAATTCTGTAATCTTGCACAAATCATTAATTCTCTCCTAGAGTCTTTTCCTCTCAAGTATAAACAGGAATACAAATTATCAGAATGCTATTAGCAAAGCACAAACATACTTCCTGGCACCCTACAAACTCTAGTTCCCTTCCCAATTCTCAGGCTGTATATGGGCAAAATCCCCTTGAAATTACAATAGGAAGGCAAGGCCGTGCTGGAGTTCAATATACTCTCTCAATATGATCATTCTGACCCACAACAGTGTTTCTCCCATCTTTGCTGTTTCCTCATTTTGTTTTTTAATTTTTAATTTTATTTATTTATTGACCATACTGGATATTCAAAAAAATAAGGAATGCTTCATGAACTTGCATGTCATCCTTGTGCAGGCGCCGTACTAATCTTCTCTGTATTGTTCCAATTTTAGTCGAAGCAAGGACTGCTGTTTCCTCATTTTGGCACAAGATGTAAGAATTGGCACTTAAGAATAATGTTGTAAAAAATATATAAATATATATACACAGTGTGTGTGTGTGAACCATATTTAACGCAGTTGTAATGGCAAATTGGGCAGGCAGCAGATATACAACTCCTATTTCATGCTTAACAAGGACATGGAAATGGTGGGTGAAATTGGTCCAAAATATTTAAACCATTATTTCTTTGTCTTCCTTTTTCTGCCAACCGTGCATCGCCAAATTTGCAAATGTTGTATACTAATTAAATGTCAGAATAATGTGACTCCACTGGAAACATAATTCTGTTTTTGAAGGCAGAACAGAGGTGGTTGAACTCTGGCAGTCCTGTCAGGACACCTGCAAGTGACACAGGCAGGAAAGGAGAAGCCCTCATCCAGCGCTCACATGCAGCCAGTTTACTGGGACGACGCTGCTTCGGCCTTTAAGATACTGCGATTTTTTTGTTACTGACTGGTAAGTAGCTCTTGTCTGAGCCCAGGGAGGTGCTCTAGTACCCTGGCCCACCCTTGTTCCTCTCCTCGCCTCGCAACTAAAGGGGAAACCAGTACACTCTGCTCCAGCACTGTGTCTGGTGCATTTAGCACTCAGTCGTGTTCCACTCTTTGTGACCCTGGGGACTGCAGCCCTCCAGGCTCCTCTGTCCATGGGATGCTCCAGGCAAGAATACTGGAGTGGGTTGCTATTTCCTTCTCCATGCCTGGTGTCTGCCTGATTTTTTTTTATTTCAAACACCATCATCTGTCTAACCACTCCTAGGGCCTGGCTGGTCACTGGCTATCATAGTTATTCTAGCACTTTCATTTTGCACTTCCAAAGACAGCTTAATTTACAGAGCATCTGTGTGCGTGTGTGTATGTGTATGTTCAAAGTATGTGTGTGCATGCGTGTGTGTGTATTTTGAGAAGGAAGTGAATACAACAAAATCTTACTTCTTAGAAAACGAGAAACTTTGTAATGGGTCTTGTTATCTCAGAACCTCAATCAGATGCAGGTATGATTCTGATTTATCAGGCATTCTGTTCTTCATTCCCATCAATCTAAAAACTGCTTCCTTCTTTCACTGCCTGATGGAGCCTCTAACCTTTCTAAAGCATATCATCCTCCCTACCCCTCGAAAGAGAGAAAGCCAATTCCCCATGCTAACAAGAGTAGCACATTCTTGAATAGGAGGTATGGCATTTTAAAAATACATCTAATGACCTAAAAATGTCATCTATAATACAAAATGTCAATGCTTAGAGTATCAAAATAACTTATTATGGAAGAAATTTATTTTTACCTTACAAGGAATGAAAAAGAATTCATTATGTGGCTAAACAAAAGCTCAGGAGTAAAGCTAAACTAGATAACATGAAATAAAAAAAAAGAGTATAGTGTTTAAAATAAAGCCACATTTAAAAACTTTATAGAAATTATGATTTTAATAAGTCAGAGAACAGAAAATTCCATGACTGTTTAAAACAACTTCTCCAGAAACTGGATTTTCATCAATATGTATGGTACTTACAGTGGCAAGTTGGTTATTATGTATGTTTTTAGTATTGTTCTTACGGATATTTATCTTTCCTTTTAGAACTATCTCCAAAAGCTAAAAATGTTGAGAGCTAAAACTTTTTAAGTATTCTAGTGTTTAACTCACCCATTATACATGACTCGTTTCAGAATTTTATAAAAAGAAAATAGCACAAGATACACTTATTTCATCACAAAACACAGAAAAAGAATGTTCACCTGCATAGGTCCAGGAATGCAAGACAGAACTCTCTCTATGTTCTCAGTGGTCACCTCTACATCATTCACAGCAATCAGGACATCCCCTGAAAACACGAACACAATGAAGGACAGTTGTGTGAGTATGCAAAACTGAAGAAGATCTGGAATTGGAACATTATAAAGTATCTAATCTGACCTTCCAAGTGCAGTACAAAATGTAGTGCAGACAGTCAGGGACTTGCTCAAGATTATAAAAGTCTTTAGTGGCAGAGCTAATCTGCCACCCCACTCTTAAACTATAGTGCAGCTCAACACTGCAGCATAACTAAATATAACCTGTGAATGTTTAAAGAGAGGAATATTCTTATTTTTTTCTACAATTGGGAGAATTATATCAACCCAAGGGACGAATAGAAAATCTGTAGCATTAACCAAGTATTACACTTAACAAAGTTGAATCTAAACACTTAGACCCACAGTAAAAAAAATTCAGCTGAAATTTTAGTTAAATCCACGTGGCACATCATAATTCAAAATGCTGGGTATTCACTGTTATTACTGATCTTTGTCTACACACAGCATTTTGTTTCAAAAGCCCTCAACCACAATAAAATCTATAGCATGTTTCAGTTAAAATATCCTTTTCCTGGCTTTCCTTTAAATGTGTATATTATCAAATCAAATGGTTTTAATAAAATAAAGATCAGTGTTAAAATGGAAATTTACTCTCACAACATGAAGGTGATATCTAAACATCAGTGAACTGCAGTAATAGAAATACACATAACAAGGTTATTTTTTCTCAACATTCTTATCGATAGGACATAGACTAAACAATTACAACCATTCATTAATTCATCCAACAAACACTTATTGAGCACCTACTGTATGCCAGGCACTGTTCTAGGAACTGCAGATAGCAAATGAGCAAAACAGACAAAAATCTCTATACATATGGAACTTAATATTCTTTGGAGAAGACAGAAAGTAAACAGGCATATAGATAAAATAGTATTGTTAGACAACTCTATATTGGCCTCTCATGCTTTTCTGTATCTTACAAGCCAAGGAACTGAAAGTCTTTGTTCTGAATTATCTTTTCAAGATTGTACAGGGAACAGTTTTGGATGAAATAGTGTCTCCCTCCAGAGCAAAATACAGAACAATAAGGATAATTTCTCCTTCAGTGTCTTATTAATGATTGTTCTTTATAAAAGATGTATGTTCCCTAAACTCAGAGTTCCGTTCCTTTAAAGCAGCCCTACTGTGTGTAGGTATCACCTGGTCCTCTTCATGATGACCTTTGAGAATGAGGGCTGGGGAACAGGTGAAACTGTCATTACTTTACCCACTGCTGTTCCTCCCTGTCCTCTCTCTGCCTTCGTTCCTTGGCTTCCTTGACATGCTATCATATGGGAAAGAGGCAAAGTGCAGAGTGAGCAGGCGTTTCTCAGGCCAGCCCTGTGAGAGCCTGCAATGACCTACACTAGGTTTGGATGCTCAAGAAATGCCGTTCAGTTGAGGACGGCATTGGGTTTGGCCACCAAGTCTGACATGATGGTTCACTATTACAGCACTCTGAGCAACCTTGTAACTTTTCTTAAAAGTTAAGAATTTTGAGATGTATAGAAATATCGAATCACCATGCTCTATAATAGGAACCAACACAGTGTTGTAGGTCGTTTACACTTACGAAACAAATAAAAACAAACTCACAGAAAAAGAAAGTACATTTGTGGTTACCAGAGGCAGGGAAGCCAGGAAGGGGAAAATTGGATGAAGTTGGTCAAAAGGTACAAATTTCCAGTTATAAGATAAATAAGTATTAGGAATGTAATGTAGAACATGACAAGTATAATTAATGCTCTGGTATGTTACATAAAAAAGGTGTTTAGAAAGTAAATCCTAAGAGTTTTCATCACACAAAAAATTTTTTTTCTACTTCTTTAACTTTGTACCTATATGAAATTATGCATACTCACTAAACATTACCACTTATTATGGTAATCATTTTATGATGTAAGTCAATTTATTATGTTGTACACCTTAATCTTCTACAGTGCTTTATGTCAATTATATCTCAGTCATAATGGAAGAAAAGAAAGAACTTGCAAACTAAACTTCCAACTTTAGTTCAACTTGGAAAAATAAAAAAGCAACATATCCCCCTAATTATTTTTAAACAAGAGACTAAATAAGTGTACTATATAACATCATTTATAGCTATAGTGATTTTTAAAAGGAAGAAAGGAAGGCAAGGCGAAAGGGAGAAGAGAGAAAGAAAATAATGAAAGAAACAGAGAGAAGGGAGGGAGGGAGTGAGGGGAAGATGAAGGAAGATGAACACAATACAGGAATACTGATGTAAAACAAAACCATTTCTGGATGATACCAACCATGAGTTGTAGATTATTCTGTCCTCAGGACACTTAAATAGTGAAATGGTTTAATACTTGTTCCTTTAAACTAAAACCACCTGATAATGTCAAAAATGACTCCTTTTTTTTCCCCCTCCAAATCCTAATGAATATAGTTCTGTAGCTGAATGTTGTAGGAAGTGTTGTCTGAAAGCACCATGTCCAACAAACCTCTAAAAACAGGAGACATGAATCATCACAAAAGACATGAAAATTAATTCTAGAACAACTGCAGTATGTACACAATATTTTAAAATGTTTAGTATAAAACTGTCTCTTTCTATAAAGAGTTATATCTCCTTTTCATTTCCCAGATATTTGTTTTCCTTGTGTTTTTCTGATCACCTCCTGTGAGGTGACTCAGAGATGGCAGGCTTCCTGGACATCACATCACTGCAGTGGGCAGCCTGTGCCCCAGCAAAGTTCTTTCTCAACAAATGCATGGGAGTCATTAGTATGCATGGTCCCATCTCAAAGGCTGAAAGGAAATGAAATGCATGAATTGGTTTGAACTGTTAAATAAGCAATAGTCTGAGGATTATTGATGGGTAGAAATAAGAGGAAAAATCTACCAAGTTTATCAAGAGATACATTCAAGAATCAAATAAAACCTAAAGAGAGAAGGTTAGTTTATCATAATGCTTAAGTCATTATTTCAGAACACCCATCAATTTCTCAACATCTACTTATATCAAATGACAAATGTGTACTGAAGCATACTAACTACATTAGGCATCAGGGACTATGGAAATAGGTATGCAAAAGTTAGTTTACAGTTCCACTAACACTATATGCAAAATGAATACACAATTTAAGAAATCAATTTTGAACAAAATTATTACACATAAATGTATGAAAAAGAAAGGACACACACCAAAATGCTGTCTTTGGGTGACTGGATGTTTTCTTTGCTTTGTTTTATTACATTTTCTAAATGGTCTACAATAAGCATATTACTACAGCAAAGAAAAAAAATAATACTCTTATCTTATAAAAAAAATAAAAAACACACACTGTGGTAGGCAGAATAGTCCTCCAAAAATGTCTACATCCTCATCTCTAAAATCTGTGAATATGTTACTTTACACAGCTAAAGAGACTTTTCAGATGTAATTAATAAACATGAGATTGGGAGATTAATCAAGTGAGTCCCATGTAATCAAAGGATCTTTAAAGGAATGAGGCAGGAATATCAGTCAAAGAAAGACCTCAAGATGCTACACTGCCAGCTTTGAAGATGGAATTAGGGACCACAAGGCTAGGAATGCTTGCCAAGGAAAGGAGTTCTCCCTTGGAGACTCTAGACTGAATGCAGCCCTTGTGGACACATGCATTGATTGTAGTGTAGGAAGACACATTTTAGACTTCTGATTTCTAGAACTGTAAGATGATAAATTTGTGCTGTTTTGAACCACCGAGTCTGGTAATTTGTCACAGCAGCAATAGGAAATTAATATACCCACTGAACAATATAAAGCAACCTGACTAAGCATCAAATGAGAGTCAGAGACCATGAATGCTAAAGAACAGATGGATATACAAGGTACATTTGGAGGTCACTGGGGGAAGAATAATTCAGTACTGTTAGAAGTGAGTATTTAATGTACAGGAGGACTGGGAAATACGTATGAGACAGTAGGATGGGATCAGATTATGAATTTAAATTGTTCGTTTAAATTAAGCTGAATTTGACTTAAGAGGGGAAAGCATCTGGTTTTTTTAAGCAGTTACATACTGCCATTTTATTTATTAAAGTTCATGCATTTACTGACAAAATCTTAAGTTTTGAGAGAATAAAAATTACTGTATTTTTTAACTTCAATATCAATCCCTCAACTATAATACTTAAGCACTAAACTAGAGAAAATCAAGGTCCCTCCCAACCTACCATCCTAGAGTTCCCTGAATAATGGCAGCACATATATTGTAACTACTAATACTATACAAAATATTAAGTAAAATACCATATTCTCAGAAGATGATGGATAAGAAACTATTGTAAGGTTTTAATTTCTCATTAAAATAGAAAATAATACTACAGAAATGTTGGAAAAACCACTGATGACTTTAAATTATTTATGGCACTATTTGTCGTTGTTCAGTCATTCAGTCACGTCCAACTCTTTGCGACCCCATGGACAGTAGCCCACCAAAGCCTCTGTCCATGGGATTTTCCAAGCAAGAGTACTGGAGTGGGTGGCCATTCCTTTCTCCAAGGGATCTTCCCAACCCATGGATCGAACTTGGGTCTCCTGCATTGGCAGATGGATTCTTTACCATCTGAGCCACCTACAGCCATGATTAATTTTGAAAATTATTTTTAGTCTTTACCTCTGTTCACACAAAGGAGTCCTTAGGAATTATTTTTTCCTTTTAGATTTCTCAAGTAATAAGAATTTTTATGCTGGTTATATAGTTTTTAGAATTACAACTTTAATAGTCAAATAACAAATAATTTATAATTATTAAATTATAATTTAAATAACCATACTGTTGGCTTGACATTTTCATGTTTCTTATTTTTTATTCTAACTAAAAAATGCTTCAACAAATGTTTTCAGGCACATAGTTTTTCCTCTTTTTACATCAGGGGTCAGCAGACATTTTCTGTAAAGGCTCACATCAGTAAATACATTACGCTCTGCAGGCCATATGGTCTTTGTTGCAACTCCTCAACTTTGACATTG